ATTGATAACCAATTTAAACAGGTTTTGACTCAGGTTATCGCCTTGTCCCAAACCGATTTCTGGAGTAAAATGATGACTGAGTGAGTTTCCCAGACGAACATGAATTTTATTCTTATGATACATGCTCTTGATAATTGTATAAAATTGCCCCGAAATGCCACACTCATTTAGTTTATAAAAAAGTACAGAATGCATCACACTGTCAAAAGCTTTAGAATAATCAACAAAACATGCATGTATTTTCCTACCATTGTTCAGATATTTCTCTACCAGTGTTCTTAACACAAACATGTGATCTGAAGTTCTGGCTTTTGGTTGAAAGCCAATTTGCTCCTGTTTTATCACCTTATTATCATCAAAACATTTTTGTAGTCTATTATTTAGAATACTATTAAAAATCTTCGAGAGGCATGGCATAATGGAAATTCCTCTATAATTTGAGGGGTCATTTGGACTATCACTCTTGTGTAGAGGTTTTATATATCCTACTTTCCAGAGATTTGGGTATTTTCCTGATGACAAAATAGTATTAAACATTTTTTTGTATACAGGGCATAAGAACCTGATAACCTGTTTTCATCATTTTATTTGCGATACAATCTAAACCACAGCCTTTTTATTCTTAAGTTTACATATAGCCTCTTTAATTTCCTTCTGATCAATTCTGAAATCTAAGTTTGTAAAAGTTTTTAATTTTTCAGAATCCTTAATTAAGGACTGGAAATTCTTGTCAATTTCTTCAAATCTTTGTTTAGGACAAAAATAACTCTGAAAAATATTCTGTCCATTTTTCAGGAGAAATATTTAAGGATGGATCAGTAGAATCAGAATTAGATTCTTTTAATTCATTTACAAGATTCCAATATTGTTTGGGATCATTTTCAGACAAATTTTCCAATTGTGTTAAAATTTTATGTTGGAACTGTCTTTTTTTCTTTTTACAGTATTTACTATAAAGTTTCCTATATCTATAAAAACTTCCTCTAATTTGAGGATCAGTGGGATGTTTTGAATATGCTAAACTTTTTTTGCTTTAATTGTTGATACATTTTATTAATATCTGTATCAAACCATTTTTCTTATTTACCTTTCTTTTTTATTTTTACTTATTTTGACCTTCTTTAATGACTTTTCACATGCACTATAAATAATGTCATTAAATTCTTGAAATAATTTATCAATATTATTATCATTATATGAATCCTCATTTAGAACTGTAACTCTTTACAAAATGTTTTAACTCTCTCTTGCACAGTGTTGCTTTCAAGTGCTCTTGTGAACAAAAAACGAGATTCCGTTCTCCAGCAGTATGATGCAGGTAATGGTATACATTCAGAATTATCTAATTCCTCAAAAAATGAAGCATACAATTTTGTGCTTATTCTGGCATGGTCACTTAATCATGTACATGAAAGTATAATATATTATGAACCAAGCTGTCAGATACCAAACAGTAGTCAACAACACTATATCCATTATATTGAAAACAGGTATATTTACCCAAATAATCACCAAATGTTTGTCCGTTAATTAAGTATACTTAGATTAGAAGAAATACAAAGATCTAATAATTCTTTTCCTCGCGCATTGCAACTATTGTCATAACTTTGACGACAAACTTTATTTTGACAAATGTAATGAGGAACATCCACATATTTGTTTCCATTATCTACAAAATTTGTTTCAGTACCAATTCTGGCATTCATGTCACCCTTAATGATTATATCCCAAGCTCACTGTAGTATTCAATATCTTTTTCAAGTAGAACTATTATATCCAAATTATGCCGTAGTACATAAGAGGAATAAGGTGGAGCCAAGTACGTAAAACAAATATAAATACTCTTTTTTAAACTTTACAACAACTTCAACCACTGAATTTCACTACTTTTGTTATCAAGTATAGACACACCAGATTTAATAGACTTTTTAAACAAATATAAGCATGCCCCCTGACAGAGGAAAATTATCTTCTTTTGGTCTATTTATCAAGTAGGTGAAATATTCAGGTATAACTATTTTACTTAAATCAGCACATTTTTGCTTCTTGCAAACATAAAATATCATATGATTTTATACAATTTATGAGAGACATGTCATTGTACTTTTCTTTTAACCCATTTATATTCAAACATCCAATGTTAATGCTGCTTCTACTCATAAATGGCATTATATTATCTAAAAGAATAATAATCAACAATACTCCACAATAAAAAACAAAAAAAAACAACAAAACAGTTACAATACCTACAATGTAGATAAGAAAAAGTTATTTAATATGTACACTAAAGTACAGTATGCCTTGAAAGATTTATCAACCAAAAAGGCTACTTATTCTTTACCATCATTAGTGTCACTGATTACCAGTATGTATCATGAAAAAACTTATATATACACGAAAACTTTTACTAACATAACAGTGTCAGAGACCACCAGTATATATATACGAAAAATTTATACCTATATGAAAAAAAATTTTTTTTTTACTTACAAAACATTACGTTCTCACTAATGTCACATTTATAATAAAAGAAACAGAAAACAACACAAAATACTATTACTTTATAATAGACACAAAATGTCTATTCAACCCACAAAATGTGACTTACATGTATTTATAAACATACTTTACAAAACCTACACTTTAACTTTCTTTCCGACTTAACATTAAGTTCAACCAAACAACAATAGAAAGAGATATTTCAATAAGTAGCGTATGAAATTACAACTTTATTTTTAATTAAAAACCCTTTCCCAAAACGAAAAAGGACCCCCTTTTTTTTCCCGGTTTTTTTACATTTTAATGTAAAAAAATTCCCCAAACTTTTTTTTGCCCCGGTCCCTACTTGAGAAATTTTAAAAAAAACATAAAAATCCCAAAGGGCCCTTGGGGGGTTTACCTTTGGGGTTGCAAAAAAAGAACACGGTGGTAGATAATCTTGTCTGATATGCAAGAAACAAACTTTATAATATTGCACGTTTGTAACGTCGCTTTTCATTGGATAATCATAACAGTTATATAGCTTTTTATAATACTGCACGTTTTGTACGTCGCTTTTCATTAGATAATCGTGACGTTTATATAGTTTTATATACACGGCTGTTGTCGATTCATAAGGAAATCTTACTTTTTTCTCTAAAAAATGATGCTTGCAGTATTATAAATTCGTTATAAAGATTGCTGACAGGTTATATACCCGTATATAAACGGCATTTTGCAATATAACCCTCGCCTAACGGCTCGGGTTATATTTACAAATAGCCGTTATATAGGGCCATATAACCTGTCAACAATCTTTATAACTAATATTATACACGGATGCTGTCAATTTATGAAAAAACAATTTTCTTTCTATATAAAAGATGCTTGCTGTATTATAAATTTGTTATGAATATTTTTACGGGTTATATGGCCGTATATAAACGACTGCAACATAACCTTAGCTAAGCCGTTCGGCAACAAACGGCCATATAACATGTCAAAAAAAACCGGTCATTTAACCTGTCAAAAATCTTTACAACTTATATTATAATACTGAACGACGAAACAAACGTAGTAGACATATAGGCAAAATTAAAGATGTTCGACATGTATTCTTGAAACGTGGCATGATGTTAGAATATGATAAACATTTAAAGCCAAAACACTTAGGGTCATCCATCTCATTTTCTGCACATGAACTTTTTCATTCTTTTTATCTATTTAACCCTAAGCGACCATGTACTGAATTGGTGTTCTCAGTATGGTAATATAACACAGTGACATTCAAAACTGAGATTGTTTTTCATATTTAAGAAGCATGTTCTGTTAATCTTTACAATTAAAGTGACTGTTGTTCTTGTTGCTCTATCATTTTTATTTTTATTTTCAAAAGGCAAGGAATTCTTTTTGTTCGTTTTCTTTCCATGAGCATTTGTGAATATTCGTAATTAACAAATATTTACGTATTCCACATATTTTACTTGTTGTAAACAAATATCACATCACCGAAATAACTATTTCTATCACCATATCACTATGTCTCTACCGAAGTGTTCGAATACCTTTACACAGTTTAGATCATAATTTATGCGAAATGTGAGTTTGTTTAGTTGACAATAGTTTAACTAATAAAACAATTTCTAAATTTCCATAAAAAATAATACGGATGCATACTGTTTAAACCGCAGTCCCAATAATTAAGTTTGATTTAACGAAGAATGTCAATCAAGGAAATGTCCCAATGTCCCAGTAGCACATTTTCACAGTATCTATACAGTTAGCTCCCTTTGTTTGATCAGTTCAAGTTACTTCTTACCAGGCATTTACTCTTACACTTGAGAAATGTCAATTCAGTTAGGTTCCAAATTACCATGGTTTAATATCAGTAAGCAAAAGAGGAAACCTCTGTGATTCTATGATAGAAAGACGTGTGAACACAGAAAAAAACAAGAGTGTAGCGTGTGAGGAGTATATTATGATATACACAAGTTGGATATAAGAAGATAATTATATTATTATCGTATGAAATACAGTGAATTCAAATGCCAAGTCCTTATAAAAAAATAAAACAGTACAACTACATAGAAATTAAGATAAACAATGTATGTAAATGAGGTGGACAAATAAAACCGTCGCATTATTTTGTGTAGTTGTTTAATGGAACTGTAACTGTTTTGTTAAGCCGGATACATTTTCTAATCATAGAATCTGTTTATATCACGTTAGGTTATATATTATTTTGTTATACCTCAATATATCCTTCAATATGAAATCCCTATAGACTTATATGAGTTGTTTTAATCAAATAATGTACATGTATCACCATCATAGGGAATGTTCCCCCGGGAGATATTTCTTGGGCACCTTTGGGCATATTTCTCTTACATGACTTTAACATTTAAAATGTGTAATTATTCTTTATAAATGAATACCCAGATTATTGTCGGAGTGAAAGTGGATATAGTGTGCCTCGAGATAATACAAGTGTTCGGTTTTACAAAATCCATTATCACCCCGACAATTATTTGTTATTTATTTCATTTCGAAGAATTACAATTGTTTACATGATTATTTACATAGAAAAGCGTTTTTGTCACGTGGTTGTGTTTAAAGAAAAACTGTTATGTCACTGTTCTGGTTGCATTCCACTTTTGTAATGTTTTATTGTTTTCCTTCCTCACTTGTCCAGCAAGTAATGCATTCTCTCTACATGCACGTGATATCTGATCCTTTAATGTGATGTTTTCTGCATAAAGTTCATCATAATTCTTTCCTCTATACCTGAAAAGACAATAATAAATATAATAAGTGTAACAGCGTGTCCGTGTGTGGCTAGTACGTCGGTCTTGTAGCCTAGCGTCGAAATTAATCTAGTAATCTAAGGACTGCAGGCCCTGTTGTGGCTAAGGGGTTGATTTTAAGAGTTGAGGTATCAGAATTGCAGCCACCGTTGATCCCTGACTGTTTTTAAGAGGGCTCCAGCAGGTGAGGTGGTTTTGATCCCTGGTTTTGCTGTAAGTTTGTAAAATCCGAGGTTAACCAGAATTATCTTTCCTGTTTCGGCGCCATATGGTCTAGATTATGTCGTTGTGCCATAAGACCAAAGAGATAAGGACTGTAGGCGGCGTAGGTTCAAGTCCCATCAGGGGCAAGTCGTTGTTTCTTATACACTCAGTAGTTAGCACTGGTTAGTTTTAAGAACGGGTTTGAGATTGTGTCTCTTTTCTTATAACCCTCTACACTATCGAACTAAAATAAATTCTGTATAAACTGCATTGAAACAACTAAAATAAGTCGTTTGCTAAATGAAAGTAATAATAAATGAATCAAAAATAAAATATACTATTGAGATAAAATATTATGTTCAAAGTTATGAATGGCACATGCAACCAAATGGATTCATTCTCCCTGAATACCAGATATCTGATTTGCTGTTTAAACAAGAGAATTAGTTACTCGAGGTTATGCATAGATCTTAATTGAAATATTAAACTAATTCTGATCAAAGTTTGAATAAAAGAATAACTATTAAAGCTAAGTAGAATTCCACATTGATGACACATTCAATCTATTGTAATAAAACGTTTGATTTAGAACTCGTTTATTTCGTGTCGTTGTTTTATCATTTTTGATATATCTAAAGCGCTTGTATTTTACATACCCTTCTAATTCCTTCAGTAAAGCAACGTTTTCCTTGTTTGATTTGATGAGTTGGTTTGTAATCAGCTTCATCTCCTTGTCTTTCTCTTTCAACAGTTTCTGCAGATATATCGCCTGATACTTGGAGGCTGATTCTACCAACACTTTTCTTTCAGTCTTTGGTCGCTCCCAATTAAATCTTTTAATTCTGGAAAAAAACACTGGTTATTTACAAGACACCGATTTTTAAGAACAGTTCACGTTGCTTCTTCGAACTCCAAACAAGCATTTCATTCTATTTTACGAATTGGATAAGGGGATAATTAATAAGACCTTAAAACGCGTACATGATTAAGTGAACGTTTAAAGCTACATTTTGATTACAGAAGCATATGGCTTATTCAGAAGCAAAATTTAACTGTTTGAAGATCATGTTTTTAAATAATCATTCTGGAAACTGATAACGTGTTCTAAGGCCAATTATTATTGTTTCAAGTTCTGTGGGGTTTTTATAGAAAGATTGAACAAAATGTTTCGTTAGATAAAGAATTAATTTCATACCTTTCAGCGGAGGCACGTATAGAGACAGGACATATCCAGACACCATCGTTAGGTTCCTCTTTGTTCTTCTCAAATGGTTTTAGAAGGAGAGTAGGCTCCGTCAGTGTTCTCTGAAAACAGACCATATTCAATGTCGCACTTAAACATTCATTATCTGAGCAATTAAATCTTTATTTATAACTTAATTGTAAAGGAAAACTATGAACATAATGTCATTATTTGGTTTCTTACATGTTCATAGTCTAAGAAACAGAAATTACATGTTAGAAGTTTGTCTCCAGGAATCATTTTAATGAAAATAACATCTGTTTGATTATTAATGTACTTTAGTTTCATCGTGATTGAAACGTTCATCATAAACTCCCTAATTTATATATCTTTAATCACAGAGATATTTATCATATTTTAGTACTGCCAATGTAACAAACAATGATACCTCGAGCTGCTCCTGTTCCGTGTCGTCTGTTAGATCAGGATCTGGCATTGTTCTTGCTGACTGGGCTGTGCGCTGAAACGGTATGAATAAATCGTTACTATAGCGAATATATTTTTACTTAACAAACAACATTGATTTAGTTTAATTTAGTTGTTTAAGACGGACACCTTACTGTAATATTGTTGTTGACCACTGAACTCAACAACGCCAACAACAACAAAAAAGAATGTATCTAAATATTTACAATAGGCTCGGCTTTAATCGCTTAATTATAAAAAAATACCAAGTTTAAATGCAGTTAATAAATTTAAACAAACAGAAAATTATAATAGTAGAGAAATTACATTTATTTTCGTGGCATTCACAAGTTTCTTCACATCAATGTTCAAAAAAGTGTCAGGCTTCTTTCTGATTCCAATAAACTGTAAGACATAAAAATGGAAACAATTTAATTTTTAATGTACATACATAGCATACAACAAAAGTATCTAATACCATAAACATATAGCGGTACATCTTAATTATAATTTACTTGTTCTCAGTATTTCTTCCTACCAGTGCGAACATTGTCGACTGTTCATTATTCAGTAAGTTCATATTTTGAAATTCTCTCTAAAAATAATGAATGGTTTTGTCCAGATTAAAAGATGTACAAAAACCATGTAAGATTTTAGCGTGGAAAGATTTAATGATTGCTAACTAAAAAAACTTCAAATGTTGGTCGAGATAATTGTACTTGTTATAAAATAGAGTCGGTCTACTTTTAGGTACTTAAAATTCAATCTTTAAATTCTGATACACAATACATTGCTTACATAATTTCCTACTCTGACAGCGTCTTTAGCTTTAGTCCAGCGATGTGAAGCAGTGACCTTTTGGCTTTCCCTCCAACCTTTGACTTCACTGTCGTAGTGAAATTTATAATGTGGAGGCGGCTAAAATGTAAGATAGCAATACATAGCATATAATTATAATGGTTTAATGATTAATGTGAGAAACGTTTATAAAATGTTTTTACTATAATCAATGTCGAAATAAAATATACACATACTATTTTACACTATAAGACAAAAATACTCACATTTCTATTTCAATTTCCCTAAAGTAAGTAAAATATTTGGTTAATCCTTAAACTTAGAGAAATCAATTTGATCAAAGTTTACCAACTGCGTTCCTATATCATTTGACTTTGCTTGAGTTAACTTAAACTTGTGATTAATGTTAGGTTTATCAAAGTTGATTTGTATACACTTACCACAAATCTAAACAAATATGTTTTGATTTCTTTTCTATCAAATGTCAGCTACACATACCTGACGAAGGCTTGCAAAATCAAACAAACTATCAATTAATTAATTCAGTGTATGCAGCATTACTATATTCTGTATAAATTAATTCATCATACTATTCCGGAATCACGGCAATTAATTCAAGTATCAGTTGCAAATGTATAAACAGGTTAGATAAGTCGCACCAACAAAATATGGTGACTTACAGCTAGACACTGGGTACCAAAATCTTAACATTTGCCCAATCCCCTTCATTTGCCATTTCAAGTACAAGGTACGAGCGGGTAGATTCCTTACATGAAAGAATCCAAAGTTTTGGGCGGAATTCCATTTGTAAAACGACTTACTATTACTATAAATTTTCTTACAAATATATTATCAATTTTAATGGGTATTTTGTGCCAGAATCTTAATTTTATCAAATCAAAGAACTAAAAACATTATTTTTGTTTGGTATCACAATGTTGTCAGTCTTAGAGTCTCAGTAGGTAAATTTTGATCGGTTTATAATGGTTTTATGAATACAGTATAACAAGTGGACTATCATAAACCCATTAGAAATGTCTCAGAAATAAATGCGTCATTCCGCTATTTTCCATCATTTATTTTGCAAGCTATGGAACACTAAATCATCTTATTTTGATTTTCATATATACGTAGAAGGCCGGTTCAGACACGCAAAGTTCAGACATTTATTTTTCATTTGCGAGGGTACATATACAGAAGGCTCTCTTCTGTTTGTTATATAATGACTGATTGTTTTCTGTTTGTATCCAAACAACAATTAACCATGAGTAATTTTGTTAATATATTATCACTTTATAATAATACGAATTAGTTTACCATATAATGGGAATACATAATGGGAATTTTTGCCATTATGTATATGGTGACGTGAACAAAAATTTTAATAATTCAGAATCGTGCAAGCAGACAGAGTGAATAGTTTTAAACTCAAAAAAATGATTTAGCTCTCTTGACGTTATTTAACTTTTGAAAGAGAAGAAAAATATAGTTACGTGTTATTATATTAACTTACCTTTTTCTTCTGCGAAGGAAACGGTGTCCTGTAGTATTGTTTCGTCGTAGATAGCTTTCGCATGTCGGTGCCATGACGTCCGTGTATAGTAAAAAGTGGCGGTTCTAATGTGAAAATAGACATTAAAACAACATTGTTGGTATATCCAATACTTACCTCAATTGTTCAATATATCTGTCGATGAAACATTATAATTTGCATTTGTGTGTGTTGTTTATCTATAATATTCACTATTATAATAAATTATCATTCATCGATAAATGGTTTTTATAGTTGAAAACGTTTATGTGCTACAAGTTTAGTTGTTGTTTTTCCCCCAATAAATACAAACAAAAGAACCATGCAGTATGATACTCACTGAATCCTGTTGGTTTTTCCGGAGATTTTAGACTCATCTGTCAATATATAGATACATATGGTTTTCTCTTTTATTTTGAAAGATTTGCAATTTCATAACATACATATTAACTGTTACAGACAATTTTGATAAGATTCATGTATACATCTCAAACAAAAATTTCATTGGATTCTTTGCAGTTTCATATAATTTGCAATAAAAACATTTTCGTTGTTTTTAATATGTATAGAAAAATAATTATTTGTTCAATACAAGCACAACAACAGCATGAACAAGAAAACACAACAAATTCATAAATTTTATATATTGTTTTCAAGTACGTTACCTTTCCTTTTTATATAGTCCTTTCTAAAATGACTGACAAATTTAAAGTAGCATCAGAGTATTTATATATTCACTACAGGTTTATTTGCTTACATGGGAGATACAAAGAAAAGTTTAAAATTATGAATAATTAATTGCAGACCTATTCTTTAAATAATGAATTTGTATTGTGGAAACAAATTGGACTCCAAAACTTAGCAAACAACATAATCAATATACGCTTTAACAAACTTTTGCATTTACCGAGTCATAATAATGATCGTCTGTATAATTAACATTTTGATAAACGTTTCCTCATTTTTATACAGATTTTTCTTTATAACTCATATGTAGATGTAACAGGACAATTACATTTATATAACGTTTCATTCGTTATTGTTAAAATGTGTTTAAGTGGGGTATATTTTAATTTGTTGCAACAGCAGCGCGTTGTTATAAACACACGTAATCATACCTGAGAAAAATGATCAGTTAAGTCCTTCAAAATATTCACCATGGACCTGTACAAACTTTTCAACTGTTCTTTGGGTATTCTGTTCATACACTTGGTAGATGGCTCTTCCGACGGCACTACGGGTTTCGAACCAGCGACCGCATAGACAAGATCTGGTGTATGGATTTAACAAAATGTCTCAAGGAGAGAGGCCAGGACTATAAGCGGGATGTAGCAAAACCTCCTTTCTCTGCTCCTCTAAATAAGCTTGAACCAAGGCTGGCCGGTGGATAGGTGCATTATCATGGAGTAAATTGATATTGCGCACCGCGGACATTGGGTTCTTTGTAATCCACTGATTAACTACAACAGTGAGAACATAGTCACGGTAAAATGTTCCTGTGACCCCTTCCTCTCAGGCACAGCGACACGGGCCACTATTCAATCAGTGTCAAAAAAAGCGTACAGAACTCTTTTAGCGCTCCTGCTACGTCGAGCAACAACTGAACGATCGCTGTTTCACCTACCCACATCTTGTTACTTTGTTTATTGGCGGGCTAAAAAATAAAGCCACTTTTCATCCCCTGTTACAATTTCTCTCAGACGTCTAGGGCCTCGATCTTTAAACCTAGTCAATAAGGCCGAGGCACCCTTTTCTTGTCAGAAGATAGCAAATGCGGGATCCAACGGGCGCACATTTTCCTTAACTTGAACTATTCTTTCAAGATGGGAAACACATTATGACGCACTAAGGCCCGATATGTCACTTATCTCCGGTACCTCCACGGTATATCTTGCATCTTCATCCGCTATGGCGTTGATAATGCCGGGATCATCCTTTACATTAGTTCTACCGTCCTTAAGGTGATTCCGCTTTGTCAGCCATGTTTGTTTTCACTATGTGGGTCCAAAGTGAAAGTAGGCCAAAATTCATATAACAACAAAGCTCACAATGTTATATGATGAGCCATTTGCAAGTACACTTCCAGTTCTATGTTTTAAAGACTATTTTAAACAAAAATAAAAATGATAACAATAAGAAAAATTACCTTGAATGTGCTACATTTCTGAAGACCAAAAACATTCTGTTGCAAAGTTTTATGCACATTTCATGAATGGCAAAATCCTTTTTAAAGTCTGTTTTAGTGTCTACAAAAGCTACTTTTTGCTGACAAAGCGGAATCACCTTAAACATTGACACCCACCTGGCAATTGTACCATATGGAAGGGCATTTTCTCCATAAACTAAATCTAGATCCGTTTTTATTTCTGACACGCATTTCCCCAGTAACCCATGAATTTTGCAAAAAGCTACCGGTATTTGCTCCTCTCTCACATCACAATGCAACTCAGTCATGTTTACAACCAGTATACAAAGCCACATGTAAATGACCTGCTCAAATTTAATTGCACGTGAAAATCGTGCGAAAATAGACTATTGGTTAGAAAAATAAATCTATCCAACGGTATTATTAATCATGCACTTACACGTGCAAATCATGGTTAAATCGAATTAAATATTCCCCTCGTACCAGTAACCATGTATTTATGAGACGTACACATCCAAAGCACAATTAAGTTATGGCGCCTAATTTAGTAACAAAACAAGCTGCGTCATTTTTTACTGCAACCAGTCACAATTTCTCGACTATTTTACAAGATTCACGTACAGTTATCTCGCTTTCGTATCTTTATTTGTAACTTAAATTTTAGGGGTTCAGAACCTATAGACATTAGGTGGTATTGATAGTCCAGTCAATTTGTGAAAAAATACTTCAGAAAATGGGAAGAGCACCAAACTTAGTACAAATGAACTTTGATATATATCAGAAACATTGAGCATTTTTTAAAATCCAATATGGCGGGAAAATTCAAATGGCCGCCATACGTTTTTAAAAATTCAAAAACGCTTGTTTTTACTAAGAGAACTTGATGGATTGCTGCATATTAGGGCATTGTAATCAGAAAAATAGTTGTTATTAGTATTTAAACATTGCTTTGTCTTTTTAAAGCTATTACACTTAACATATTTTATAATTTCTGTTTGTCATTAGTTTTCACGACCCTGGAAATCAGATGAAAGAAAATATTGTAGAGGTCTGTCATCGCTGTCTTCTAAAGATAATAAGACTTCATTTTTTTACAACATTCCTTTTTGTTTACAATGTTAATTTATCACAAGGAAATACTATCAAACAGATTAAACAAAAGTATTTTAAAAATTCTAGCATAACTCTAGCAAACGGAAATTAAATAATAAATATCTGCCCGTCAAGTCAGGTGTACGCCTTGCAATTTTATCTTGCTGATCGCTGTGAAAGGGATTAAGCAAAGAAGGTGTGAATAACAGAATTATAAGCTAACATGTGTTAAATTTTAACTGTCATTTGATATTTGAATTGTCATATCATAAAAATATGAAACTTTATAAAAGTCCATTTTATAGAATATGTGAAAGAAAAAAACGAAAACCTGGCAGACATATATAATTTACATTTTGTCAAAGCAGAGATGTAGATGTTATCTATGTCTCTGGTCAAAGAATGCGTTACAGAAAATAAATTCATTCTTAACTATCCCTTTTCTTCATGTGAAAGTACATGACTGTCCATTTGTTGTATAAAAATGAAATGATAATTTTGTAAAATTTGCTGTTTACAGACTCAGATTTTGACACGCCTTTGATGAAATAATTGCTTTTAAACACTACACATTGGTTTTCGATTGATTATCTGCTAACTTGACACCAACTTTCAAGACTAATCTAGTTAGAAGTTACACTAAATCATTATTGTAAATAACTTCAACCTTTCTTTACCTTCGGGATGTATCAAAAATTTATATAATACCCCTCTTCCTTCTTTAATGCTACCACCACCCTTAATTATATGTCAAATTCCATTTTGGTGTCCCTAAGGGTGCCCTGTGCAACAAAATATTATATTTAGTTGCTGGGTTTCATGACTTTTGACCTCTGTTTGCAATCATGTTTTCTCATATTTTATAACAAAATTCCAAAAGGCATGTTAATTCTTACAAGTTTTTATTTTAGACATTACAAAGTCAACAGCCCTTTATATGAAGACTCGGCATTTCCGCGCTAACATCAGATCAAGGAAAACAATGGACAAACGTGCTAAATAATTTGCCATATCTTGGCACTGTTTTTCTTCTGAGGGCCTCATGTTTGTAAGATTCAAGATACGTCACCAAGTCTATGGGACATTGAAAATAATATAAGTACGCCTTGCTGCCCATAAAACATCAGATACCTGGGGTATTTTTCTCTTAATTCTGACAGCTCTTGAACAGACTTTGTGATGAATGTGTTGTATGTTATTATTGAGAGTCTCAGTCAGTATTTTGTGCTGGATTTCGTTGTTATAGCTCAGCAGTTTCATGACTTGACAACAAATTCCAAATTTTCGTTGACATGCTTAAACAAGACAAGAGTAAAAGATATTGATTTTCATCATCAAGATCAAGAACGTAAATTCAAAAATAGGCTATAAAAGCAGGTTTTGTTCCTTTGTGACAGATTTGATCTGGCATGTGCAATTCTACAATTTATAATGTATTTATGATATGTGACGTAATTACAAACAATTCAATAGAATGAGAATGATGGTTAAGATGTAGGACAGTTTTGAAGCTCAAATAGGATAAACAAAATGGTTATCTTGTTTGCAGTTAGAAATTTCCCAAAGAGCAACTTTACAAAGATAAAGAGCAAATATCCTAACAAAGGCTCTTTGCTACCAATCCCAGTTTTGTAATTTTGTTCTAGAACAGAAAAAGTGACATTGACCTTGCTCCAAGATATCTAAATAGCAATCCAAAGCTGCATCTAAATACATGTATAAGCTACCCACACAACAAGTTTAGAGTCAATAGGTGAAAGCAAACTCAAATTATTATGTGAAAACTGAGTTTCTTTTTTTAGCGACAGTGATCTTGACCTTGTGCACACACACCTTGGTAGCAATACCAAGTGTCATCTTGATATAAGCTACCCACATACTAAATTTGATGTCAATCGGCCGAAGCAAACTCAAGTGATTGAGCGGAAACTGAATTTCTCTTTTTGTGCAACAGTGACCCTGACCTTAATCACAGAGATCAAGGTAGCAACCCCAAGATGCCTCTTGATAAAGCTAACCATACACCAAATTTGTTGTCAATAGGCCAAAGCAAACTCGAATTATTGAGCAAAAACTGAATTTCTATTTTTAGCAGCAGTGACCTTGGTCACATACACCTGGGGAGCAATCCCAAGCTGCCTTGATATAGGCTACCCATACACACAAAGTTTGGTGCCTATAGGCAAAAGCAGACTCAAGTTGAGCGGAAACCAAAAGTTGACGTCCGCTCATCTGCCCGCCTGCCGACTTCGGCATAACAATTACCGGTCTTCGTTGAAACCTGATTAACAAATTTATATGACTTAACATTTTCAGGGCTGCATTCCATGAACGCTGGTCTCTGTTGTGTTCATATTTTGAGATTCCTGTGATTGATTAAGCATGTTTAGTCACGGTTGTTATTGTTATCAAATCTCTGTCTAAGGCTGTCAATCCTTTCAGGACTATGTTTAACATAAAAATCAGATGAAAGTCTTACCTCCGATAGACTAAAATCCGTCAAATAGAGAGATACTTACTTGATATTATTATAATACATGAAATAGGACACTCAGCATCACCCGTAGAATTTCAATATGCATAGAGCTTGCAAAGCGCAAAACTACACACTCTTTAAATATCCTCGTAACTAAGATTTAATATTGAACGTAAATGATGAAATTTTAAAAAAATCCTTTAAAGGAATATGCAGGCAAATTAATTACAATACTAAAATTATCTGATGTACTTAAATCACGCTAAGATGACATTTGTAAAAGTCAAAGCATGAATTTTGTTATCAATTCTATTTATTTTGAGTTTGAAGCGTAAATACAGACGAAATTTAGACCCCGATAGAATCACCGATGACTGTCAAGTGTATATATTTTGAGGACAGTTACAGATTAATGAATGAAAAATTTAAAACGAAGAAATGAAAATGTTGCCTGTTTTCCCTTCAAAAACATGAAAATAAATATTTGGGTTATATCTTTAAGGTTGCAATCACTCTCAAATTGAATTATGAATAATCCAACATGAAAGTTGTGTTACATTTAATAGATCTGAGAGATCATTGCCTACAGGACCGTTTGTGTATTCTATGCCTAATGAGGGTCACTATATAGCACCTTGGATACATACGTTTTTGTTCTTTCATTTTCATAGTATCATAAGATTTGTTTAACATGAATTTTAGGTAATATTTGGTGCTAGCAAATATTGTTGATTAAGCTGAAGGAAATATAACTACTTCCAGCCTTCCTTGCATTTACAGGAATGGAATATGTTAAGACATCCTATTCTGTTTGTAAATTATGTAAATTCAGACATAACAATTTGATTACTTCTTATATTGGTAAAAATGCTCACAGTCTACACATAAAGCATTTTAAGGCATTATATCTTATAGTTATTTGACATTGATCGTCTACTTAGGGTTTCAAACAAATAATTTTAATTAAAAGGGGAAAAAATCAAAAAAAAATTTCAAAAAACTGAAATAGAAATGTTTTAATTTTGTAAAATTGGAACCCAAAAAAAAAGAAAAAAAATTTAAAGCATTATAAATTTTTTAAACTAGTATCTTTGATTATTAAAATACAACATCTCTGGTTTTAATTTTAAAATGGGGGGAATTTCCAAAATATAATTGGGGGAAAAATAGCCTCTACTGATAAATTTCCCTGTAATGGCGGGCCCCCTTAACCAAAAAAAGGCTGCCATTGGGAACCTCTTGGCATATGTAAAACCCGGGGCCCCTGCCCAAAATTTCTTTTGGGGCCCTTTTTTAATCTTGGGGTTTTTATCCTTATTTGTATAGGGTAAAAAGGGACACCCATTAGATGGGTTTTGACAAAATAAAACAAACATGTTTTAGTATACATAATTTATTAATTAAATTTGCTATTACTGTAGAAAGTTTTGTACCCAATTTCCCACAGTTTTAATTATAATAGTAAAATTTTTGAGCCATTTTTAAAAGTAAGTTATAACAGAGTACATAAACCCCCTCCAAACGTCCCTTTCAAAAACCTTTAAAACCCCATATGAAATGAAAAAAGAAATGGCAAAAGGTTTAAAAAAAGTATGGAACTTACTGAACTAACAATTTGCATATTTATGTCAATGGCATCAATAATGGTAAAACCACAATCATGACATGGCAAAAAAAAACTTGACCATCTCATTTTAATTACTGTATTCTAGAAGTCAAAATCACAATTAAAAAAAAGCTTCTACAAAGCTGTGTATATTTTCCAGGCTAACAACTGATCGCTGTAGTATACATCATACATATAACAGCTTACACAGTACTACCTTATATAAAGATATAGAGACAGGAAACATAAACAAATAATATATTAACTACAAGTCCATAAACAAGAGGGTCATAATGACTCACCAGAATAAATGGTCAATTGTCCCAAGATAAAGGGAACATAAAAAAAAATGGGGCCCTCCTTTGGGAAACTTAATCAAATGTTGGATTAAAAAAGAAAAATTAAACAAAAATTTTTTATTTTTTTCAAAAAATTTATTTTTTGGAAAAAATTATTTTAACACGAGGTAAAAAATTGGGCCCAAACAAGACAATATTCAATGTTAAATGAAGTGAAATCATTTGGTATTAAAGGTTTTACATATTTCAGTCACAATTTAAAGAGCCGGAGCATATTTGCTTCATTATTTTTCAAAATCATTTCATTTGTTTACAAAACGCAGTTCAAAAACATTACAGTTGTTGAAAAGAAATTCTACATTTAATACTCTTGGCTCAATCTAACATACATGTATAAATATTACCCATCCTTAGCAAGTCAAGTGAAAGATGTGACAGGTTAAGCTTAAGTTTCTCCGAGTAGAAATTATATTAAAATGAACATGATGACCCCCAAAACTCCATACATACTTAAATTTACCATGACCATTTCATTCTGGTGAGTACAGTTTTGTATGACAAGAAATAAACAGCACAATAACGGTAGCCTTTATTACAAAAAACTGATATACATGTATACATGTATAGTAAACAGCATAAATAAACTCAAGTAAGGCTGTCAAATACCTTAAATAACAGTATATGATAAATTCAATACTAAACACACACAAAAATGTTCATCCACATTTTAAAGTCAACTTTATATAAACATGTTAAAAGTTTTTGAGGAAAAAAAAATAATGTGGACCATAAGTTCTATGGTTTTTCTAATTCTGTGTATAAGTCATGTTTTTAATGGTTGTTGGCATTTCTTAAAGTACTAAAAAGTTCAAACAATCTTTGAAATCTGGGAAAAGAAATAATTAAATGAAGAACTACATATAGCACTTTTCCAAACTAAAGATATAAGATATTGCCATTACCAGTTAGGTATAACAAACAGTTATATATAGTGATCATACTAAATCAAACCAACATACTAATACAGTTCAATGAATATAAAAAATACTATCACCACAACGTTCACACTTTTCTTAATATTATTCTTACCTTCAAACTGACAAAAACACTCTGTCCAAGATATGCTATGGGTGAGGAAAAATAGAGCAAGTGTAGAAGTGAAGCTGTATGCTATATATACAATAACTGATCAGCAGTACGACTGACTGTGCACTATCTTAAACAACTTCGAGAACAATTCTCTATCATGTCAATGTTAACTCACTATAACATCTATCTGTTGTACTAAACAATAGGTGTTCAATAATATTAGTCAGAAAATTAAATGACATCACGTGTATGCAGAATATTAAAAATATCGTTTAATTCTCAAATAAATTAATATCAACTTAACTATGTTCTTTATCAACAAGACTGGAAACATTTTATCATCATCACATGATATATCGTGAATCAGTGTAAAATAAACTAAGGTGTCTTAAGGTTATCAATATATAACAATATCCATTAAACAAGCTTGAAGCTTTCTTCAGCACTCACAACTGTCCATCAACAGTATAAAAGTGTTCATACATGTGTATAATGTAAATCACAGTAAGACAATGGTTCTATAAACATTATGTAATATCAAATCTTGTTCTACAATAATTTCATGCATGCAAAACAGTCAATAGTATAAAAGCAAAGTTTTGTTTTTTGTTCTAAGTGTAGAATTTCTTAACATGCCATTGTCATAAGAAATATAAAATTTCTATGAAATGAAAATTTTATTTACCAATTGAATTCAGTAGACAAATCATGGTAAGAAATATTGTTGTTTTACTTATAGTACAGTCAGTATAACAATGCCCACAATCATATCTTGGAAAATAACATTTGTTCATAAACAATCACATACTATAGGTCATAGGTCAATGTAAACAACTGCATTATCTGCAGGAAAAATAAAACAAGTATATAAACACTAATATTCCCTGTAAATACTTTCTAGTTGTACATATTGCTTTATAAATTGATGTAGTTATGGTATGCACCAATCTTTTGTTTCAAGTTCAAACCTAATATTATAACAGCTTTCAGGTAAACATCTTTTCGTATATCATCTAAACTAGCACCCATGTAGAACAAGTAGCCTATTAAGCTAGCTGGATAGATTACATGATAAGTCTACTCTAATCACCATTTACCTGCTGAACTTCAGTAATATATGAGCCGCGTCACGACAAAACCAACATAATGGGTTTGCGACCAGCATGGATCCAGACCAGCCTGCGCATCCGCGCAGTCTGATCAGGATCCATGCTGGTCGCAAACGCACTATGTTGGTTTTGTCATGATGCATCTCATATTTATCCTGCTTTGAACTTGTAATTTACAAGGGATTTCAAAATCTAATCAAAAACTGAGTCACCAACAGCACAGATGTGCAGGCTGGCCTGGCTCTATACTGGTGACAAACACCAGGCTGGCCTGGCTCTATACTGGTGACAAAGACCAATCACTTCTGGTTATAGCAGGTTAACGGCTAATAAAGAATACCAATACAGTAATGGTAAATGGTTTTATCCCTCGTACATAATGAACATCAACATAAATGTTTACATTTGCCAAGTTAATTCCAAGGTTACAGTTGAACAAAACTAAAACTATCCATTTCTTAATAAATCAAAGAAAGAAAGGGGTTTCAAACTTTTCATTCAGTTCATTCAATAAAATATACCATTAATACTCTCTTTCAAAGATCACACTTCTGTCAGCTATATAAAAATGCTTCCCTTAGGATATAATAATTATAATAGTTATCATTAGCACAGTAACAAATTGTTGATCATATACAATGGAAAACTTTTGCTTACAGTTAATATCATTCCAGTTTATAAAACCTTTAAATAAAAAAATAACACAATTTTGATCTTACAATTTTTATGTTAAATTATAATCATTTAAGTAGTACATACCCATAAAAAATGAAATAAAAGTTTATAATATAGGCTTGTCATAACATGTATATCGTGTTCTTATTCTACCTTAAATGATATAAAATGAAAATACTTGGGAATCGTTTAGTTTTGTTTTTAAATTTCATCTACTTATAAACTGCTTAAGCTCCACCTATACACAAAGATTGTGGTGTAAAATGTGGTACAGCAGGCCTAGAAATTCTTTCCATGCCATACAGTCATCAACCTAACAATAGGAATTTATGATACATACAATTTTGTGTTTGTGTATAGGGAATGTTACTTATATTGTAATTTTACAGGATAGAGGGTCTAATATCTTGTACAGTAAATACCAACAATAAAATCACTATGTCTTAGATATAACATGTTTGCATGATTTGTTTACGTTGTTTAAGGAATTTTATTGTCCTGGATAACTAATGATTCAACAAGTTATATGAAGTCAGCAACTAATTCTATGACATGGTACCAAACACTGGATTATGTCTACATATACTAGGTCCATGCTCGTCATAGTCCGCCTTCGTGTGGCACACTTGGTAAAACTCCGGCTGAAAATAATCATCATATTGTTCATCACTACCTTCATAAAATCATACATCAAATATTGAGAAACTGTCTCAGAATGAACCAAAGTAAATTTTTATACTGTCTCGCTAGAAATATCATATAATCAATATGAACATTTTAGAGATAGTGAAATTTATATGAAAACATTAAATTCTTTTTGAGCATGCTTTACAAACAAACACAAATCTAACTGCCATCTAAAAAAACATTACATGACCCTGTCTTCGGTAGTCATTTTATAGTCATCTATAAAATCCTAAATAATTATGTACTCTATTTATAATATAAGTATAAAGTAATGAGGTAAACACAGACAATAACTTACTGTTGATGCTAACATTGAACCTCCAAACCATACAGCATATCGTTGCATATGATGTGTAATTACTTGTACATCAATTGGTTTTGGCTGAAACAAGTACAAACTTTACACTAAATACAAGTCTCATCTAGAAAACTAACCTATCTTCGGAGACTAATCATTTAATTCAATATTTGTTTTGAGTATTTTGAACATCATATTATGGTTTGTTCACTTTTATGACCAATAGAATCTATTTCAGGCTGTCAACTTGAAGTTACAAATATTATATCTACATATCCACTAAGATATACAAACATACATATAACATTTTACTCATTTAAAACTTTATTTAAATCTAGATCTTATTTTTTGACTGTAATATCATACTCAGACATTAAATATTACATGTTCATAACAAATACAGAGAAATCATTTCAGTCAGTAAAGGGTATTGAATATAACCAATGACCTGTAGCATTACTTCCTCAAATGCAGGACACTGGTGGGATTCAAACTTGCTGTATAAGGCCAGGGTCAGCTAACTGAATCATTTGGACACCAGCACCCCAAATACCACCTTACATAATTAAGTATCTTCTACAGTAATTGGGTTTTGATGGCTTCCATCCCCTTTTACAACAGTAAAATATAAGTCTAAGGCCTCTTCAAAATATAGAGACAACAAGAGCCACCGCCGGGCGGGAGCAACGCTCGACTTTTTACTTTCTCTAAAAGCAAACAAAGAAATGTTTGAACAAAATCTTAACGTTTCCTTTTTATAAAATTAATCGGTCTGTCTTGTCACATAAGTTTTGTCTATATATTTTGTATATATAAATATACCAAATTATATATATAAATACAAACACGCAATTCTATAAATCAATTCTATAAATAGAAAATTCTATCAATAGAAACACGCAATTCTATAAATAGAAACACGCAATTCTATAAATAGAAAATTCTATAAACAGATACACGTGGTAGAGTCAAGTGGTGGACTCACGTGGTCGTGTCACGTGGTGGTGTCACACGGTGGAGACACGTGGTAAAGTCACGTGGTGGAGTCACGTGGTGAAGTCATGTGGTGAAGTCACGTGGTGAAGTCACGTGGTGGAGTCACGTGGTGGTGTCACGTGGTGGAGTCATGTGGTAAAGTCACGTGGTGGAGTCACGTGGTAAAGTCATGTGGTGGAGTCACGTGGTGAAGTCACGTGGTGAAGTCACGTGGCAAAGTCATGTGGTAGTCACGTGGTGGTGGAGTCACGTGGTGGACCAAAACAATGAAATTTTCAATAATTTGACCTTCAAAGTCAAGGTCATTTATGAGTGAAGGTCAAGGTCTGTCTGGTTATTTTTAAGGGATATCCTTGAAGATTATTATGTTCAAGTTTGAGAAAATCCATTCAAAAATAACAAAGTTTCAGCCAATAACAGCATGAACAAGGAAAATTTGGACTTTTAACCTTGAAGGTCAAGGTCATTTATGGATGAAGGTCAAGGTTAGTGTGGTCTACTGAAAGGTCTTGTCCAAAGGCTTGTTGTGGCCAAGTATGAAGACAATACACCAAGAAATAAAAAAGTTATGATCCAGGTACAAGTTTGCGGACGGCAACAGCAACGCCGCCGCGACTATAACAATATCTCTACTTTTTTTTTCAAAAAAAAAAAAGTTGAGCTTAAAAACCCTGCTCACCTTTATAAAAGTAAACTTTGTCCCAAAATACTGTCCACATCCCTTTCGCAAAAGTAAAATTGTACAAAACTTTTTCTCACATATTTCAGACATAAAACAAAGTAGTAAAAGTAGTTTAAACAGTGTATACCTTTATTCTACCACCACTAAGTTCTTCACTGACTTTTAATCTACCGTCAACCACTCTTTTTACATCTCTCTGCAACTTCCTTCCAAAATCTTTAAACATTGTAGAACCCCCTGATAGCACAATATTCTGAAATAAATCATGTAAAATTTTATAATATAACACTTCTAAAATTCAATGTAACACCATTAATACATATCATAAGCATCTTAGGACAATGATTGGCAGATCACAGAGCAGAGAGGGCCTTCTAAAGAAGTGAACATTTACAGCATTCCACATATCTTTATATTACCAAAAAAAAAACACAATTCAAAAATTATTTTACCAAAATCTGATTTACTTTGTAACGTTTTAGTAAATTCTGTCAAAGGTATTTGAGGTATTGCCATTTATTAATTTTTCATAAACATTTTCTGAACTACATGTATGACAATAGGAAGTTAATGGCATATGTTTTAATTATTTCTATAAAGAAGATGAAACTATTTATTTAAATTATCTTTACATATTAAACAGTTCAGTTAGAACTCTAAGAAAATATGTATGTATTTTTAAGTGTAGTTATCTTTGCTTGCTGCTTTCAAAAACTAGAACTATCACTAAATGTGATTAATACCCCCATAAGACTGCTTCAGAAATGACGATGTTACTAGTAACAGAATACCTTGTAAAAGAATTGAAATTAAGAGTTATGGTTGTGGGCAATTAAAGATAGTTGTGGTTCTTGTATGTTGCAATTCCTTTCAATGTGGTTGGCCATTGATGAAGTTTTACTGAATTACTCTGTAATAAGTCCAGAAAGACAAAGAAAAGGAACAAAGGGCAATAACTCTATAAATACTGAAGATGGAGTTATAGTTCTTGTGCACTGCACTTCCTCTTATTGTGCTTGACCATTGTATGAAGTTGTTTTGAATTCCAACCAGTACGTTTTAAGTTATGCTCCGGACAAGGAAAAGTATCAGTAACTCTGTACTTTGTCAAAATGGAGTTATGGCTCTTGTGCACTGCACTTCCTTTTAATGTCCTTGACAACTGTATGAAGTTGTATTGAATTACAAACAGTAGTTTTCAAGTTATGCTCTGGACAAGGAAAAATAACAAAGGGCATTAACTCTGTAGTTAGTCAAGATGGAGTTATGGTTCTTGTGCACTGCACTTCCTCTCAATGTGCTTGACCATTGTATGAAGTTATAATGAATTCCAACAATTAGTCTTCAAGTTATGGTCCGGACAAAAGAAAGCAATGGAAAAGTAACAAAGGGCAATAACTCTGTAATTACTTTAGATAGAGTTATGGTTCTTGTGCACTGCACTTCCCCTTATTGTGTTTGACAATTGTATGAAGTTGTTTTGAATTCCAACCAGTAGTTTTCAAGTTATGCCCCGGACAAGGAAAAGTAACAAAGGGCAATAACTCTGTAATTAGTCAAGATAGAGTCATGGTTCTTGTGCACTGCACTTCCCCTCAATGTGCTTGACCATTGTATCTTGTTATATTGAATTCCAACCATTAGTCTTCAAGTTATGGCCCGGACAAAAGAAAGCAATGGAAAAGTAACAAAGGGCAATAACTCTGTAATTACTTTAGATAGAGTTATGGTTCTTGTGCACTGCACCTCCCCTTATTGTGTTTGACAATTGTATGAAGTTGTTTTGAATTCCAACCAGTAGTTTTCAAGTTATGCCCCGGACAAGGAAAAGTAACAAAGGGCAATAACTCTGTAATTAGTCAAGATAAAGTTATGGTTCTTGTTCACTGCACTTCCTCTCAATGTGCTTGACCATTGTATGTAGTTATATTGAATTCCAACCATTAGTCTTGAAGTTATGCTCCGGACGGACGTCTGGACCGACCGACCACCGGGTGACTCCTATATACCCCCCCCCCCCCCAAACTTCGTTTTTGGGGGTATAATAAATATCCAAACATCATGAGATTTAGGAACTTTTCAAACAATCTATTTAAGAGAGATAGGACAGCATTGTAACATGTAAGTACCTTATACAGTCCTCTTCTAACATCTATAGGACTTTGTTGGATCACAGTGTCAACTACTTCTGATATTGGTGTTGTAAAATCAGGGTTTGAAAACTGAAAATTACAAACAATACATGTGCCATTATTTTACCATTTAATTATAAATTTTGTTTAAGAAAACAATTAACTTTAAAATTTAGTTTTTATTGTTCAGTAAACCTCACCAGAATGACTTTGAATGTAGAGTGATACAATTAGTTCTTATGTCCTAAACAAACATTGGTATCTTGTTATTTTATGGTACCAAATCTAATCAAAGAGAAATGGTCCCAATAACTTCTTTTATTCCAAACTTTGCCATTTAACCTTAACCATAAATCTAGATGGTTCTTACATATGCAATGTTGATCATGGTGAACACTTGTTGCTAAAAATAACATAGTATCATAATTATGCTATTAAGTCAACTACAAAAGCTTCTTAATTAAGCTTGATATGTCTCATCCAATAATCTGTGTTAAATTGTTTATCTTTTTAATGACATAACACTAACTCATCAAACTATCAGTGTGAGAACTGTGTCACACTCATAAACTTTCTAAAATATAAAAAAGAATTCTAAATTTTTAAATGTTTACCATTTTCATCACAACAATTCTTGCTGGCCAAAGAAAACATTTATTATTATTAAAAAGCATAAATTACTTGATGTGAACATCTTTTCATTTTTTTGTTCGGTTGTTGCACCAACATAGCATAGGTCATATGACGCCTTTCCAGCTTTACTGGTGGAGGAAGATCTCAGGTGAACATTAAGTGCTAACACAGAATCAACAATCTTTTAATTTGCAATGATAAATAAACAAAAAAATAAATAAACAAGGTATACCTCAGGATGGAAGAAGATTTCTGGCCCTAAGAATCTTTCGTAGCCTACATCTACCGCAAATTTTTGTTTGTTTATAGAATTCATACCCTCAAATTTTTTCATCCACTTTGAGGGGTCTTGGTCATATTTTGCAAACTCTTTTGCTATGTCTGGACATACATAACTAAATCTTTCCTGTAAACAATTTAATAAAACATGAATGACATTATATGTTATAGGTAATAACATGATGAATATCACTAACGCAGTCTCACATGCATTACCCCATTGATTAGAGAAAACCATTCAACATTCAGTAAGGCTCCTTTCCAGGGTTCCCACACTTAGATATTCATGTAAGTGTATATTGTATTCATGATTAAAATAGCACATTTTTTAGTATAACACATTCATTTTTAGTATATTTTGGCTATACAATGTATTTGGGTATTTCGTGCTACCCAAATATGGAGTGGTCAATAGGCTGTGCTCTGCCTTGACAATAGTTCATGTATGTAATACTATTGTTTATTTTATATTGATTTACCTTTGGCTTTTAGCATGGTTGTGAGCAATTAGGATAAAAAAAAATTGCCCAAGGAAACAACCAGACCTGTGAGCTTCCATCTTAGCACGGGCCAATCAAGCATACTTCGAGGTCGATTTGTGACTGTCTTATTAGATTTTCCAAAAAAAAAAAAAACGCCATAGTAACCAGAAAATAAATGTTAAATCTCATAAATGTCAAACTTGGCCTCCCAAAACACTTGTAAATCGAAAAGTCAATAGGAAGTCAATAAACTGTGCTAAGACCGCCATTTTGGTTGTTTGATTCACCTCCCCTTTTCCAGACTAACTCCCGTACCTTCCCGGACTTTTTTATGTATCAACACTAATTCCCGGACTTTTCAAGGCCGGGAGCTCCTGTTTTCAAATTCACGGACATTTCCCGTTTTCCCGGACAGCGTGGGAACCCTGCCTTTCCTTACGATGGGGCAAAATATTAATCAGACTACATTGTATTATACTAGTGGGAGATGCCTTACAAAGTTCAATACAATAGTTTCAAAAGAAATCAATCTGAAGACATATGGATTTTGAGATGATTATAATGACATACTACAAGATAAAAGTTGACTAAAGTTGACAAGACAACTTGTATAAACTGGTTTAAACCCTTTCACAGCATGTTTAAAAGTGACTAAGCAGGAAAATTAATTAATTAAATTATACTTATGATAAAGACTGGTTTCTTCCATTACACAAATATATCGCAAACAATCAAACAAGAGCCTATGTATAACAAAGTTCTTACCTTGATAGCTTTAGCAGTTTCAAGAGACTGTTCAGGAGGAATTCCCACCTCTCGTTCTCGTAACAATTGTTGTATGAAATAGGTAATATCTCTACCAGCTATTGGGATATGTTTTATACAGCTTCCAATTACATAGCCCTCAGCCTAAATGAAACGAAAAATTGCTATGACACTGGTATCAACTTAAGATGAAAATTTTTTGAAAATGCAATGTAATACAGTACCAAAAACAATTAGTGAAATAAAACTGAACAAATCTGAGTCATAAACTAGCTGTATAAGTAATAACTGTTATACTATATCTACATCATAATTCTATACCATAATATACATGTATACATATCATATGGAACCATATGTCACATTAAGATATTGTCAACAAGAGTACCAAATGTCACCCCTGGATTAACATTATCAATGTCACACACACTGCCAGATTCCCCATCTGATGGTCTGTTTATTATACTGAACAAATATAATTTCAGGAATAGGTTCAGCTTCTCTTTATTTAATTCAACAGTTTTGCCTATATACACATTCAGTAGTATAATAAAAATAGATCAATGATAATCTGACTTATAGCACATAAAAGCACTTATTTGCTGTAATATGACATAATTGGTCACATGACCAAACTCTCATTTTCAAATACTGAAAGTCCAAAGTAACTTACTACTGGAATGACATGGGTAACTCCATCACCAGAGTCTATCACAGTTCCTGTAAGAGTTCTTTCCCCTACTTGCCTTGATGTCCAAGATGCTGCCAATGCTAACACAGCCTGAAGTATTAACAAGTATTATGTACAAATGAAGAATCAAACAGAAAATTGTCTTACACTTAAAGCAGGTTTCAATGCAATTCGAGCTACATTTACACTTATAGACTTTCCCTACTTTCAACTTGGAACAACTGATTTATAGTTTAACCTGAAACCTACTTAATTACATAAATTCACTTGTACAGCTTTCTTTCTTTGAAACTGTTCAAGATAAATTTCTGAGAGATGAAATTTTAATGTTGGTCAACAGTATAGAGCCTGGTCAGACTTCTGAGTGTTGTGTTCTGGTGTTTGCTCTAAATGACATAACATAACAAGTATGAAAAATAAGATTTATGAAGATTAAATGAACATTTGTAAACAAGTCAATGAAGGTAAGTCAGTAATACATCAATACCACACACTAATATTGACAACTGATTGACAGGTGACATAAAACATCAGTGACATATTAATACCTGTACAATGTTAGTACAAGGGATATACAAATAACATATTAACTTATAGTGTTAATCACCAGCAATATGATTTTACCTGTACTGCTATATATAGACCTGGTACATTGAAAGACTCAAACATGATTTCAGCCGTGTATTCCCTGTTCTCAGGTGTGTTCAAAGGAGGCTCTGTCTGAAAAAGTTCAATATAAGCTATGCATTTAAATAATTCAAAATTCTTACTGAAATATAAGGAATTTACCTGTTATTGTAACTTGCAAGATAAATGAAGTATAAAATCATACATTTCAAACACAGTCAGCAAAGTAAAATGTATTTCCACCATGCTTTTCAAAATTCCTGTTTCCTTTCATGAAAGCAGATTATATATCAACAACTTGAACTGAGCGTGACTCAGTAATCCTCTTATTTAATAATTCATACATACATATTTTCATCCATAAGTGGAGGCAGCTGGGCAATATGAAACAGCTATATTAAACTCCTTGATTAAAATTAAATTTCAATGAAGATGAGTATAGATATGATGTAATAGATTACCAGTAAGAAATAATGATCTTCTGGCTCTGATCTGAGGTATTTAAAGATGGCCTGTTCCCAGAACCTCTCCATCAAATCCCAGTCATCAACTATACCATGTCGAATTGGCCACTGAAATAATTATCATACTTTTCAAGAATATACTATAAAAATACAAAAATCAACAAAAAAGGGTCATTGAAATATAACAATCTTTATGAATACATAACCCAATTGTTTGATATGAAGAAATTTAATATTAGACCTTCTTTTTAAATCATCAAAAGATTAAATAATATTTTTCTTCCTTGTTGAAATCTTAACAAAAAAAAAAAAACCCAGCAAAATCTACAAAATATCTTCCTTGTTATTCAATTTCATCACACTTCATGCAAGTTTAAAGTTGTCCTGTTTATTTAAACTCTTCATGAACACATCCACCCAGCTCTTTTAATTCAAATTTTTCTGATCTAGTGTTTACTTGTTCATTTCATCTTATAGAAATTACTTTGGGATATTGCTTAAAGAAATTGTCAACATTAGGCATTTCCTATCACAAAAAGTCGCCTAGTGTTAAGGTGAGCTAAACATCGATTTAAACTTACCTTTACAGCATATGAAGTTGCATTTAGAGCCTCGTCACCAATGAAGAAGTCCAAATCTTCCACTCCTTTACCTAAACGTGAGATGGACTTATTACCTACAGAGGCAGTTTCTTTTACAGCAATAGCAGATGGTATAATAAACTGTGGCTCTGTGTTGCCAGCATATCCCATCTTAGTGTACCTGTTGTTATATCAACCATGATAGGTAAGATAAATATACTACCAAATAAAAGACGACAAAACATGGCACCTTTGTAAACAAAGACTAAAAACTATTCATTTTTACCTTTGATGCCATAAAAAACCTATTTGTTTGTTTAGTTTAGATCTCAATTTTGCATTATTCCACTCACAAAGATTTATGGATTAGGGTCAAAATTTTCAACATTGTATTACACTGATTATTTTTATTGATTTAATTCTCAATAGTAACTTAAAAATGATCTTGAAATGGAAAATGTTAATGAAATTTTAGGGAAATATCGATCTTGATCCTTATTTTGATAAAGTTATTTTCAACTATAAATGTGTCCATAGGACACGGGTGTCCCCACCCCGCCACTGTTCTGTCAATCTTATGACTCTAGGTCAAATGTTTTTTGAAAACTAAAAATCTTTTACTAATTAAAGGGCAAGAACTTTACAAATACTGAATAAATTCACAAGCAAACCCCCAGGTGCAGAAGTACACATGCTGACCAACATTCTTGTAAACTTTCAGGCCTACAAGTGAAATACTTTTTGAGCTACGCATGAACAAGTTGAAAATTGCAAATTTATACTACTGTAAGTCAAGGGCAATAACTCTAACAAAACTGAAAAAAATCCACATGCAAAGTCCCAGGTGCATAGCTTCACACTGATGTGAATCATTATTCCTGTAATTTAGTGATGTTGATCATTACTCCTGTAAAGTTGGTTGATTCTAACTCAAGCACACAGGAACAAATAACAACATAATAACATTACTAAGTCAAAAGAAATAACTCTACAAATACTGGATAAATCCACAAGCGAAACCCCAGGTGCAAAACTAAATATGCTGAGCAACCTTCCCGTAAGGTTTAACGACTCTATGTCAAATCCTTTTTGAGTTACATGCGACACAAGTTAAAAATTGCAAAAATTTTCTAAGTCAAGGGCAATAACTCTAAAAATACTAAATAAATCCAGACGAAAATACCCAGGTGCACAACAACACATGCTGATCAACATTCCTGTAAAGTTTCATGACTCTATGTCAAATCTTTTTTGAGTTACATGCGAAACAATTTGAAAATTGCAAAATTTTACTAAGTCAAGGGCAATAACTCTAAAAATACTAAATAAATCTAGACGAGTATATCCAGGTGCACAACAACACATGCTGATCAACATTCCTTTTAAGTTTCATGACTCTAGGTCAAATTCTTTGAGTTACATGCGACACAAGTTGAAAATCGCAAAATTTTACTAACTAAGTCAAGGGCAATAACTCTAAAAAAACTAAATAAATCCTGATGAAAATACCCAGGTGCACAACTACACATGCTGATCAACATTCCTGTAAAGTTTCATGACTGTAGGTCAAATATTTTTGAGTTACATGCGACACAAGTTGAAAATTGCAAAATTTTACTAAGTCAAGGGCAATAACTCTAAAAATACTAAACAAGAGCCCGGTTTGAGCCGGGTGATGCTCCCCGATTAGGTTTTGGACACAGGAAAGTACACCTCTTGTAGTTTCAGAGTTATGTCCCTGGAAAAAGTTCAAAGTGCAATAATTCCAAAATTAGGAAAGGCAGAGTTACCATTCTTTGCACTGCACTTCTAATCACTGTTATCTATCAACTTACAAAGTTTCTTGTTGATATCTCTTATGGTTTCCGAGTTATGTTCCGGACAACTTCAAAAAGTATAAAAACACCAAAAAAGGGCAATAACTCCAGAATTAGGCAAGGCAGAGTTATGATTCTCATGCACTGCACTTCAACCCATTGAGATACATCTACCTACAAAGTTTCATGTTAATATCTCTTATAGTTTTACAGCTATGTCCAGTACAAGATTTTTCTAAAAGGGGAGATAATTCAAAAATGAGGCTTAACAGAGTTATGTTTCTTTTGCACTGCACTTCTTTTCAATGAGATCTATCTACCTACAATGTTTCATCTTGATATCTCTTATAATTTTAGAGTTATGTTCCAGACAAAGTTCAGTGTCAAAATTAACAAAGGGCAATAACTCCTAAATTAGGACAAAAAGAGTTATTGTTCTTATGCACTGCACATCTACCCATTGAGATCTATTCACCTACAAAGTTTCATGTTGATATCTCTTATAGTTTTAGAGTTATACCCCGGACAAGATTTTTCTATAAGGGGAGATAATTCAAAAACCAGGCAAAATAGAGTTATGGTTCTTTGACACTGCATTCCCCCTCAATGCCCTCTACCACTGTATGAAGTTTAAACAAATTATCTCCAAGGGTTTTCAAGTTATGCTCCGGACAAGAAAACGGACGGACAGACGGACGGACGGACAGACGGACAAGGCGCCGACTATATGCTCCCCCGAAATTTTTCGGGGAGCATAATAATTCCAGACAAAAATACACAGGTGCACAACTACACATGCTGATCAACAGTCCTGTAAAGTTTCATGACTCTAGGTCAAATACTTTTAAGAGTTACATGCGACACATGTTGAAAATTGCAAAATTTTACTAAGTCAAGGGCAATAACTCTAAAAATACTAAATAAATCCAGACAAAAATACCAAGGTGCACAACTACACATGCTGATCAACATTCCTGTAAAGTTTTATGACTGTAGGTCAATACTTTTGAGTTACGTGCGACACAAAAGAGAACGGACGGATGGACGGAAGGAAGGATGGACAGACAAGGGTAAATCTAAATGCCAGCCACAAAAGTGGGGGCACAAAAATTTGTATCATATGTATTATATTATTCCAGAATTATATTCCAAAATAAGTTTGTTTGTTTGCAAATCAGCATAATAGCAAATCCGTGCGTGCCTGAAATAATACAAGAAAAGGCACCCAAGGTCTTCCTCCACCAGTAAAGCTGGAACGTGGCCATATGACCTATACTGTGTTGGTGTGACGTAAAATCCAATCAAACAAACAAACAGCAAATCAGCAAAATTTCTTACATTTTATCTATGTACCATATTATTTTAGTCCAATATAAATTATCAATGTAGGTTTCATACAGCAGAGAACAAAATCAGGATCATTTTATCATAATCCTGACTTTCATTGTGAACATAAAGCCTCGGGATTTGGGGACAAGTACAAAGCAAATTCCTTTAGTATGTACTGGTACAAATCTATAGTTTTGCACGGAACTCAACTGTCAACAACTAACATTAAATCAACCAAGGTGTTCAAAGTTGTCAAGTTCTTCTTTCCTTATAAAACACTTTCTATATGATGTTTTCCATACCAGTTTTCTCAATTATGCCAAAACAGTTCATTGTACAAGTGTACATTCATAACAATTTGTTACAAAGCTCAAGCTGTATGCTATTGCCTACTGTAGTTAAGTTTTCTTTACTCTTAATCAATTAATCATTTAGTCACGAAATATCTATAAAGTAAGCAGTATTTTCCCTTAATTGGGTCTAAAATAAAATAACTGTTTCTCTTATGCTTTTTAACCATACACTACAACCCCTAATTTTTCATTGCCAAACAAACAAGAGCTGTTGGTAGGACAGCACGCTTGACTATTCTTAGTGCTTGATATTAAAAGAGCCTTGATAATGTTAAATTTAGAGCTTTGATAATGTTAAATTTTCTAAGTTCACAAAAGGGCTAATTTTTTTTATAAATTCATGTTATAGGCCTTAGAGAGAGTCTAATTATACAGTATTGGCTTGACTATTCGGAAGGTAATGTCACAAGGGTGTTTTATTGAGTAAAATAATACTAATTACCTATGAATACATAAAATTGACAGAAAATGTACAAAGGCTTGTTATTAAGATGTTTTATCAAGTAAATCACAGCTTTATTATTATGAATGCATAAAATTGTCCCAAAAAAGGCACAGACCCTTCAGTAATTATGGAGATAACAGCTTACAAGCAAAACTTTACCATGTATTTCTTAGTTGAAAAGGGGAGAAAAATCAGCCTAAATGCAAGATTGAATTATGGATCTTTGTCAGTGACCTACAATTATGACCCTAAATGCATAATGTGAAGTTTTAAAATTTAAATAAATATCTTTAATAGTTATTGAGATATGTATAACTTGCATGTAAACATTAACCTAGAGACTAAGTAGAAAAGGGGATATGAATCAGCCTTAATGCAGGATAGAGTTATGGAACTTGGTCAGTCACAGTGACATACAATTATGACCCTTAAAGTATGACCGTAAGTACATGTGTAAAGTTTCATGTAAATATCTTTGAAGACCTTTAACCAAAATTTCTAAGTTTCAAAGGGGCAAATAATTCTGCAAATATTACAGGCAGAGTTATGCAATTTTGCAAACTGATGTACATTGTTACTATAAAAAAGTATTTTAAATTTCAATTGAATATCTCAAGCAATAATTGAGATATTTGACTTTACAAAAAAACTTCAACCAAAATTTCTAAGTTCCAAAGGGTCATAATTCTGTCAATATTGTAGGCAGAGTTATCCAACTTGTCAAACTGATGTACCTTGTTACTATAAATAAGTATTGTAAGTTTCAATTGAATATCTCAAGCAATAATTGAGATATTTGACTTTACAAAAAACTTTAACCAAAATTTCTAAGTTAAAAAGGGGCATAATTCTGTCAAAATTGTAGACAGAGTTATCCAACTTGTCAATCCGATGTACCCTGTTACTATAAATAAGTATTGTAAGTTTCAATGAGGGACAGTAGTGAATAACCTCCCCTGAGTAATCCCTATAAATATATAGGTCCTAAGCTATTGGATTACTCGGACTTTATCGCCTATTTCTTTGTAGCAGACTAAATTAATTAGGGCTAATTATGATCATTTGTAATATTCAGATTAGAATTTGAGATAAGATGTAGAATCTGTTGACATAAATGAAACATATTTTTCTTAAGGGTTACATATTTGTAGTTGCATGTGGAAATAATTCATTAAGACATACCAACCTGTCTTACATAAAACTTAATGATAAAAGCAAAGGATTCCAAATATTTGGACCTACTTACATTTTGGTTAACCTAGGTTTTTATGAAGGGAAGATAATCCACTACTGTCCCTCATTGAATATCTCAAGCAATAATTGAGATATTTGACTTTACAAAAAACTTTAACCAAAATTTCTAAGTTAAAAAGGGGCATAATTCTGTCAAAATTGTAGGCAGAGTTATCCAACTTGTCAATCTGATGTACCTTATTACTATTAATAAGTATTGTAAGTTTCAATTGAATATCTCAAGCAATAATTGAGATATTTGACTTTACAAAAAACTTTAACCAACGCGGACGCTGACGCCAGGGCGACTACAATAGCTCTCATATTCTTCGAATAGTCGAGCCAATAAAAAAATGTTATACTTTACATCTCTGACAATGAAAATCACATCTCTAAATCTGGCCCATGTTTTTGCATTGTTAGTATACAAACTGGGATATACATAGAATAAAACTTACGTACTAAACTTTGAACAGATGAGAAACATTCACTATTTTTTATTGAAATCCATGAAACTCAAGAGGATAATTGAAATGTTAAATAAAAACATTTTACATTGCAGGGGGGAGGGAAATAAAGATAATTTTGTGGCTGGCATTGTGAAGCGGCCTAGGCCATCCTTATATATATATGCAGGTATGATTTTTCTTAAAATCATGAAATGTTAGCATGATTTTCCTTAATGTTGTGAAAGAGGTAACCAGTGTGATATTGACATAATTTGTGAAAAAGAAAAAAAACAACTTACAAATGGCATTTTCATTTATATGTGATAAAACAATTTGAAAACATTTAAATGAGCTATTTCAGCAAAACTGCCAGTATCTTAGAAACTTGCAATGATTTAGGGTAGTAGGTGACTTTCCCAACTGAAGCTTTGATATTTCGAAGCAAAACTTTCAATTGTGGATGTGACATTTCTTTCAGTTATGAAGCTGGCATTATGGAATTGCAAGGGTGGGTGGGACTTATATATTGGAAAAAAAAAACAAGTCAAAGTATACATTTTAACCAAATGCAGAGATGAATATCCATAATTAAAAATGACCTATAAAATCACATTGTCAAAACAAGTTATCATGTTCAGCTAACTTGTGCTCAGTCAGGATAAAAAACATATAATTTTATATGCTATAATAATATGTAAACAACAATTCAAGTATGAAAACCCCAGTAAGAGCTCCTTCACGGAAAAGCAAATTTAGGCTAACAAAAACATCACTTCCTTGTTTTGCTAAATATAAAGTTTTTGGAAATAAGACAGTAATTAACAGTGAATAAACATACCCTGTTCCATTGTCAATAATAACTGCATGTTTCATGAAAGGCATTTTGAGAAAATATAAACGTTAAAATCCAGATCAATGAATTCAAAAATATTTCATTAAACACAAACTTTTTCAGCCATCAACAGAAATATGTGAGATGATTATTTTGTGCAAGGTACTTAAGCTTCACTTCCTGGTGAAACATGAGACTGTATTTACCAGCTTAAAAGTTGTCACTTTACAGTGACAAGTGAAGCAAACAGTTTATATAAATAATAAGTAAAGATTAACCTTAAGAATTATATTTGAAGTTGTGAGAATATTATCATTTCATAAGAAAACTAAACTGTTTTCCTCTTCAATATTTTGTACAGTTGGGTTAAACTTAAATCATAATTCTTTTCAAAGAGTAATTGATGCATATTATTATTCTGCCAAAATATACAGACTTCAAATTACAAAAATAACATATAAACACTGCAAATTTATTAACCTGTCATTAAAACATGGATATATTGAGATATGTATGCTTTTTTTGGCAAATTGTCTTTAGACTGGGCAGTTCTTACAATGAACAACAGGTTTATATATATATGCATCTCATTACACCAGGGAAGTACATAAAGAAACCAAAACATAACTGGGAATATATTACAGTACACAATAACTAATGTATAATATTATTGATATCGTTCAAGTGGACTTCCAAACAGATTATACACCCCAGTATGTAAAAACTAAAGGGCCGACTAAATAAATTTCTTTTTGTTATTTTTAGTCTTTTTCAATGCACCAATCGTAATCTGAGCCTGCTACATATATCAAGTAGTTATATATAAATTTGTGAATGACATTAAATAAGTTTTCCTTTATTTGTAAGAGAGGCAATCAGAAATAATAAGTTTTTAGCAAAGGGTGGGAGGGGTAAATTTTCTTAGGAAAATATGACTAATTATTTTCTTGTCATGAACGATTGTGTCGCTGACCATACCCCGTTCCATTATCAATGACTACAGCTGGTAGTCGCCCAGCCATGTTTCAGCTACTTCAACAATAAATAAGTGCAAACTTCCGCAATTCACAACCAGGAAATGAATCAGTCATCGGCAACTCGCAAAATGGCGCATGGGAGGGTTGGAGACTGGTTACTTTCAATGAATTCGTAATGAAGCTAAGTAACAAAAACATAAAGAAAGAAACTTGAAAGTTAAGGAACAGATATATATTTATTATATACTTATTTATGAAATATTGAAAAATATTGATAACAAATGCGTATTTTCATTTTCCATATTTAACTGTAAACATTAATTTTTTTACTACAGTGAAACATATTTTTGTATTTTCACTGGGACTACTTTCAGTACACAAAAATTAAGGGAAATTTATTGTTTCTGAAAACAACCTTAAAATAACTGTACCTACTTTTGTCCCTAAGCCACTGCCCCGGTGGATCCCTGCTACAAATGCATATAATAAATTTAATAGGCACGTGCATGCATATACTTTTCATGTAATGGTCACGTGCATGTAAAGTTCACGGAATTCAATTTTCACGAAATGGTCACATGCGTACGTGTACTTTAATTTTGAGTAACAAAGTGAGTTGCTTGCAGATTGGCATTACTTGTTTACTAAATTTCTGAAATGTATCCCCAAAAATTAGACATAGATATATACTTCACGATGTACGTGTATTTTATTTTTCAAATAACTTATAGCTGCCAGCTAAAATGATTCAGGTTACACTCATTAAAATGTTATCATTTATAATTATAATAGTTACAGTCGGTGCTATTTTAATATGTCTGATTAAAGATACATATAATCACGGCTTTATAGATATATTTTAGATCTAAAATAACTAATTATTTCGAGTAAACCGTGACTTTGGTGAACTGTTTTCTGTTTGGTCGTTTATTTTTAGATGATGGTCGCCCCACGATTGTACTTCTAGTCATTCGAGTCTGTAATAATAAATTTATTGTCTAGCTGTCAAGTCAAAGAAAAAGAGAAGTAATTTAGTTAGGCCTAAAATCGTAATCTACTTAATTTAAGACGTGATAAATAAATCATAAATATAAACAAATAAGATTTTTTAAAAAGATAATCAGTATACGTATCACCTTTAGATGGGCATGGAAATAATTAATTTGTTCCCAGTACGTACCATTCCTGACTAGGCTCAATCAAACCGAGCCTGCAATATTTTCAATTATGTCGTTTAGGACATTCTTTAGGGATTCTGTTTTTCTCTATCTTTTTATTAGTATGTCCCATGATGGTAGAATATTTTATTTATGATGCAGAACCATTTGGTTTAATATATTCATCTCCCATTTATGTGATATTGTTATTACATGACTATACAAAAATATAAATGTATGTCTAGTCACTCTGCATAGACCTATGCTTGAAACGTGCCCCGTATCTATTCGAATAATATAAGTTTGCATTATTTCAATTCAGATCGAGTAACTATATATATACTAACTAACTACCAACAGGCAAAACGATCACCAAAATGGCATAAATGGCACAACTTAGCATCGTGTCATTAACAGATGTTCCGGTCTGAACAACTATATTATAAAAGACATTCCATTAAGTAAACTTTTTTATATAATGCCTGGATTTTGGATTTTCACACAAAATTTACAAGTGTTGACTACTTCGTTGTACAAAGTACTTCTTTGCCCTTTTTGAAATTTCAACCAGTCTGAAGTCTACTTTCGTTTGGTGAGTTTTCAATGATTTATCAGTTTTAGATATTTTTATGGTTTAAAATTTGTAAAATATTTCCATTTTATAATGTCATTCCTTTCAATTGATTTTAAGTTAGTTCCTGGTCATGTGCGTTCTATTATAAATGCTATTCAGCATTGATATCCGACTTTTCGGTCTTCGTCTTTTTAACTGTTCAACTCGGCCTAGAGTCTAGACGTTTCGGCCCTGGTCTTTTCGGCTACTTTTTTTACTATATTGTAGGGGTAAATGCACATGTAGGCCTATATAACTAATCTTGAATGTGCTGAAGGTCTGTTATTTTGTACTTTTATTCCTTCATACAATGTTTCACACTCAGACTTAATTAAAAAGCCCAGTTTTTTGTCTCAAAATATTTTTAGTGAAATTAACTATTGAACTGTTTAATACTGTACTGGTTGGAGACCATCAAAACCGGACAACCACCATGCAAACCCGGACGGCCCCGAAAATGCTTAATTTAGTCATTTCTTTCTTCAGTGGTTGTCAGTCCCTTTTTTATCAACAGTAAAAACATGTTTCTTCTAAAATAAATTAAATAAATTTATTTCAACCTCCGTAGATGATATATATATAATATTTAAAATGTCTATTTCAAGAATGTTGACGTTGAGATTTGTGGTCAAAAAAGCAATATACCAGCTATTATCATTTGCAGAGTTAACAATAGAATTTCCAAAACTTCAGCATTTGTTAAAAATCAAAACACCAAAGCTTTTATCTGAATTAAATCACATCATGTACTGTACATATCTGTCCGGACACATGGTACTGTAGTGTAGACAATTTAGGTAATTTTGATACCCTCCTTGTCAAGCCTCAGATATAAGTGTCTATACAATCAGAAATGAACAGACTAGTTTGTTAGTTAGGAGAAGAACCTAGCTGAACTGTGTCAAATTTGTTGGTCTCTACAGTAGGTTAAAAATTATGAAATTTGTACGGAAAAATGTTCAAAAAGTGTCCGGTTGATGGTCCCCGACCAGTATAGAAAAGTATTTAACATTTCTGTGTTTAACTATGATTGAAGCACAATTAAGTAACTATGTTTTAACAAAAATAAAATTAAAATGGTGTTATGTTGAAAGTACACATCTTACCAGTGATGACAGCTGAAAATTCATGAAATATTAATATCATGCTGCAAAGGAATTACGGACAAGGCGGACCTTGAGACGGGGCGGACCATAATTTAGGACAGGGCGGACCGTGACTCGAGACGAGGCAGACCGTGATTTAATGTAATAAAAATATTTAAATCTTGCCATTTCTTTTAATATCATTATAAACATATATACATATATTAATGCAGTTCATTAATTTAGAATAAATTTGTTTAATGAAATTATTATAAACAGCATCAAGTTGGACATTATGCAGGTGATAATTGACCAATTATTGGGATATTACATGTCATTGTTTGTTAAATAATAAGAGGGTAAAATTTTATATAACAATATGATACAGAAAAGGCTTGTTAATCACGTCTCACATTTGAAACACAATACAAAACAATAGCATAAAATAATGATGAGTGACATTACAAAACTTGAAAAGTAAACAAAAGTTAGACAAAATTTACAGCGTACACGGAAAAGATGACTTATTTACTTTACAGGTATACTAAAAGATAATGACTAAGTCAGACAAACATATATACGTGTACAAAACTTTAAACACACATGTACATGTATATCAATTGATTTACATTTTAACATATTCATATACATGTATACACTTAATAAAATGCACAATTATATACATGGCGGCCATTAAGACTTGCGCAACTTTCAAGAAATGTTTTGGTGGAAAGTGTCTTGTTGGAATATTATTCTATCTATAATGTCATCAATTTTGACTGCATGCTCCTGGTTGACTTCTCCTCAATTTTGATTCTTTTGACGAGTTAGTTTACATAAGAAATGATTTTTTTGCTTTGTCTTCATTAAGATGCTGTCTGTTTAGCAAGTTGATATACATTTATACATTTCTTGGCTTTCATATAGTAACGAATTAACTAATATAAATTATCATTATTCCTCTATACAGATTAAATGTTATGAATTGTATATATATATTAAGGTAATTCTGTGAAGTTTTTTTTAATATTAGCACAATATATATTTTAATATGTTTTACATAAAAAAATTAATCCATTCCCACAATCTTACACTACCTATTTTATTCTACTAATTGCATGGCTTAATGTCAATAATAATCTGTTCAATTTGAAAATGCTTAAATATAGGACATGTTTCGGATGACATTGATATCAAAAGATAAAAAGATAAATGAAATAGCAATATTAAGCTTGAAATTAAGCATGGTCCGCCTTGTCTCTAGTCACGGTCTGCCCTGTCCCAAAATATGGTCCGCCCTGTCCATACATAAGGTTCCGCCCAGGTACGGTCCGCCCTGTCCTATGACCCTGCAAAGGTATAACACTTTCTTTAATTTTTTTTTTAATTAAAGATTTTTTTATATAAAGAAATATTTTATTCTCAATATTATAAAATATTAGTGAAACAGAAATTTTCTATTCTCCTACTCTAGGCAACAATATTCCTAACAAATTTATCCATTTAAATTATTATAATCTGATTTCCTTTTTGAATTATTCCAACCAATATGCATATTTTTTCTATTGCAAGTACCTTATGTGGAAAGGAATTTTACAAAATCTGTCAGTGTATGCTTACAGTTTTGTATAAATTTATGCTGTACAAATTGTAAAATATATTGTTTAAACTAAAAGATCTGTTGGTCAATGCACATTCAGTGTTGGTTTCTGACTAATCATACTTAAGTACCTGTGATCTGAGTGTGAGCATAGAAATTTCTATTGACTTAAGATCTTGGTTGCTTATCCCTCTAAATGTGTAGATGGCTGGTCCTGTTACTTCTGTACATACAAGAACTTACTTGTGTCGATGATATTGCATGTCTTGAATAGAGTTATGCTTTCTAAATTTTGAGTTGATTTGTTTTATGGCATTTTGAGTGTTACATAAATTATGTAAACAAATTATTATTAAATATTGAGATATTACATTTATAAATGTTATTTCATGCATTTATGTATTTCAAATCTTCATTGTCTATGTGAGAATAACTAAGATACACATGTACCTGACTTAGATAGATGACTTAGTTGATTTTTACTTGCACATTTTTTATTTACTCAGGGTTGACAGTATGGCATCTGGAGATGATAAAAGAAAACTAAAGGTAAAAATATTTTTAAAAATTAAAATCTTTAAATAATACACTTAGAGAATTAAAATTTTGCAGTTCTGTACATAAATTATGTTTTATTGATAACCCTTTCTTTTCCTGATGTGTTTGCCTTTGGAAATAAACAAAAGTTGAGGGTGGCCCCAGCTCATCAGTTGCTCCTGTTGGTCATTATGTTAGATATTACTAGTACATGTACATGCTAATTTTTCTTTATCATTTCTACTTCAGATTCTCTGTATTCATGGATACAGGTGAGTTACAAACATTTTGTCATGTTCTAATCAATATTTTCCTATAAACCAGAAAATTGAAGCTCTCCTGATTATGAAATTGTTAAAGGAGCTTAACTCATCTAAATATATATATAGCATACTGTTCTAAGAATATAAGTATAAGAATTAAATATTTATCTGATGAATATATAATTTATAATAATATACATGTACTTTTAAACTTAATTCAGTATTAAGAGTGATGAGAAAAACATTCATCAGTCAGTTTGCAAACATGATATTCAAACATTTAATTGGGAATTAAGTATAATGTGAATACTGTTTATTTGGTTTCTGTATCAAAACTTGTAGCTTTTTTTTGTTTTCCAGACAAAATTCACAAAGTTTTAGGGAAAGAACGGGGGCATTTAGAAAAATACCGATTATTAAGAAGCACACAGAATTAGGTAACATTTTTTTCTTCTATTTACATGCCTTATTTGCAGGACTTAATTTAAGAAAGAATTTAATTTTTCCATATCTTTATGAGATATTTTTTTAATACAAATATTGATTATTTCAGTATAATTATGAAAACAAATAAAAGAATACTTCATTAGAATTGATAGCTTAAACAGGACAGAAATGTATGAATAATTGAATTCTTTCATTTAGTTTTCATCACTGCTCCGAATAGAGTTCCAAGTTTGCCAGTGGAAGGGGATGAATCAACGTCAGATGCAGGTATCTAGAAATATTAATGATTTCTTCAGTTATACTTTGAACTTGTTAGATATACAGGTTTAACCCTTTACCTCATATAGACGGCCTTTTCAAGGCCTTTCGATGCCCCCCCCTTTTTGAGGCCTCAAAAGGTGAAAAATTACTCTATTTAGGCCCCAAACACTGTTTTTCATTTGGGAAATGTTGTTAAAAATGTGATCACTTTTTGGGCTCCGCCCCCTTTTAAAAAGGTACATCAGGGGGTTGCCAGAAGGGGGATGTGCCCCCTCCTGTTTTGGGGGTTTTGAAGGGGGCAGCAGCCCCCCTCATTACAAAGAAAATTTGGACATGTGACAGGCTAAAAATGGCCTCAGGTCGAACGTAAGGTAACATGTAACCGACGCTGAAAAGCCTTTTACTCCAACTCAATCCATTGAGACGTGGAAAAAACATGCAAAATAGTGACAATTGGCAATTTTGAGATGTCCCCCCATTGCCATGGTAACAGGAAATTTAAGATTGAGCATGCTGTTACAGAGGCTATGGTTCAGTCAACATTTGTGCCAAGTTTCATCAGTATTAAAGCATTTGTCATAGTTTCATAGCAGTTTGAACTTGTAACAGGAGGCATTTCAGTGAAAACGGCCATTTATCCCAATATGCTCATGAGGTAAAGGGTTAAGGTTAAAGCGGCCTGCAGCTTTTCTAAGATTAAATAGATTTTCTTTAGATAAATTGTCAAATCAAAAGAATTAGGATGGAAAATGAAAACTTGAGACGATAATATATATAAACAATAAGGTACTTCTAATATACCGATCTGCTCTATATATTTTAATTAGTATAGCAGACGATTTGTGTCTGGATCTTCTATTTTTAGACACAAACATCAATGACACGTTATAAATAGCTCTCAGGATGCTGTTTTGAAGAAGGCTTAACAGTGATATGGTGCACTTTTCCAAGTTAAAATTACTAAACTTTGTTTGAAACAACACAGAATTGTTTTCCCACAAAAAAAAAAAGCTGAAGGCGGCTTTAAATATTAGGTCTCTGGCTCAAATGTTTATCAATTCCCTTCACACTGTACCTCATATGTACTTCAAATTACTATACATGTATAGTATCTGTCTATGGTTATCATTTAAATGTTTTATTTCACTGGCCTTCAAATTATCTATAAACCGTAGAGCTATTAAAAGAAAAATAAAGTTTTAAGTCATGAACCGATGGCCGGATCATCACAGAACTTGATAAATATTATAATGTTAATAGTTACATGTAAGAGTTTTCATAATAGCCTTGCTCAAGACTGTCATACATTTATTAATCTGAGGCCTTAATGGAAGCACACTTTAGTCAATTGTTTATAAAATTATAAGATATGTTAGATATTTCTTTAATTCTTTAACTTACTGACATTTGAATATTCCTTTAAACTGATACGGTTGATTTAAGTCAACTTGTTCCCTTGTATCATGTTTAGCCAGCTGTTGGTAAAATATCTCTGTATTATATTGTAGATGAGAGAGGTTGGTGGTTTTCTAAACAAGATAAATCATATATGGCTCAAGATTATACTGACTGTTGTAATGGTTTTGATGAATCGATTGAACTTGTGAAGAAAACATTTTTGGAACAGGTATTTTATTCGATCATATACTTGCAAAAGCCCCAACTAGATCTTTGAAATTTGTGGAATACTCATAATACTGGCCTAAGTATCATTTTATGTCAGTATGACCATGAAAGATATATTAGTAATACATACAATGGTTTGAAAATCAGATTTGTAAATTTAAACACACTGTGCATTTGATCTCGTACACTATCCACCTAAACCAAAAGTTGCAAATTTAATGTTAATGTCAATTGCCCGAATGTCAGGACCCAATTGGTCAAATATATGGTCAGCATAAAATATTCATAAATTTATAAATAGACCAATAATTCACCAGACTACTTCCATGTGTAATAGAATTACAAGTTGTTATTTAAATGTGGAAGAAAAACAAGGCATCAAACTTTGAACTGTTTGGTTTATAGATATGTAACTAGTTTTGAATTTTGAAAACAGACTTTTCATGTAAGTTTTAAACTAATGCATAGTTGATTAAATCCAAGGAATTGTTTTTGATATACATTGTATTAAAAGTATTCTTTTTATACCCTCGCACAACAAAGTTGTAAGGGGGGTGTACTGGAATCAGCTTGTCCGGCCGGACGTCCGTCCGTCCGGCTGTCCGGCGGTTTTTTCTTGTCCGCCCAATAACTTAAGATTCCTTTGACCCTTAGTCTTCATATTTGGCATGGAGGTTAGTCATGATTAGTAGATGACCCCTATTGATTTTGAGGTCACTAGGTCAAAGGTCAAGGTCACAGGGGCCTTGACTTCAAAAAGCTTGTCCGCCCAATAACTTAAGATTCCTTTGACCCACAGTCTTCATATTTGCCATGGAGGTTAGTCATGATTAGTAGATGACCCCTATTGATTTTGAGGTCACCAGGTCAAAGGTCAAGGTCACAGGGGCCTTGACTTCAAAAAGCTTGTCCGCCCAATAACTTAAGATTCCTTTGACCCACAGTCTTCATATTTGGCATGGAGGTTAGTCATGATTAGTAGATGACCCCTATTGATTTTGAGGTCACTATGTCAAAGGTCAAGGTCACAGGGGCCTTGACTTCAAAAAGCTTGTCCGCCCAATAACTTAAGATTCCTTTGACCCACAGTCTTCATATTTGGCATGGAGGTTAGTCATGATTAGTAGATGACCCCTATTGATTTTGAGGTCACCAGGTCAAAGGTCAAGGTCATAGGGGCCTTGACTTCAAAAAGCTTGTCCGCCCAATAACTTAAGATTCCTTTGACCCATAGTCTTCATATTTGGCATTGAGGTTAGTCATGATTAGCAGATGACCCCTATTGATTTTGAGGTCACCATGTTGAAGGTCAAGGTCACAGGGGCCTTGACTTCAAAAAGCTTGTCCGCCCAATAACTTAAGATTCCTTTGACCCACAGTCTTCATATTTGGCATGGAGGTTAGTCATGATTAGTAGATGACCCCTATTGATTTTGAGGTCACCAGGTCAAAGGTCAAGGTCACAGGGGCCTTGACTTCAAAAAGCTTGTCCGCCCAATAACTTAAGATTCCTTTGACCCACAGTCTTCATATTTGGAATGAAAGTTAGTCATGATTAGTAGATGACCCCTATTTATTTTGAGGTCACCAGGTCAAAGGTCATGGTCACAGGGACTTTGACTTCAAAAAGTTTGTCTGCCCAATAACTTTAGATTCCTTTGACCCACAGTCTTCATATTTGGCATGGATGTTGGTCATGACTATAAGGTGACCCCTATTGATTTTGAGGTCACTGGGTCAAAGGTCACAGGGACCTTGACAAAAAAAATGCTTTTCTTCTCAATTGCTAAAGTATGTCCTGTCCGCAATGTATTGATTTTGACATTTTCACATTTGAAGCATGTAGAATACATAACTTAGCAATGCACTGGCTTAGTAACCTCAGATTTGGCAGGGAGGTTGTCCTTGAGCTCTAAATGGCCACTGTTTATTCTGACAAAGTGGTATGCGGGGGTATTCACGCCATGATAGTGGCAGTTCTAGTTATTTTTGCTATATTTCAAACACTTTGTTATTGTATTAAGTTGAACATTTGTAGTTTACCTGGTTTCAGGGACCATTTGATGGAATTTTAAGTTTTAGTCAAGGTGCAGCATTTGCTTCATTGTTGTGTGGAATGAAAGAACAGAATCCAGGTAGTTGCTTTCATTTATGATTATCCTTTATTAGTATTAATCAGTTTTCAAGAAAATAATATTAAAATTGTAATCAATGAGATTTTAATATAGATCATATTTTTAAAAAATCACAAAATATGTTCAGTTCTTGTATGTAAGTATGTAAATATTTCGACATGTTCAAATAATTATTTCATTTTTTTAGTCCCCTACCGGTTTACCGGAGGGGACTTTAGGTTTACTTCCATCCGTCTGTCCGTCTGTCTGTCCGTCCGTCCGTCCACAAAACTGGATCCCGCGATAACGCAAAAAGTACTGAAAATATTTTAATGAAACTTGATATATGGATAGATGGCAGTATGGAGATTATGCACGTCTTTTTCTTTTTTTCCTATGCTGAAAATTCTAGTTGCTATGGCAACAAATAGGCTGAAAATATGGCAAATTTTACACATAACCTGGATCCAGTGATAACGCAAAAATTACTGAAAATATTTTTATGAAACTTGACATATTGGTAGATGGCAGTATGGAAATTATGCACATTCTTTTCTTATCTTCCTGTATTGAAAATTCTGGTTGCTATGGCAACAAATAGACTGAATTTCAAGATTTCTGATTCTAGTTTTTCAGTTTTTTCACTATAAGTTCTTTATTTCTTAAGGTATTTTCTTCAAACTTTAAATATAAGTTGCTAGTCATCAACCACGTCATATGTGACAAAGTTTACAACTCTTGCACAAAATTTATCAGAATTACCTCCCTGGAACTTAAAATTTTCATGAAAAAAACATTGTTTTTTTTAATAACTTCTTTTTTTCTGAACGTATCTACTTCAAACTTCATATAAATGTTTCTTATTATCACTCAACATTTGTGAGTGTTCAATACTCTAGCAAGACTATTTCCAGAATTATGCCCCTTTTGAACTTGACTTTTTTTGAGAAATTGGTAATTTTCTTTAATTATGATAGGATTTTCTTCAAACTCCCACATCATAATAATATGACAATAATATGACAAGGTTTATAAATCTAGCATCCATATTTCCAAAATTATCTCCTCCTTTAACTTTTTATTTTTCCTATTCGTTCTTTTAACTTTCATTTACTTCAAATTCAAAATAAACATTCAATATTCATACCTTCATTACTAATTGTTCTTTGTTACACTCACATCATGTATGACATCGTTATCTCCTTTTTTTTAAATTTTGCTTTAAAAATGTTATATTTTGATAACAGGGATGTTTAAAACATAACTTTAGAGTGTCATTCAGTCTGTCTGTTTGTCTGTACATAAAAACTGTTCACTGTGATCACTTAAAATAGAAACATAAGTGAATGGCCAATGGCCCTTCAGAATGTTGCTTGGGCTCTTACCGGTAGGGGACTTATGGATTGCTTGCAATACTATGATAATTGCTTGTTTTTCTAGAAAAATAAGTGTTATTTATTTCTAAAACTTTATTCCTATTGATAAAGTAACACATCCTAGGGAAAAACTTTTAAAAGAGACTTCCTGGATATATCACTGGGATACATTATCACCAAATGGAATGAATTCCAAAGTTCTGTTTTTATGTCTGTCATTTGCTAAAAAGTATTTTGTATATGTCTTTGTCAGTTTTTCTGGTATTTTACTTAAAACTTCAGTATCATTTGTATTTTAGAATTATTCCAGTTTGACTTTGCCATATTGGTAGCAGGCTATAAAAGCAGGCAGTCGTCACACCAAAATTTTTACAGTACACCTATTTCTATACCAACATTACATGTATATGGAGATACTGACAAAGTTATACCAAAAGGTAAATGCTACAGGATCTTTCATTCAATAATGACAAGTATTTAGGTATTGTAATATTAGTAAAGCAGTTGTGGTTATGTATAAGGTCAGTTTAATCAACCCTTACCACAATGTATATCTGAAATGGTCTTGTCCATTTTTTTCATCTGGACAAAACCATTTGTCTATTTTCAGGATAAAATTTTAAAATATGTATTGACTGAATAGCATACAGTGCATACAATGATCAGATGGCACAGATGTGCTGGCTGAATTTGGTCTGCACTTGTTGCTTAGGTGTATTCTGTTGCTGCCAGCATGTTAGGGTTATTCTTATCAGAATGAACAATGTATAATTACCTGGTATTGTTCCAGCAATCATATATGAGGCCCATTAAAAATTTCAGTACAATCCAGTTAATTAATGCAAATGGATACAAGTAGAGATTTTGATGCTAAAGCATCAAGTCGCCGGATAGAAATATGATTGTATTATCATAAATAAAAAAAATGTCAGTTTAATGGTTTGAGTATAAAGAAAAGAGGAACAATAAGTTGAGTAATGTTTATTCATAAACACATTTTCATTTACTTGCCACAATTATATCTTTCTTGCTGAGAGTTTTATGCAATAAATTTATGTTATGTTATAATAAAACATCATATTTGAAGCAAACTTGCCTAGCAATTTTGTCAAGAAACTGTTATTATTATTAAATAAGGAAGCATTGTTTGGCAATATTTACCCGAGACTCGATAATTTTTGGGAGCTGTTTCGTTGGCTTACATAACTTATTATGATTAATGTTAACGATTTTATTGTAAGTATAACTACATGTATAATTATATCAATTAATACTGCTCGATGGCCTAATGGTAAGTATGACGAAGTTGTAACCTACATGTAGTAGGCGCAAGTTCGAATTTCGGACAAATCCTGCTTGTTGTTTTCATAAATTGATTTTTATTATATCTTTTAACTTTATAAAACATAAGTTGATAAATCGTGTGTTTCAAGTTTTGCAAAATACAAAAAGTATTATAAAAGAAAACATAAAAAATCACTTTATCGAACCTATATACAGTCTTCAATTTGAAACTAACTTAAAATCTAACACCTTGTCATCGAGGCTTGTAAAGCGAGTGATATGGTTATGATTCTACTTGTAATTCTACTTTATACATATACCGTTGTAATCCGTATGGTTTTCTTCAGCATCCGATAATTACCGACAAATTATTACCGATCATCGAATATTTGCAAAGTAACTATGAAAATATATATGCTTAATTATTGCATAAAACATGCAAATCTACTGTAAAAGTGGTGTCTGCATGAAAAAAATATTCTTATGCACTATCGAAAAAATATATTATTTAGCTGAAATCAATATTCCTGTCGTTACATACGATAAAGTTAACGTTTAATTGCCTTTCAGTGCGATAAACTATCAACACAAAGATGGTTTATTAGTTTTCTCTTTGTATCCAATACGATTCCGGCCCCTACTGTTATACCGAGATTTTTCATACAAAATTACTTTGATTTGCACTTTATCAGCTGCCAACCATTCACAAGTTACCTGTATGTCTGTCTTATCAGCCATTTGTTACTATTAATAGATTTTACAACAATAACATACAACGTGTAGTCACGTGATTCTGGGAGTAACTGTTTATAATAAATAAGATAAATAAAATAGAATATGTCTCATAAGATACAAACAACCAGATAATTTAAAACTGTGATTTCAAATATCATGCATGATTTATTTATCATAAAATAGCAATGCTTGACACTTTAAAAAAAGTGAAATCATCCCTAAATTCAATGACTGGTCCATAGGGATACGTCATTAACTCATTTTATAAAAATTGTAATGTTGCTTTTTATGATGTCAATATTTGAATATTTCATTTCATTGAGCAACATTATTGTATGTTTGAAATTTTGAGATTACAGAAAACAATTGTAGTCTTTACTTTTTCAGTAATTGTTATGCTTTTATTTACAGAAATTAATGCCTTCTCCTACCATAGGTATAATATTAAACTGTTACAAATATTGTCGCCGGCGACTAATAATGTAAGAGACTTATATAACAGATGGTTTAGAAGCTCTAAAAATAGAAAATATTCCTATCCAGACACACAGTCCCTTGCACAAGATTAACTGGTCCTTCAAGTTGATAAATTTCGGCCATCTCAATGTTTTACTTAAGGGAATGTTCAGTATCAATTTACATCTTTTTAATTTGTACTGCTTTTTGTTTTACATTTTTGCAATTTCTTTTTTGTCATGTCAAACATATATTGTCACGGAAAATCTCAGGAAGATATGCACTTGCAGGATAGTCAATGCCTGATACTGATGAATGACGTCATAGCGTCTTCTTCTCTGTGATAATGTTAACATGTTATCTGCAATGCTTATTTGAAACAAAAGATATTTACATCTCCTGATTTCTATTTAACAGGGTAAAGGTTTAGTAAATGCAAATTAATTTAATTAAATTATATACTAAGGTATACATGTATTATATATTCATTTTGAGAGAATACTGTGTTTGGATTTATACTTCACATCAAGACTTGTTTTAACAGAAACTGCTTATTGTCGTTCTCAGAAACATGTAATAAAGTTTTGATTTTATTTGTGTTTTGTAGAAATGAGTGAAGATCTGTTGCAGTATTTTGTGGAGCCAAATATTTTACAACATGAAGGTGGACATTTTATACCTGCTAGTGCCCCACAGAAAAAAGTTTATACTGAATTTCTTCAACGCATGTTGGACAGTCAAGAAAAAAAATCTTAACGACTTTCAAAATGTTCTAGTATTTTAAATTGTATTACTGCAGTATGACTTGAAATATTTATTAAATGTTCTAAAAATATGACACATATTTTATGTTCTATACACATAAAATTGAAAAGAAAGGGAAAAAAAAGGAAAAAAATGTTCTTTGTTTTTGTTTTTTATTTGAAAGAAAATATTTTCATCATGAATATCAACATTATTTTCCCTGAAAGATTGTTTTTGTTTCTTATGCTGATAACATTGGAAGCCCAAAATTGAAACTGCATTGCCTAGATATATTTTGTTTGCCCAATTTCTTGAAATTTGGCAGAAATGTACATGATTGGAGAAATAAGGCTCAGGGAATTTGTCATAAAAATTTGTCATTAAAATCTATTAGTAGGGGAGTGAAAGAACAAAATTGTTCAAAAATAGCAATATTTTAATTTTTCTATATGGCATTTTTTTTTAAAAAGAACTCTCAGTAATTCAAACAGTTTCATAGTTTGAATTAAGATACATTTCACCACAACCTAAATCACTTCATCACATGAATTAAACCATATAGAAGATGGTAACAACAATTACTGCCTTTTTAGTCAGAACAAAAATAAAGCTGCAAAAGGACAGTTAATATTCTGTAAAAAAATCATTGGACCAAAACAAGGCCCTATAAGACGAAGTTTGAACAGACATAGAGGCAACTATATATATGCATCTCTAACAGAAGAAGACCCTCTGTCCCCTCTGTGTGCCATTTCAGGCACCTAAGTAGAGCAACGGACATCCTGTAAGCCAGCTGGAAAGCATTGTCACATTTTTGCTGGTGTTTACTTATTGTGACGGCAGAGAAAGTGAAAGCGACAGAAATGTCATATTCAGATGCTCGTTCATTGGTTACTTTTCTCCGGGGTTTCATATTGTGACAACAGGGAACGTGTTTTTATGTTTGACTATGATACAAAAGAGAAAGAACATCAAAACACTTGGCAAACTGATTAGTACTCGAAATCAGATAGCCTCGTGTTTCGATGCTCTTTCTATTACATAGAGGGACATATCTGGAAATGTGTAGACCTGTTCATGAGAGAAAATCGAAGTTGCGACATTCACACTAGTCAGTCCAATATGAATGTAATGCATGTCGATGTGCAAATCTTTTAGATTAATTTACGTTATCAAATGAAATTACGATTTTTTTTCAAACAGGGCTTAAATTCTAATTAAAGCAGTAGTGAAAATCAAAAAGACAAAAATCATGTGTCGTGTGCACTTGGCACCTAGCTTAAATTCTTGTTTCTAAAATCATAAATGGTAAATTACAAGACTTCATTTAAACCATAAAACGAGGCGTGTGAGTATGACAAGAGACGTAGACATCTACAACTTGAAGCTCTGGTGTATGTGATCATGTGATTTTCTATGTCTGCAGACGACATAGATCTAATTTGACATATTTCGAGAACAGATAGGTACTGTACGTATTATAGCTTATCTAACAAAAATATTATTTACAAATAGCCTAAATAGGAAAATCTAATCATATTAGATTCAAAAATAAAACAAATACAGTATGCAGGATATTTAAAATTTATCAAATACGAATTACTAAAGAAAAGCCAAGATTTATCGGTTTACTACATAATTCTACACCATTTGTCGGTAATGGATAGTTGTGAAATAGTTAGATAGTTACTTCCCTTTTATGTAAAATTGAACTTCAGATTAGGGCAACGTGAATTGGAAAAGGGTGTATTTTCAGTTTCCCCCGTATCATTATAATATGTAAGCTTTCTTGAAACATTTTTAAAGCAGTCCCGTGAAGTTCGCACAGAAAAGATATGTTCATTTAAATGAACACTGTGAAATGTAAAGCACTTATTTCACGGCGTCTCAACGCCGTGATATTGTGATGGGTAGTTTTCGGTAGCATGGGCAAAGTCACGTGACAAAATGCCTTTCGATTTCTACAGCCGACATTTTATTGTTTTTACGTAATCATTGTACAGCCCATTTCCGTGAAAAGTTACATAGAAACAGTTTTTTTTTCAAAACCATATAGAATCTAAACAGTATTTTTATCAACACACGAAATATCAGCGTTTTATATTAACACATTTCCGGACATCCTTTCGACATGCTTGAGAAATTCGCCTTGAATGGATTATGTATGGTGGCTGATTAACGCCATCCAAATATTTTCGCGTCTTCGCCTCAAAATGCGAAAACACGAAGGGACGACATATTTTGACTAATGTGTTCTCATGTCGGATCTATGTCTCTCTCGGAGTGAATCTTTTCACGTGTAAAATGTCTTTGAACATTACATTCCTAAGTTTCTATATTTGCAATTAAGAACTTAAATTGTCTTCTTTTTTTAGCTCACCAGAGCCGAAGGCTCAGGGTGAGCTATTAGTAACAAAGGGGGATACTCCGTCGTCCGTCGTCATGCGTCAACAATCATCTTCTTCTCTGAAACTGCTGGGCAGATTTAACTAAAATTTGGTCTGTAGCATCCTTGTGATAGTCACACTTAAATTTGCTCATGTCATTTCAATTGGCCCCTTTTAGGGTTCAGCAGAGCTAAAAATAGAAAAACCTTTAAACATCTTCTACTACAGAACTAATGGATGGATGATCACCAAACTTTGTCTGTAGCATCCTTAGGTAGTCTTTTATCAAGTTTGCTCATATTAATTTGATTGGCACTAGGGCTAAAAATAGAAAAACCTTTAGACATCTTCTTCTACAGAACCAATTGATGGATGATCACCAAACTTTGTCTGTAGCATTCTTGGGTAGTCTTTTATCAAGTTTGCTCATATTAATTTGATTGGCCCCTTGTAGGGGCTGCTATAGCTAAAAATAGAAATACCTTTAAACGTCTTCTTCTACAGAGCTAATTGATGGATGATCACCTAACTTTGTCTATAGCATCCTTAGGTAGTCTTTTATCAAGTTTGCTCATATTAATTTGATTGGCTCCTTTTAGGGGTCACTAGGGCTTAAAATAGAAAACCTTTAGACATTTTCTTCTACAGAACCAATTGACGGATGATCACCAAACTTTGTCTGTAGCATTCTTGGGTAGTCTTTAATCAAGTTTGCTCATATTAGTTTGATTGGTCCTGTTAAAGCTAAAGCTTAAATGCCCTAGCATTTCTTTAAATTAAAGTTTAAAGATATTCTAAGCTCTAATTTTAATATAAAAAAAATATTGACAATGGATACACAGTCTCCTTTGACTTCACACAAAGTAGATATGTTATGTTTTAAACTCTTAACACTATTCGTGGTCACAGTATAAATATAATGATAGTGTCATTACAAAAACTTCTTTTTCTTTTTTTTTTTATAGAAAAGACCATCTTTACATTGCCTGTAATAGCATATGCAGTTTCCTGTACATAGTATATTCATTCTTTTATCCAAATAAGACATTTTCAGCAAGAATTTCATAAATTTCATTGGCTTGGGTCATGACATGTTTATGATGTGTAAATATATTTCAGCTCTGGAATTCGGACTATTGCATCATTGAAAGGTCAGTTGTAGGTCATTAACCAGGAAAAAAATAGGCCTAAAGAAACATAAAATTTGTTTCTCCTGTACTTTACTATCAAAGATGAGTTTATCTGCTCAATTCTCTTATTGAATTTTGTAAAAAATTGTAATTTTTTCATTTTTTGTTGTTGAATTAACAAGGGACAAGGGGTTTAATTTCTGTTTCTGAATTGAATTTTGATATGAACTGGCTTACTTTTGATATATTTGATATCGCTTTACCTACTTTTTTGTCTTTTATGTACAGACTTGAAATTTGGACTATGGGTGTAATTTGTGTAATTTTTGATGTTGAATTCAATTTTGATACCAGCTGACCTACTTTAGGTATTACTGACATCATTTGACCTACTGTCTTGTATTTTGACATTCAGATTTTAAATGTTGACCAGGTTTGTAAATTCTGATGCCGAAATGAATTTTGATATCAACTGACCTACTTTTGATATTTTTGATATAATTTGACTTTCATTCTTGTGTTCTTGACATACAGACTTGAAATTTGGACTAGGGGTGTAATTTCTGATGCTGAATTGAATTTTGATATTAACTGGCCTACTTTTCATATTTTTTACAATGTTTGACCTATTGTCTTTTTTTGAGGTACAGTTATGTTACCATACAGAATGTATAAAAAAAATTTTGTCCCAAACTGTGAACTTCAAACATCTACACCTTACATGTTTTGCATGTGACATTTTGTGTTTTCATTCAAAAAAAGTTTTAAAAAAAATTGTCCAATCAAAATTAATCCTGCTCTAGTGGTCAGTTGTTCTGCATTTATTCTACATAGTCTCATAGGAACACACTTGCAACATACATATTTTAACAAATCCTTTCCAAAATATTAGGGCAAAATATTACAATTTTTATAGTGAATAATGAAATGATGGGTTAGATGAGTCATCTAGGGCCATCTTAGTGGTCCTATTGTTTATTATGAAGAAAAAAAGCTAAAACAATCAGTGTTGTGAAAGTATATTACTAAAGGGGCAAGTTAAAGTTGATCGAGCTGAACTGCCGAAAGAGCTGGACTTGCCTTTCAGCAAGTTCTTTTGAAAAATAATTTCCAACACTGAAAAACAGTTGTTTCTGGTGAGCGACTCAGGGCCATCATGGCCCTCTTGTTTAATAATTTCATTTTTCTTGCGCAATTCTCTAAAATGAGACTTGGTTTTTCTATATGCGTTTCACAATTAACATTCACCATACCAGGTTGTAAAATAACTTAATTTGGTCCTTAAATCAGTTTTTACCACAACATCAAACTTCATTCAGAATTCATGTCACGTTATTGTGAGCAAAATTCTGAGTTTCCTTTAGATATGAGCAAGAAAATGTTTATTACCCCCGCCGAAAAGACGGATACAGAATTAGTCTCCATCCGTCCGTCTGTCCTTCCGTCCGTCACTCTACATTTTTGTCCGGAGCATATCTCAAAAAGTATCAATTTGAAACTTCATAGGTGGAGGTATCAACTTGAAACTTCATTTGTGGATAAATCATATTTAGGAAAAGTGCAGTGCACAAGAATGATAACTCTACGCTGCATATTTTTTTCATTGTTGCCCTTTGTTTTTCTTCAAACTCAATTTTTGTCTACAGCAAAAAGCCTTTGAGATATCAACATGAAACTTCATGTGGATAGATCTCACTCAGGAGGTGTGCAATGCAAGAGTGATAACTGTACCATTTCTTAATTTTGAGTTATTGCTCTTTGTTATGTTTCATACTTAATTTTTCACCTGAGTGGAGCATAAATTAACTAAAAAAACAAACTTTGAGATGTCAATGTAATCTTCATAGGTAGATAGATCTTTTTGAGGATGAATGTTGTTCGAAAGAATGATAACTCTAACCTTTATAATTTTTGAGTTATTGACATTTGTTATTTTCTTACTTTTTGTCCGGAGAATATCTAAAAAAGTGGTAGAGGTAACAACTTGAAACTTCATAGGTGGATAGCTCTTTTTGATGAGAAGTGCAGCACACTAGAATGATAACTAACCGTGCATTATTTTTCAGTTATTGCCCTTTGTTATTTTTCATACTTAATTTTGTCCAGGGTATAACTACAAAAGCCTTTAAGATATCTACATGAACCTTCAAAGGTGGACAGATCTCACTCAGGAGATATGCAGTGCAAAAGAGTGATAACTCTACCCTTCATAATTTTTAGTTATAGCCCTTTGTTATTTTTCATACTAATTTTTTCACCTCAGTGGAGCATATCTCTGAAAAAGTCTTTGAAATGTCAACATGAAACTTCATAGGTGGATAGATCTTTTTTAGGAGGAATGTTGTGCGCAAGAATGATAACTCTATCCTTTATAATGTTTGAGTTATTGCCATTTGTTATTTTTCAAACTTTTTGTCCGGAGCTTATCTAAAAAAATGTTAGAGGTAACAACTTGAAACTTCATAGGTGGATAGATCTTATTGGGGAGCATTGCAGCACACTAGAATGATAACATACCGTGCATTGTTTTTTCAGTTATTGCACTTTGTTATTTTTCATACTTTATTTTTGTCCAGGGTATAACTACAAAAGCATTTGAGATTTCAACATGAAACTTCATAGATGGATAGATCTTACTCAGGAGGTATGCAGTGCAAAATAGTGATAACTCTACCCTTCATAATTTTTGAGTTATTGCCCTTTGTTATTTTCCATACTAAATTTTTCACCTGAGTGGAGCATATCTCTGAAAAAGTATTTGAAATGTCAACATGAAACGTTATAGGTGGATAGATCTTATTGGGGAGGAATGTTGTGCCCAAGAATAATACCCTTTATATTTTGTTAGTTATTGCCATTTGTTATTTTTCATACTTTTTAGCTCGACTATTCGATAAGAATAAGTAGAGCTATTGCAGTCACCCGAGCGTCCGCGTCCGCGTCGGCGTAACCACTTATGTTAAAGTTTTTGTAATAGTTCAAATATTTTCAAAGTCCATTGACATATGGCTTTGAAACTTTGCACACTTGTTCACCATCATGACCCCAACCTGTAGACAGGAGAAGGTAACTGTATCAAGCATTTTGACAGAATTATGCCCCTTTTTCGACTTAGAATTTACGTTAAAGTTTTTGTAATAGTTCAAATATTTTCAAAGTCCATTGACATATGGCTTTTGAAACTTTGCACACTTGTTCACCATCATGACCCCAACCTGTAGGCAGGAGGAGGTAACTGTATCAAGCATTTTGACAGAATTATGCCCCTTTTTTGAGTTAGAATTTACGTTAAAGTTTTTGTAATAGTTCAAATATTTTCAAAGTCGATAAACATATGGCTTTGAAACTTTGCACACTTGTTCACCATCATGACCCCAACCTGTAGACAGGAGGAGGTAACTCTATCAAGCATTTTGACAGAATTATGCCCTTTTTCGACTTAGAATTTACGTTAAAGTTTTTGTAATAGTTCAAATATTTTCAAAGTCCATAGACATATGGCTTTGAAACTTTGCACACTTGTTCACCATCATGACCCCAACCTGTAGACAGGAGAAGGTAACTCTATCAAGCATTTTGACAGAATTATGCCCCTTTTTCGACTTAGAATTTACGTTAAAGTTTTTGTAATAGTTCAAATATTTTCAAAGTCCATAGACATATGGCTTTGAAACTTTGCACACTTGTTCACCATCATGACCCCAACCTGTAAACAGGAGGAGGTAACTGTATCAAGCATTTTTTTTACTATCAAGCACTAAGAATAGTCGAGCGTTGCTGTCCTACCGACAGCTCTTGTTGTAAATTATTATTAATTGAGCCTTGATTTTAAACTAAATGTGTCTGTATTTCTTACCATCCTTTACTGGTTTTAGATTATCATTATTGTTTAATAGGTTTACTTAATTAATGTTGTTCATTATGTCTTATATATATATGATTATGTTTTATCGGATTTATGTAAAGCACTCTTAAACATTTATTATTTATGAAAAGAGTGCTATAGAAATGTGGTATATAATAATAATAATAATAATAATAATAATAATAATAATAATAATAATCTCAAAAAGGTGTTAGAGGTATCAACTTGAAACTTATTAGGTGGATAGATCTCATTGAGGAGGAGTGCAGCACACAAGACATTTAACCTACCGTGCATTATTTTTCAGTTATTGCCCTTTGTTATTTTTCATACTTAATTTTGTCCAGAGCATAACTACAAAGGCCTTTGAGATATCAACATGAACCTTCATAGGTGGATAAATCTCACTCGAGAGGTATGTAGTACACAAGAATGATAATTATTCTGCTCTACTACATATTAACATGGCTCTTGTAACAAGTTACATGATTATGATATTTTAAAACCTTCTAAACAAGTTAACATGTCAATTCAAAACAATGCTATTTGGAGATACCTTATCAATATATTTAACAGGTTTTTTGTTGTTTTTTTTTTTGTGTGGGGGTTGGTTTTTTTTTTGTTTTTCGCCGTGACAATCATATTGCTGCATTTCCCAGCAATTTTTTACTTGTATCCCTTATTGATGTGTTACTCGAGGGGCGGCCGTAACCTAGTGGTTAAAAATCTGAAAAAAGTGTGATCTCTCGGAGGCATTAAACCCAACAAAATTACATGAAAATTGCAGACGCGCTGTGATTGAGTCTGTACAAAAGCATCCCTCACACCCCAAGCACCGGCTTTCATGCAAGAACTGTACTTAATTTTCAACACTTAAAAGTGCTGGAATCAATGATCACGAAGGACCAGAAAACTATAACAACACTGAAGTGAAGTACAGTTGTTGACTTAAAACCACATGCCCCTCACTGTTAATTATGGGTTCGAATCACAATAGGGACTTTGGATTCTATAATGTGAGGAAGCTAAATGTAGTTGGTGGTTCTACTCAGGTGCCCGTTCAAAACATGCATGAAATAATGCACGGTAGTCCAATATATCAGATGTTACTGGCTTGGAATATGATAGCACTGAGCTAAATATATATATTATCTGTGATGATGGTCAAGACGGAAGGTTACCTGAGGTTTTCCTCCACCAGTAAAGCTGGAAAGTCACCATGTGACCTATACTGTGCCAGTGCAACGTAACTCAATCAAACAAAAGGTCTTCAATGAAATGAAATAATTGAACATTTAAAGGTGTTATGAAAGCTAATTATAATTCCAGGATACCAGTAGGTTACCTTTTCTCATTATGATTTTAGAATAAACAGTGTCAAATTATATCAAAATCAAGTATTTCTCACGAATTTTCAAAACAACCCCATATTCAGATACTGAAACAGATCTATTTCAGTAATTTCATTGACCCTTAACTAACTTCAAATCCAGAGCTAGTCATGGGCATATGGTTCACATGCTGAAATCAAACTATAGAAAGTATCAATATTAAAGATAAATGTTATTTCAGACATGATATGTAATACATTTATTATGGTGGTTAAACAAATAAATTGTTCAGGGGGAGGGGGAGGGTTATAAAATTTTCAACTGTTAATTCTGTTATCATTATCTCTTATTCAAGGTGTTGTTTTCTTTTTACCAGGTAGGGGAAGGGGCCATTTACTAAAAAATGGGGAATATGATTGTGGAGTTTTTGCAAAAGATAGAGAAAAAATGTTGAGGTAAATTGATTTTTTTGTGTGTGGAAAACTGCATGATTTTGGAGAATTTTCTGAGGGAAATCAGCCCTTGAAGGCTCTGGCAGTAGAAGGAAAACAGCCCAGTATTTAATAAAAAAAATGTACACATATAGGATACAAATGTTTATTCCCTTTTGATAAAACAATATTAGGCTTTGTCATATAATTAACCTTAATTTGATTTGTATTTTCAGTTTGCTAAACCATGACAAAACCAGATGATCAAGCGAATCAAAATGACGAGGACACTAAGGATTTAGTTCTGCGCAATGATGGTTTGTTTTTTAATAGTGTTTCCATAGCTCTAGACTAATTAATGTCAGGCCATCATGCATGAACATCTATTAAAGTGGCTTATCTTTAAACACTTGCATCCTTAAACCATTGCCCAGTTACTAGCATTACTATATTGTTCAAGAATGAGCAAATATACCACAAAATTACGTACAATTCATGTCACATCTGTGATAAACAGCCAGTGTCGGCATATGTGGTAGTATCACTGACATTATTTTTTTGCAATGTTGACTTTTCAGGTACCACCAAACTCATCAGATTTGTTAAATGCATAAATGTGTGAAATTAAATTAAAAGAAGATATATGTTAGGTCAAGAATGATGTTATCATCATTGACTTTTATATCATTATTTTATTCTTCTGACTTTCAAGATTTGCTTACTTATTACCTAGATGGGGAAATGAAAGGGCCTGATGAAAAGATGGAATCTGTCAATTATAAAAACTACAGTTTGTGTAAAAGACTAAAGGTAGATCATCCATTTAGAAGAAGATTCATCCATACAGTGTGGTTATTTTGGGCATTTGTTGGCTTGGTAAGTGATGTGCATGTCCAATAAGCAATGATTATCTTTGGACTTCTTTACTAGAGGTATCACAATGTTAATGCAGTTTACAATAACTGTCAGTCCGTTAGTGAAGCCAGTTATCATTATAATAAGATAAAGGGACTCTGTGTCAAGTAGTTACTTTAAAAATAAAATAGTTTTAGTATTGTCATTTAAAATAAATTCATACCTTTTACATGTGCTTACTGAAAATGCACTCATACGACAATTTGTCTCATTGCTGCTGACAGTAATCCTTAACAAAGCCATTAAGTAAATGAAATGTAATAGAAGTTCAGTTTTAATTGGTAATATTATTTTGTTGTCTTCACAAAGGGTTGGATGGTTGGACTAATGGGCCCATCATTTCCAGACCTAAGGCTAATTGTGAATCAAGAACTTGATACAGCATCTTGGCTTTTTACTATCTTTTCAATTGGATATTTGATTGGTTCTTTTTTTGGAGGTAAACATCAGTATAAATTATAACTCACATTTGACATCTTCATCTGTTTTAAGTCAATATTGTACAGATTAAACTAATCTTTTTGTACAGAAGTTAAAAATAAGTAACACAAATTGTTTGATCTATTCTTTTAACAAAATGATGAATTATATATAACCAAATTATTTGTTCTGAATAGATTCTGTTAATATCACTCCATGTTTAAATTAACAAATATATAAAAGCTTATTTGTATAATACAATTACATTCTAAAATGTTTATATATTTCTTTTCGGTTGGGTTTTATATAACACCAAACTAAAGATCATATGGCAACTTTCAGCTTTAGTGGTGGAGGAAGACGTCTGGTGTTTCTTTATGTACAAGGGGTTATCCAAAAATAATGGTTTTATATTGCTTTTAAATAAGCACATACATACCACCCGTCACACGGTAGAAAAACGCAGTTAGTCATCATATATTTTTTTGCTAAAAAACTACTAATTGACATAGGAAAACCTGCTAAACATTGCATATTTCTTCTATGATGTCATTTAAGTAATTCATTAAAATTATGAACGTCATTTCCGTAAATTTTTGTTGAAATCGCCAGAAACGCCAGACGACGTTATTGTTTACAACGGGAAAGTGACGGACACGCAGATATTAGAAAATAGCGTGATCATAAGATTTTGTTGAAATTTTGGGAATGACACCAACAAAAACAGAGAAAATAAAATTTTACTATCATAAGTGTTTAAGTGGTTTAAAAATATTTAGTGATGGACATAACTTTGAGAAGCAGTAATGGTTATTGACTGCGTAACGTTGAAGCATAAGTAGTACGTTAAATATTATGACGTTGACGTCAATAACATTTTAGAGTGCGCCGCTGTCGCCGACATGTGTTTCTGTCAAATAAAATATTGCTGTAATATAAGAAGCTACTAGCATGAATTTTTCTGTGTTTATTTGTTATTTATTCTTCTAAGTAGTGTAAGAATTTCAAATCAATATCTCAAATATATTTTACGCAACAAAGAAAGTCCACAAACTTTTGGATAACCCCTCATACATGTATTATTGCAGACACAAACGGCACCTGAGTAGAACCAATGATGTTCTGTAAGCTGTCTGAATAGAAGATGTTTATATATATATTTGCATACATGTATATAAGAGTCAGTGAAAAATGTAATTCATTGTGAGCTATTAACAGACATAAACATGTAGATCATGGTATATAAATCATAACATATTTCAAATATATTATGCATCCTAAGAGGCTGAGACATGAGAATTTAAGTTTGCTAAAGGTTTGTAAAGTACCAATTAGTAAGCTAGGAAATATAACATCTTTAAATTTATAAATGACTGTTGTAAACTTACATATATGTTTAAACAGGTTTCAAATATTTCTTGTAGGTATACTGTATGATAGATTTAACAAGTTGCTATTGATAGCATTTTCCACGTTGATCATGGCTGTAACAACAGGAGTTTTACCATGGTGTAAATGGTTTCCTCTTATGATGGTGGTGAGGTTTATATCTGGTATAGGTGCCGGAGGTCTTGATACAGGTACTTAAAACAATCTTACAACATTCACCGTAGGGAATGTGTTACAGTATCGCGTTTTTCGGTTACAGTATAGAATTTTCAAGATGGAGGATTATTTATGGGAAGAGAGGTAGGTGATTTTTATTCAGGTCCATGCTACTAGTAGTTTAGTTTCTAAAAAATGTTTTTGTGCTTTGCTTGTAAGGAACAGAATCCGGTATCTAGTCATATATTTCTTCAGACCCTGCACCGCAGATTTATCTCTATATTGTCTCATAAATGTGCAGATTTGACGGTTTAAAAATTTGAATCGAGAGACCAACGCATTTTTCTCCCATTCCGACATTATTTAAGCATGCCTAGATAAAGTAATCTACAAAACGTTAGTCCTTTATGTTAAGAAACGTTTATAAAAGTAAATGACCAGTTGAACCTATTTTCCTGTTGGTAAAATGCGTTTGAAAAAATAAACAATGTTACAGTATAGAGCGAGGTTAATTTTGTAGGGTTACAGCATAGACCTAGCGACTTTGATCCAATTTTGTTACAGTTTATACCCAGATTTCTGTTACAGTTTAGATACTTGCCAAATTTCAAACAAAGTTTGTGTATCCATTATTTTTATGAAATAACTCATACCTTTCTATTTAATACATTCTTGAAAGGTTATTACTTTTTTTCTTCATCAGAAAAGTTATAGTTTCCTATTTTTCTTACTTTAAGTTTCAGATTGAGACTTTTTGCAGTATAAGTAATGTCCTAAGTAAGGACTGTTTTCACGACAACAACAGTAACTTTTATCGAATTGTATTGAGAGAAGAAAGATTATTGCTTGATTTCATTACACATTATAATAATGCCTAATAGTAAAAAAAATAAAAAAAAAAGAATTTTTAACAGAACCCAAAAAAAACTAAAAAATTTGCAGGCTCATTTTGATTAAACCCCTTTTCTGGGGTATTTGAATGCAAGTACCGCCCAGCCTCCACCCCCGGTTCAGCAAATTTCACAAAACAGAATTACAAATTTTTTAAACATTTATGTTTTAAGGTTTTAACTTCATTGACACGTTTTAAATCTATGAAAACGCATTTCCCCCCAGGTAAAAAATTTGCTTTCCTAAACGAAATACAATGAGGAAACTAAAAAAAAAAATTTTTAAGGGGTTAACCTCATACCTAGATAAGCTGTAAAAAAGACCAATTAAAAAGCGGGAAATCCCGAATGATAAACGTTTTTTAAGTGGAAATATTTGAAACCCCTTAAATTTTTTTTTAATTTGGGGAATTTTCCCTTTTACCATAATTATTTTTAAGTATTTAAAAGGGGTTTAAAATTTTTAATTTTTTTGGGGTTGGGGAATTTTTAAAAATTCTTTTTAAGTCTATTTGTTACTTTTTGGCTTTTTGGATTTAAGTTTAACGCACTAGTATGTAAAAATTTTCCCTGTTTAGTTTTAAAAAGACCCAAAACCTTGTAAACTTTTCAGACCAGCGGGACCTGAAGAACCCCCCGATTTCCTAAATTGCTTGATAGATTCCTCACATTAAAAAAAAACCAAAGTATGATTGGATTTCAACTACAGCAGTAAATGAAAGATGATTTGAAGTCGGCGGCCTTATCCGACTCTGCCCACTATTATGAACCTCCATCAGGCTCACTAGAGATCAAAGATATTTGTAATTGTCTGACCTTAATTTATACTCTATAACTTTCAATATTATTTTCTTTTTCAGAAACATGAAAACTGCTATACAGGATGTCTGAAATGGAAAAACAACTTTACTTTTAATAATGACAAAATAATCGTAACTCAACAAAGAAGCATTTGAAAATGACGCCATGACCATGATTTGATTTGAATGCTTTTGGTTCGAGATGAGAAGGGTCTTTAAACATTGCCTTTTTTCAAAATATATGTTTTGGGTTTTCGTATCCCGATTGCAAACCAAAACCATTTGAACAACTTAATTGGTAGAAAGTCATGTAAATTTCATCACATTTAGTCAAGTAGTTACTGAGCGGATGGGATTGCACACACTTGTGTACGTCAGAAGGACGAATAGCCATCGGGCAATAAACTCACAGAGATTTAAAAGTCTATGTAAACATTCATACATTTTACCTAGTTATATATAGAAAATATCGAAGTCTAAACTGTAACCGAAATCTGGGTATAAAAAACTGTAACAAAATCGGATACAAATCTCTAGGTCTATGCTGTTAACCCTGCACAAATACCTGGCTCTATACTGTAACATTGTTTTTTTTTTCAAACGCATTTAACGAACAGGAAAATAGGTTCAACTGGTCATTTAACTTTTATAAACGTTTCCTAACATAAAGGACTAACGTTTTGCAGATTTACTTTTTCTAGGCATGCATAAATAATGTCGAAATTGCAGGAAAATGCGTTGGTCTCTCGATTCAAATTTTCAATCTGTCAAATCTGCCTATTTATGAGACAATATAGCGATAAATCTGCGTGCAGGGTCTGAAGAAATATATGACTAGATACCGGATTCTGTTCCTTACAAGCAAAGCACAAAAACATCTTTTAGAAACTAAACTACTAGTAGTATGGACCTGAATAAAAATCACCTACCTCTCTTCCCATAAATAATCCTCCATCTTGAAAATTCTATACTGTAACCGAAAAACGCGATACTGTAACACGTTCCCTACGGTGACATTGTTAACATGTAGGCCAGTGCATATCCATCATGTTGCTTAAAACTTCACACAAATACTAGTTTACCATGTCATTTGATTTGTTTATCTATTTTATTTTTACGAATAAACTCTACACATCTTTTTACACTTATAAATTTAGTTAAAACTTTGATAATATTTGTAAGAGTGAAATTGTTCAAACATAAAGGGTTTGGTATCATAACCTTGCTTCTTTGGACACAAAAACAATGTATCTTATATCATTTATAGTTTCAAAAAAAGCAATTTTGTTTTAAAAGTACATGTATAAAGAAATTACTTGTTGAATAAAAATAAAGTTAAAGTGATATCTTGTTTAGTTGCCTCTTTTATGATGAGTAGATAGTGTGTAGAGTATTATTATATATGGTAGATATTGTGTTGTTTAAAATAATAAAGAGTATTATTATATATGGTTTCAGTGGTTTAATACCGGTACATATCCAGATAATAGTAATCATGTTTAAATAGAGCGGAGGTGCTTAAACATATTTGTTTTAAATTAGAACGTTTTATCACAAAAAATCATGCTTTTTCTACAAACAGGAGGAAATGCTGATCTTGTGTCACTGTGGGATGAAGAAGGAAGACCTTATATGCAGGCATTACATTTTTGCTTTGGTTTTGGTGGGATTATATCACCATTAGTGACAGAGCCTTTTCTGGCACAAAAAGAATGTTTGGATGTTGATAGAAACAGAACAGGTATTTGTCAACATTAATAAAGCTTTTCATTATTCAGTAAAACCTCAACATTTCAAAATATTGAGATTTATTTTGTGCATACATGGACTGTAGAAGTTTAAAAATTGTTCCATACAAAGTTGTTACATTAAAAATAAAACATTAGTACAACTTAAGAAGAAGATAAATTCTACATTGTAAAGAAAATGTAACATTCCATACTCTCATATTTTGGTATATTAATATTGTACTGTCAACAGGAAAATATTGTATTTGTTTGAAAAACCTTGACAACAAATTTATATAAAAGAGACATTTCACAGATTTATTTTGAATGAAATTTTCTGAAGGTAAAGAATAGTCAAAGTAGAATTTAAAGGGATACCTCTGAGGTTTTATTGGCATAACGGGACTGGAAATAATTTTTCAAGATTAACATTCCATTGAATGTAGATCTAGACCAATAACAAAAAAATATCATATTGTTTGTTCACTTCGTTTTTCCAGAATAATTATTCAAATTGTGAAACATGACTGAACATTGAAAACTTTTCACACAAATCAGACTATGAATAGCACAAAAATAGGATTTTCAACCGGATTCATGAAAGAAATTAAAATATTATATCTTTGACTTTTGGACCTCTGTGGAGTACCTTTAAGTGATTATGTCATTACATAGAATACATTATCTTCAGGTATTTTATCAGATCATACACTCCCTGGGATTATAAATGAAAGTGTTGCCATGACAACCGATGCAACGAAGATATCCACCAGCACATGTGAGGAAGTATATGGGGAAACTTACATTCATTATTCTTACCTTATTTCATTTTTCATTCTGCTCTCAAGTTCAATGCCATTTTTTATCATGTACCTGAAAATGGTATGCAGAAATAAGACACGTCATATGGCAGCTGATAAAAGTGAAATTCCTCGTCCTGATAAACTTCCATTCAAACTGAAAGTTGTTTTCTTAATTCTTTTGTTTGGGTTCATGATGACTTACTGTGCTGTTGAGGACACATTTGCTGGGTTTTTAGCCACATTTTGTATCAATTATTTAGGCTGGTCTAAAGGAACTAGTAGCTTTGCAACAAGTACTTACTGGGCATCATTTTCTTTTGGGCGGTTTTCTGGAATATTTCTTATAAAAGTGTTTAAACCTGTACAGCTTTTATGGGTGTATTGTTTAGCTTTAATGTCAGCTTTTGTTGGTTTGTTGATTGTTGCTTTAACATTTACTACAGAACTAGTATGGATGTTTATAGCATTGGCTGGATTTTCCATGTCTATCATATTTCCTTGTATTTTTACATGGACTGAGGAAAGTATACTTAAAGTGACTGGAAAGATTTCTTCCATGTTTCTTATAGCTGCATCTGGTGGGTTAATGCTAAATCCATTATTACTAGGCTATCTGATGGACAACTTTTCTCCCATATGGTTTGTTTACCTTCTACTGATTCAAAGTGTTGTATGCTTTTCACTGTTTCTAACAGTGTTTATTCTAGTCAGGAAGTATATTAATTTTACTAGTCTTCCTAAACCATTAGACATAGAAATAGTCATTTCTGAGCAGGAGATGGTACCATTAAGTGAGAAGAAAGAAGAGTGAAAGTGGACTTAAAGTTTATAACTGTAGAGTATGTTTACTATTTTTACAATTTTTCAAATATTTTTATCTCAACATGTATATATACTGATCTTGATTTTATCCATTGACAGTTTGTTGAAAACAAGGGATTAGTTGGGACTGTCCTGAAACATTGCACTATTCATACATATATCACTAGTATTCAACATGTGATGAAATATCGATTAAAAATTTTGAATATTGATTCAATATAAAACCCATTCTCCATGTCTTGTGATAATATCTCTGATTTGGCTGAAGGGAGATGTTACTTTTATCCTTGGATAGTTTGAACTCCTATATTAATTTTAAGAGGTCAGTGAAATAATAACATGGAAACTTATTCTCTTTTAGTACCTGTATGTTACATATTTGTGATGTGCATAAATCATGATGACAAGTTATAACAATTTTTGAATAGTTTCTAAGGGGCTAGCTATTTTATTCAATATTATTATTGATATTTGGTTTTTTATAGTTATATACTTGTACTAGTTACAAAATTCTACATTAATGACACCCATGCTTTATAATTGTTGTTCCGATATAGATGGTCTCTTTATGTGATGGTTTCTAGTAGTGAAGATAAAACATTTTAAATTTTTTGTTTTATATTACATGACAAAGTCAATGACATTGGTATTTTGTATATATTATATGAAGTACATGTACATACAGTAAATTGAAATTAATTAGAATGAGATATTGGGAGGTATCAGTTATATTTTCTTGAGGATTATGTCCTCTTTTAAAGTCAAATATGTTGTATTTGTTTATGTGCCATGTCATATTTTACTTTGTTTATTATTGTTTTTTGGTGTTGATTTTTTTAAAGATTGTTCATATATTATTTACTTTGACAGTAAAGAAAACATGACATTTTGAAGTGTTTATCATCATATCATAATTAATTTATATATTTTATGTTAACTTCTAGTTCATATGATCACACAGTATGATCAAAGGCTCTCCCCTGTCCCTGATTGTTCAAAAGATCTTTAAATGGGATTTCTTCATAAACCTTACCTCATACATTTCATTATTCAAGCTGTTTGAAAAAAAACAACAATAGTTTTGTCCTGTTGCATAATCTTCCTCACAGGAGCTAATTGTAGATTTCAGAAGAAAAATTTCACTAATCTTCCTTCACATTGTAATGGGTGTGTCCTGATGTTAGGCACATTGCTTAGTGTAGCGGAATTAAAGCAGCATGCGGCACTTAGAATCTAAAAAAATTACTGTGTTCGTAATGCAGTTGACTTATGGTGATACATACAGCAAAATCAATCATTGCATATCACATGTATATTGTTGTCACTTTTAAATTTCCTTTGACTTAAAAGTCCATGTATTTTTCAATATTTTTCTTTGTTTTTAGCTCACCTGTCACAAAGTGACAAGGTGAGCTTTTGTGGTGGCTTTTCGTCGGTCCTTAAACTTTAAGTTTAAACGACATCTCCTCATAAACTGCTGAGCCAATTTCATCCAAACTTCACAGGAATGTTCCTTTGGTAGTCAACTTTAAAGATTGTTCAAAGAATTTAATTCCATGCAGAACTCTGGTTGCCATGTTAACTGAAAGAAGAAAAAACTTAAAAAATCTTCTTTTACAAAACCGAAAGAGCTAGAGCTTAAACCTTTGACATGAAACATCGTCTAGTCAGTGTCTACCAAGTGTGTTCAAATAAAAGCCCTGCGGTCAAAATTGGCCTGGCCCGGGGTGGGGGGGTCATTGATTTTTCTTATTTGTATATAGTAAAAACATCTTCTTTTTAAAAATCTTCTTTAGAAAAACCCCAAAAAGCTAGAGCTTAGATATAAATCATGATACATCTTCTAGTGGGTGTCTACCAAGTTTGTTCAAATAAAAGCCCTGGGGTCAAAATTGGCCACGTGCCAGGGGGTCATTGTTTTTCCCTTCATGTATATAGTAAAAACTTAAAAAGTCTTCTTTTGAAAAACCCAAAGAGCTAGAGCTAAGATATTTAGCATGACACATCTTCTAATGGGTGTCTACCAAGTTTATCCAAATAAGGGCCCTGGGGTCAAAATTGGCCCCGTCTGGGGGAGTCATACTTTTTCCCTATATGTGTTTAGTATAAACTTAAAAAATCTTCTTTTAAAAACACCAAAGAGCTAGAGCTTAGATATTTATCATGAAACATCTTCTAATGGGTGTCTACCAAGTTTGTTCAAATTAAAGCCCTTGGGTTAAAATTGGCCTGCCCCTGGGGCCTATATACAGGTGAGCGATTCAGGGCCATCATGGCTCTCTTGTTTTTTTCTTTTGGAGTTTGGAAAATTTGACAAAATATTAAATTCCAAACAATGAAGATGTAGTTACTTTATATTTATGTAATAGTAGCTAGCTACATGTAGTTTGTCTATGATTTTTGTTAATTGGTGAATAATTTAATAAAAATATTGATGATTGTTTATGTTTGTTTGTTTGGTGCCAGCTTGTTTCAAACAACTAATTCAGTTGTTTACTGTTAGAAAATTGTTGTTTTCCAAGTTTTGAATTATGTATGCTAATTATGTGATGTCCCAATTACATTGTACACTATATATCCCGGATTTCTATAATTAAAATTGATATCTTTTTTTAAACATTAAGCAATTTTTGCACACACAAACAAAAGCCCTAAAGAACACCCAAAATGACTTTATTGATAAAGTTGCAATAATTATCAATAAATGATGCCATTGTGATGTTTCGGAGAAAACCTCATAATAGCTCATAGACGAAACTGTTTTTTTTTATTTTGAAATTGTCTAATAGTCAGCCCTTGTCGCATTTAGCTTATATCTTTTTATTGTATTAATGTAACGTACATTACTGTTAGCACCTAGAATTTTCAACGTTTAAGATGTGTTGTAGATACAAATACAGGAAACTTTTACAATTAGTGATTGCACGGTGCTCTGTAAAAGGTTATGTACTGGATTTATACAAATTGCTATAATGGCTTTTCAAATGTCGCCAATGTAATCAGTATGAGAAAGTTATATTGACATATTTCTAATTTATTTTCAGGACTTAATGTTGTATATACACTTTTACTTTATTTTCTACCTACTTCTAAGTCTAAAAGTAACACACGTTTCTGTAACGTACGTTACTTTATGTAATTATAAAACTCACCTTGCCATTACTTTGCCGATAGAGTATGACAAACATGATATCAATTTAAATATCCAATTTTTTCTGAGTGTTATAAAATGGCATTGACCACATTGATCGGAAATGTAATTCAGTACTTGTGCTGAAAATATATTGTAAACATTTAATATGTGTCAGACAATATGACGTGTAAAAACCAAGTGACTTGAAAAGTGAGCTTCAGGCACTGGTTATAACTTACTAATTTATGTTATACTTCTGATGATTACCATATTATAACACTTATTACATTCTGTATATTTAAACTCCGAGAATAATTCCGATTTTAAAGGGACTACTCTGAGGGTTTTTGACATGACAAGACTTGGAATAATTTCTCGAGATCAATGTTCAATTTGATGTAGATCTAGACTTATAATAACTTGTGTGTAATATATCAGGTCATTAACTCACTTCACTTTTTCCATAATTATTATTCTAACTGCAACAAAAGAACTCAAATTGAAAAGCGTTGCAGTGCTTTTTCACTAACATCGGGATTATAATAGAACAAATACGATTTTCAATTTATTTCTGAATATATTCCTTAACTATTTTTACATATCTTTCTAACAAATACGATTTTCAATTTATTTCTGAATATATTTATTAACTATTTTTGCATATCTTTCTGTTTTTTAAAGTTTCTAAACTGATCTTTGTAAAAAATACAATTTTTTATGTTTTTTTACCTTTAAACTAGATTGTTTTTTTAAAGAAAAAGAAGAAAAGGTGAAGATAATATTGATACCTTTCAGATACCGATCTTAAAATATGATGGAAATTCAAATATTAATTGACAACAAGTATTGATCTGAACTTCACATGCTGCTGAAATGACACCAATTAAATAACACTATATTGACAAATCACTCACAGACTAAGAATGAATTTATTGACACCAATTAAATAACACTATATTGACAAATCACTCACAGACTAAGAATGAATTTATTTGCAATATTTACAGGTAATTGTCGGGAGAATTATGAGTAGATGTATCAATTTATGACCCTGTAAGTTGTCATTATTATGCAGATTTTTTTTACACAGTTATGTTTTAAATAAATCACAAATTCGATCACATTTGTAAATTCTAACATAGATGATGCCTTTTATAAGTTTTTGTTTTTAGACAAAGGCTATTACAACTATATCGTTGTTTACTTTGTAGGCTTACATTTTTCAATAAAATTATGTTTAAACTAATTCTAACATGGCGGAAACTATGAGTTCACACAGCTGTCAAATAGATATCAGTAAAATATCACGGCAAAAACTTCATTTAAAGTTAAATTTTTGCACTACACTTGTTTTTGCATTTGATGATTTATTCTATTTTTATTAATTTCATTTCATTACAATTTTAGTAAATTTTATGGCCAATAATTGTTCTTATAACAAGCTACATGTAGTTCTATGGTGAACTTACATATTCGCTTTCGTCGAGATATTTCGTGTTTAACACACAACATGCGATAGATTGTGTATTTGAGTATTGTACAAGTTTCACAACTTTCGACCATTTATTCTTCTCTATATCATATTTGTACAAATCACGTGATTCTACCAGACGACTGCGACGTCCACTCAATCCAAGATGGCGTACACCCCCGCACACGTAAATAATTCCGTCGTGTGACCCTGCTGAAGTTATTTTCCTTTCTTCAGGGAAGTTTTCCCCATATGTCCATTTGTTCATACTTGGATCATAAATTGCTGTAGTAAGAATATTTTCATGCATAGTAATGCCGCCAACAAGGTAAATGCGTGATTTATAAGGAAAAGCACATAATTGTGCGCGCGGCTTATTCATTTGCGTTGACACAAGCGTCCAAAAGTCCTTTTGAATATCATACCTTAAAACTGTATCTAAATAATCTTCATCCTCGTCTCTGCCACCAAAAACTAAAATAGCACCATCAACGACAGCAGAAGCATGGTTGTAAATGCCTATAGGTACCGATGAAAGACTATTCCAGATATCATTCTCGACGTCATAGAATTCTACTGAATCTAATGGTGGACCTCTTGGATACTTAGACTTTCCACCAATTACAAACACCGTATTATCTAGCACGGCTGCCGAGAGACAACACCGAGGTTTACTCATGTCAGTTTTACGTTCCCAACATACGACTTTAGAATCATATTTATATACCTCACTGAGTGCTTGTCCTGCATCTTCAAAATGGTGATCGTCATAAAATATTCCACCAATAAAATACAGGCTATTATCGGCTGTTGTAACCAGTTGGTAAAAGTCAATCTTGTACTTAAAGTCAAAAGTTGGATGGGGTTTGATACCAATATAATTCTTAAGAGTAATGGGATCAAATGCAGTTAATGAACGTCCATTTTTATCGACAGTACCACCGGAGAAAATTATCATATTTCTATTAAACATTCCATGGCGAGGTTTTGCGTTGATCCCAAAGTAATCTTGTTTGGTTTGAGATGACACACTTGAATCAGTTAGGTTGAATTTTCTGAACTTCGATAAAATGTCCGCACACACTGGGTCATTCACAATAAAATTTTCTTGTTCAATGTTTGTTTTGAAATACTCGTCACTTACTAGCGGTAATCTTACATGTTTAAACAAACGTGGGAAAAGGCAAAAGCGAGAGTCTTTCCGATCTCTCCATTTCTTTATTGCATCGAAAATTATTTCTTCATGTTCCACTGAGATGTCGTCACTTGCAATAAGTTCCTCAAAATCGTCAATTTCCAACTCAAAAAGATTTTCATCTGGGAAAATATCCGAAAATTTATCAAGGATAAATTTCTTAGTATGTTGTTTTAATTTCGAGCAGGCAAAATGAGATGCAAATGTAAACATTTCAACACAGTTTTCTTTGCAGACCTCCCGCATCATGTAATTCGCACAACATTCAATTAAATATGTCAGCTCTAACATGGTGGCTGTCATTAAAAAATCTTGAACGTTTTCATTGTTTAATGTTATATTACCACTGTATATATATGTAACCACAGGGTTAAGGATGTGTGATGGTATGTTGTGTATCTCTATGATGTCTGCTTCTCTCTCTATTACTGGATTTATAAACATCGCTCTGAAAACAAACAAGTAACAACATGTATTTACAGCAACAATATTGAGGAGGAATGCTGTGCACAAGAATGATAACTCTTCCCTATACAATTTTTGAGTTATTGCCCTTTGTTCTTTTTTATAATATGTGATGTCAAAATGAACGTATCTTGTAGTACAGGAACAATAGGTTTTGAATAAGATAAAAGCTGTTTTACTTATAAGAAAGAAAAATACTTAGCAACTTTCTTTCCCTAAATATTTAAGCGGATTTATTCAATAGATTTCTGTGAAAATCAAAACTACACTTCGAGAAGTATTGTATAATACCTAAAGTATGGGCTTGCAGCTGCTAGAACGTTTCTATGGCAGTCAATTCTGACCTCACCGACCTGAAGTGTGACGTCAGTAAGGACTTGACCCTCAAACATCTTCTTTAAGTTCTCTAGCAGATAATCGCGGTAGTCATCCATTGTTTCCTCTTGTCTTCTTATTCCCTGAAAATATAAACGTTTGCCGGTATAAATTTATTTAATTTTGATATATGATTTTTGACAAATTAGTATACACTTTTCGAGTGTTTACACAGGTTATAAGTTAAGTGTTTCTGTCGTTTAATGATTCATATTATCACATACCTGTGCTGCTTTTGCGACGTCGTAAAAATGGTATTGCACGGCCGAGCATATATTTTTAAGTGACGTCATTTGCGTTAAACATAGTGTAAAGTTGCGCTAAATGTAAGCGTTACACTATAGGCGCGTCCATGAAAAAAGTGTTTCATTTTCTTAATTTGGATATGTGATAAATAGAATATTGTATTCGTGTAGCTTCATTACTAAATTTATTGAACTCGTTTTATAAAATTGTATTATGCTCGCTTGAGTAATATAATTTCATATTCAACTCGTTATTGAACAATACCCTCTATATCTATATAGCATGTTAAGTTTTGTTTCACCTTTTGTGCTACATTGTTTATCTACAGCTCTGTTTTAGATTTTTTTTCATCTTGGAGTGAAATTACTTATATTAAATTATTAAATGTTTATTTTAGTCCTAGTTAAATGAATGAATGCATCGAAAATATAATATTTCAGCTTACCTTGTAACTTGTAAGTTCTCAATCTTGATTAACTTCCATACTACTTTCCCTGTATATTAGTATTTGTTTCGAGGTATTAATATATAAATGTATAGGTGTTTACTATGCTAACCTCTCGTTGCCTTGGTTACCATAGACATATGTAACGTATATATGTAAAGATGTACAGGTACTATAACTGACGGTCTACCATTATTATATAGCATGTTTATGTGGTAGATGATTACGTACTGTGTTTCAGTGATATAATTTATTATCAGACACATTTTCTGTAATTATAGCTTGGATGCCATTTGATTAACATTATACATGTGTGTTGCTATATTATACATGTGTATGTTTACAAAACAATGTTTAAGCATTACATTTCTTGCACAATTACAATTCTTCAATATTTAAAGATCGATATTGATTTAAAATATGAAGAAAAGGTAATCGTGCAAAATTGTCGAGGCTTAGTCAAACTGAATGATACAAAAAGCTACATATAGAGAACATTTTGTGTCGCAGTGCCTGTTCTTGATATTGATGATATGTTAATTAATTAGAACAATGTTATTAACTAAAATAACTTTATAAATACTGAATAAAAGTTCAAAATAAACTAAGAAAACTTACCACAGTCATACTTATTCAGCGATCTTTTATTTCACGTCTATTTAATGTATACTCAGTCAGAGAGATAGTAACAATTATATAGGTGGAAATCCAATTTGTTTACCTTCATTCCCTGTAGTACAATAACTATTATTTACCCAAGTGGTCACATTGTATCCGTGTACGTAATGCATATTTAAGAGTGTTTAATTTACAATAAAAGTTTTCGCTTGTCATATCTTGTGTATATTCTGCCTAAGACGTGTTTTAACATGTAGCAGATGGCCGGTCATTTTAATAGGTCAACATTGAAATATGTGTTTCATAATTCTTTGACAAGCTTGTTAATCTTTTTGGTTAATAATGTGACCTTATTATGTACGTTTATTGTAAAAAATCCTTTACTTGACTCTAGTTAACCTGCTATTTTATAGGTGGATTAAGATTTGTTGTAAAATTTACTTTTCATAATTCCTTTGTAACTACATTTTATAACTTTTTCTGGACTGTATTAAATTGCAGAGTGATTATTAATTAATAAATAATTACACACAAAATTTGTGCAGAATTAACTTTTACTTGTACATTGTCGAAATAAAAGCAATTCAAGCTTCTCTTGTAAACATGATATGAAATTTATTATATCTAACTTTTAACTGATAATACATATATATGTACTATAATTTTCAAACTTGCCTTGTGACTGAAACTATCAGTACAGACTGTGTTAAGTTAAGGCCGTGTCTACACCTATTCAAGTTTCTTACATGTCACATTTAGATAAGCTAAATAAATGGCCCTTTCAAGATTTTTTCAGGTACAATTTTTACTGAAATGTCTCATTAAGATATCCCAGGGTTTATACCTATGTCTTTGTAAGACTATCATGTTTCTGTAAAACATGTGAAAAAAAGCGGGACAATGATGCAATTAACTAAAAGAATGGAGTAAATGAAATGCGTACATTCCTTTGAAAATTGAAAAAAATGTGACAAATTTTTTTTTGATGCAAATTCTTCATTTGATGAAAGTTATTCACTAACTGAACAAGATCATTTTAAATCCATTTTGACTCTACTTGAAAAAGAGCTCTTGTTATTTATTTTACAATGTATTTATTTTTTTTTTATTTATTTTTTTTTTGCTCTTCTTTGTATCAGCGTGTTGATTTGTTCCTTTGACCAAGACATTGTAAACATTTACTGAAATTCAAGGGGCATGTACACTGAATTTACAACAAAAAGTCAGAAAAAAAAAAAATAACAGCACTATCAAACCTGCGGGCACATGTTTTGTGTCAAACTGGTGTTATCAGTGTCTTGACAGCCAAAAACTTGTAGAAAAATAGAACCTGTTCTAATTTTCTTGCAAGAAATTATCTTCATGGATGTTACATAATTTCTCTTTAAAAAACATTCAAGTAGGGTGTCTACACTATCCAATACAAAAGAATATGATACTTGCATTCAAGACTTGGATAGGTGTAGACGGGCCCTTTAAAGACAAAAATTTGGTCGCTTCATAGATGTGATCTAGTGGGAAGAATATATATTACTGTTGTTGTAAAGAGGTAATTGCTCTACAGAGGGTCGCTTTACACGGGTTATATAATTAATAAAATAACAAACGCCTGACATTATACATCGTCAGTATACGGAATGCAGTAAGATTTCAATTTTGATTACATGGTTATCAAATTTGCTCGAGCAATAATCGATTCAAGGTAGATAACTCTTATGATACTGTTAAATTATTTTATAATTTTCCAAAGAGAAACAAATCTTCTGGGTATATTGAATACTTTCCAAAGAATATATAACTTATTTTATCTCAAGTTTATATCAATTTGTCGAATTGGTATATGAAGTTTTTATATAGATAACTATCAGAAGCGAAAGTAAAAATGTATTTAGAAAAGTTGCATTTATGCCGAAATTTGGCTACAATTTGGCCACTCTACGTCTATTTTGTCTTATTTCAACAAACAAATACATTGTTTATGATATTTTTTTTAAAGAAAAACAACTCTTTAAGTGTCTTATTTGAATAAACCCTGGTTTATTGATGCCAACACTATAAAGTGTTGAGAAATGAGTACCGCTGAAGCCGGTGCTAGGGGGCGTGGGGATGTTGCACTTATTCATTATCCCTCATGTACAGACTCAATCAAACCGAGTCTGCAATTCTTATGTTATTTTGTTGTGATTAAGCTTCCGAGGGATCACTTTGTTTCCAGAATTTTGTAATTCACAACAGCAGGTGTCAAGTGCCGTGTGGCAGCCGTAAAAAGTTGCCCCTTACTTCACTTCAGTGTTGTTATATTTTCTGGTCCTTCGGGATCATTGATGCCAACACTATAAAATGTTGAGAATTGAGTACCGCTCAAGCCGGTGCTAGGGGGTCTGAGGGATGTTGCACTTATTCATTATCCTTCATGTACAGACTCAATCAAACCGAGTCTGCAATTCTTAAGTTATTTTGTTGTGATTAATGCTTCCGAGGGATCACCTTTTTTTTCCAGAATTTGATATATTGTTTTTATGTTATTTTTTTATTTGACATGATGGGACTTGAAATATTTTTCGAGATTTATATACCATTTGATTTTGGTCTGGATTCAAAAACTTTTGTACAAAATTCCAGATCATTCGTTTACTCTGTTTTTCCCTATACTTATTATTGTAATTGTGGAAAATGACCCCAAAATGAAAAGGGTTTAAACGCTTTTAACTAAAATCAGGCTAAAATAGCACAAAAATACGATATTCAATGGACATCTCTACGATATTTTGTATACCTTTCCGTTTCAAATGCCGACGTTATTTTATACAAGATATTCGAATTTTATGTATTTTTTGCTTTTTGTGCCCGAGTGGAGTTCTTTAAGTTTAAACTAGAAACAATACCGATCCTTTGTATTATATCACACCAAGAACGATGACAATTTGAACAATGAAAATAATTGAAAACAATAATTCTCGGTTAATTTCACATGAATGATCAAATCAGTACATATTTCAATGTTAACTTAATGTAAGTTCTCCAATTTATAGTATCATATTCATGAAATCAAAAGTAAAATATACGTTTACAGCTTAGTATTTAGTATGGAGGCCAATCGTTGTCACTTTTTATTTTCGATCTGAGTTGAAAAGTTAGTTTTCTGACAGTAAACAGTCTTTATTTTGGGTATGTGATAAATAGAATATCACATTCGTGTAGGAACATTACTGAATTTATTGAACTCGTTGAATAAAAAAATGCTCTCTGAATAAAACAAATATAATGCTCGCCATTGAAACATGCGATTGTATTTTCATCTGAAGGAAGATCATTAACATGTAAAATATTGAATATATTCACTTGAAACTCCAAACATGTATTCAGGGTCATAACCAAAGTTCTCTATTGAAGAACATGGATCCATTTGAATGAGATCTTCCTCTTCATGGTTACTAACTTGTATCTGTTAAGTAAAACCGGGATATGAATTACCAAACGTCTGGCTAAGACTGGATTTTTGGCATTTTATATCCACCATATATGTTGAGATAAAAAGATTGTTACGTTCTTTATTATGTTACGAAATATCGATATGTTTTAAAAGACTAATTGCGTCTACATTCAAATACAATGTAGTTAATTTACGTTAAGGGTTATACATTTTAATTGGATTTTATATATGATTTCGTCTTTGAATATTTATTTATTACATACACGTTTAGCAAAATAAATATTGCTGATAATCAAAATCAATTTAATTCGTGTAATATCTTCCAGATATTCAAAACTCTTTAAAATTGAATTTAATTTCAAGTACATTAAAAACAGGAGTTATTTTAGGGGAAAGTGTTTAAAGTAAAAGACATGATGACAAATATAAACGTTGTTGGATATGTAGTCCTAATATTAGGAATGATGATGGGTACCATCCAAGGCGGGACTTATGAAGATGTATATAACCTTCGAACAACTTTACTGACGTCATATGATGCTGACATTCTTCCATTAGATGACCAGTCTGGTTCGTTAAACATTAATTTATCAATGATGGTATTTACGATGCCGGAAGTTAATCCAGTACAGGGCGCCATTACAATGGGTGTAATGGTGACCCAGGAATGGTACGACGAAAGATTAACCTGGACACCATCTGACCATAGCGGCACCATGATCATTTCAATGAAATCTGGGAATATTTGGACTCCGCCACTAACAGTGTCCAATCCAATCACGTTTACGCTCTTGGATTCGTCATGGATGCAGACGAAAATAATGTCTAGTGGTAAAGTAATGTACACTGTTGGCGGAATTATACAGTTTTCTTGTTCGTTTAATATGAAGTTTTGGCCTTTTGATAAGCATATTTGTACCTTAAATTTATTTCCCTATGGTTACATGGTGAACGAAGTGAGCTTTTCTGTACCGGGAACTGTGGTTGACACTAGTATCTATTCAGAAAACGGTGAATGGTTTCTGGATAAGGACTCGTTTAACTACGAACTAGGCACTGTCTTCGGCATGAATGAAATAGCGTACAGTTTTAAAATTGCACGATTGTCGGCATTTTATTTGCTTACTGTCATTTTACCTATCAACGGTATCGGAATGTTGACATGTTTGGTATTTCTTCTGCCTACTGAGTCAGGTGAACGGGTGGGCTACTCTATAACAATTATGTTATCCCTTGCCGTGTTTCTGACGGTAACTGCCGAGGAATTGCCGAAAAACTCCGAGCCTCTACCAATCATAACTGTGTATATTCTCTTTAACCTAGCAATCTGTATCATAGGGCTTCTTTTCGTCATTTTAAATTGGATACTCTTTAACAGGACTGAAAAAGATGATATGGCAGAAATTTACAAATCGACGGTAAGATTCACACGGAGGAAATGGTGTAAACGTAAAATTAGAGATGACCCACCGCGTAAAACTTCTGTGGTTAGAATAAATGTCAAAAGCAAGAAAAAATTCCCAGATTTCGGCGATGAGATAGCAGACGAAGATATTGGATGGAAAGATGTAAGTGAAGCGGTGGACAAAATAATGTTTGTCCTCTTCGTAGTTGTCACTTACATTCCATCTATCATTATTCTTATTTACACAGCAGCAGCTTCCGGTTACATTAAAGGTTAAATCCACCGAAGATTTATGACATGACGGGACTGGAAATATTTTTGCGATATTTCAGTGACGTCTTGCTTTTTTCTCTCTTTTTTTTTCGCTGTCAAGCTCAGCAGAAAAAGTTATATATTTCACAAGATTTACTTTTATAATGGTGACTGACCCACAACTGATAATTAAAAAGTTTTGGGTAAAATATAAAGACAACCTAAATCTATATAAAAATAAGACTGTCCCAACCATAACGCTTCCGTTACATATAAAATGTCTGAGGGGCACGTGGAATATTGATTATTTATATAAAATTAAACACAATTATAACAAAATATAAAGTTTGTGATTCGAGTTTTACCTATGCACTCTTCATTTACACTCGAATGATCTATTTGATGTAGGTCTAGACCAATATGTTTGTGCAATATTTCAGATCATTTTCTTACTCAGTTTTTTCTAGAATGATTATTCTAAATTGTGAAAATTAACCAAAACTGAGCTTAGAACAGCACAAAATATGTTTTTCAGTTAATTTTTAATTATTTCTTTATAACCTTTTACATATCTTTTTTGTTTTGAGTACCCTAGCTGATTCCTTTAAGAGGTTTCTTGCGGAAAGAAAGCTTTAAAACTTTGGAAAGGATAACACACAGTATATCAGCTTATTGGAATTATATTTGTATTTATCAGTCATCATTTTTTTCTATTTTGAAACGCTTGCACGTTTTTTTTTGTTTTTTTTTTTGTTTGTTTTTACATACAAAAATTGGCTAATCATTAATTTAAGAAAAAAACAAAAAACAACATAAATATATAGATGCTCTCGAGCTTTTTATATGAAACCACGATCGTAGTGTCAGGTCAGGTTATTCAAATCAGCTTATATACATGTTCGTGAAGTTGGCAGCCTAGCAGCCTAGCAGCCCAGCAGCCTGAAGTTGGCAGCCTAGCAGCCTGGCAGCCTAGCAGCCTAGCAGCCTAGAAGCCTAAAGAAAACTAAGAATAGTACAAACATGAAATCGTCGGATATGAATCGGAAGCACATACTAAGAACATTGCACGTCTTATTTCAGTATCGCGATCTTTATTTTTTTAAATATTGAACTTTGTTTTTTTTTTATTTTGACGCTTCGAAATTTGTGAAGTTAGCAGCCTAGCAGCCTGGCAGCCTAGCAGCCTAAAGAAAACTAAGGAAAATACAAACATGTAAACCGTCGGAAATGAGTCGGTAGCACATACTTAGACTATTCCACGTCTTTTTTCAGTATCGCGAACTTTATTTTTTTTCAATATTGAACTTTGTTTGTTTTTTGTTGTTGTTTTTTACACTTAGCAGCCTAGCAGCCTGGCAGCCTAGCAGCCTAGCAGCCTAGTAGCCTGGCAGCCTAGCAGCCTAAAGAAAACTTAGGACAATACAAACATGTAAAAGTCGGAAATGAGTCGGTAGCACATTCTTAGACTATTCTACGTCTTTTTTTAGTATTGCGAACTTTATTTTTTTTTAATATTGAACTTTGTTTTTTTTACTCTTCGAAATTTGTGAAGTTAGCAGTCTAGCAGCCTGGCAGCCTAGCAGCCTGGCAGCCTAGCAGCCTAGCAGCCTGACAGCCTAACAGCCTAAAGAAAACTTAGGATAGTACAATTATGATTACCGTCGGAAATGAATCGGTAGCACATTCTTTAGACTATTCTACGTCTTTTTTCAGTATCGCGAACTTTATTTTTTTTTTAATATTGAACTTTGTTTTTTTTTTACTCTTCGAAATTTGTGAAGTTAGCAGCCTAGCAGCCTGGCAGCCTAGTAGCCTAAACAGCCTAAAGAAAACAAAGGATAATACAAACATGAAAACCGTCGGAAATTAGTCGGTAGCACATACTTAGACTATTCCACGTCTTTTTTCAGTATCGCGGCTATTGATCAAATGGGTATTGTTCTTAAGTTCAGATAATCTTTATGTTCATTAATGTGTTCGTTTAAACATATGCATTGTATATCTCTTTACAAATCAACCGATTTATCTTTACAGACCTAAAATAAATATGCGTTGAACATCGTCAACTTCATTATAAACATATACATACAAAATAGCATATCATAAATAAGTCACATGACGTCGCTTATTGTCCATAGACAGCGACATTATTAGCCGCGAAAATGTTAAGATTAAGACTACATCCTACGTTATTCGAAAACATGTTTAATCCCGCAAATTTTGAAGCGTCAGAATGAAAAATAAAACAAAATTCAATATTTCAAAAAATAAAGATCGCGATACTGAAATAAAACGTGGAATGGTATAATTATGTGCTACCGACTCATTTCGTTTGTATTATCCTTAGTTTTCTTTAGGCTGCTAGGCTGCTAGGCTCCAGGCTGCCAGGATGCTCACTTCACAAATTTCGAAGAGTAAAAAAAAACAAAGTTCAATATTAAAGAAATTAAAGTTCGCGATACTGAAAAAAAGACGTGGAATAGTCTAAGTATGTGCTACCGACTCATTTCCGACGGTTTACATGTTTGTATTGTCCTTAGTTTTCTTTAGGCTGCTAGGCTGCCAGGCTGTTAGGCTGCCAGGCTGCTAGGCTGCTAGGCTGCTAACTTCACAAATTTCGAAGTGTCAAAAAAAAAGAAAAAAAGTTCAATATTGAAAAAAAAAAAGTTCGCGATACTGAAAAAAGACGTGAAATAGTCTAAGTATGTGCTACAGACTCATTTCCGACGGTTTACATGTTTGTATTGTCCTTAGTTTTCTTTAGGCTGCTAGGCTGCTAGGCTGCCAGGCTGCTAGGCTGCTAACTTCACAAATTTCGAAGTGTCAAAAAAACACACAAAAAAACAAACAAAGTTCAATATTTAAAAAAATTAAGTTCGCGGTACTGAAAAAAGACGTGGAATAGTCTAAGTATGTGCTATCGACTCATTTCCGACGGTTTACATGTTTGTATTTTCCTTAGTTTTCTTAAGGTTGCCACGCTGCTAGGCTGCTAACTTCACAAATTTCGAAGCGTCAAAATAAAAAAAAAACAAAGTTCAATATTTAAAAAAATAAAGATCGCGATACTGAAATAAGACGTGCAATGTTCTTAGTATGTGCTTCCGATTTATATCCGACGATTTCTTGTTTGTACTATCTTAGTTTTCTTTAGGCTGCTAGGCTGCTAAGCTGCCAACTTCAGGCTGCTGGGCTGCTAGGCTGCTAGGCTGCTAGGCTGCCAACTTCACGAACATCTTATATACGATATTTTTTTCCTTTTTATTACCTATTTTCATTTCGGCACAATATTCTTTTATTCTATTTTTTATGGATAAAATGTGTGCACTTTTTCACTTTGTAAGAATTGTAGTTTTCCCTATTTTACATGTCCTTTTGTTATTTGTGCTAATTGTTATTGTTGTTGAAGTGACCTTGATTTTTTTTATTTGTTTGTTTTTTATTTCACTTAGAATTTGTTACATAGTTTTGTGTCACCTGTTGATTTTTTCATTATATTGTATATTTCATACTTTTCCAAACTAGATTGTTAGAAAATTGTAGGGAATTGATTGATTGATTGATTGATTGATTGATTGATTGATTGATTGATTGATTGATTGATTGATTCAAATATAATTATTAATTACATGCTTTTCGGTGGTTTATAGAAATATATCAGTGATATAAAACTGATAATTTCACTGTTTAAAACTTTTCATTAAGTATTAGGTTAAATGTCTTTTTAAAACGTTACTTTACATATAATAAAAAGAAAATTTGTTTAGTTTAGTGTAAGATGGAAATATATTTCACCTTGTGAACACCAAAAGTTCATATTTCACTCGTGGCTGCGACACTCGTGAAATCTATCTTTTGGTGCTCACTCGGTGAAATATATTCCGATCTTACACTGAACTAAACAAATATCCTCTATACAATAAGTTGATATGGACATAGACAGTATAAAACTTCTCACATGATATTATGTTATTATAATTAGTCATACCAGAATCATAATTATACCAGTGTCAAGGGCGACACAAAATGGATTATAACAAATTCTTTTCTTTTTTTTTCATAATAACTTTGATAATCAAACAGCAGTGGCCATTTGTGGTTTAAAACAGACCCAAAAGCAACGTTTTTTTTTAAAGATATAACATATTCTGAAATTTGAAGAATAGTAAAGACCGGTGGGGACATTTTAACTTCTTGAATTCCTGATTTCATCTTCGTGAATTTACAATTTAAACTTTATGAATTCACGTCTTCAACCTTATGATTTCACGATTTCAACTTCATGAATTCACCATTTCAAATTCATGAATTCAACTTCATGAATCCGTGTTAAGAACAATACGATTTCATCTTCACGAAATAAAGATTTTGTCTTCACGAAGTTGAACTCGTGAATTCGTGAAGTTGAACTCGTAAATTCCTGAAATCTGTATGTTGAAATTGTAAAATTCCTTTAGATGAACCTGAGAATTCAAAAAGTTGAAATGTCACCACCGGTGCTTTACAAATGATAACATGTTCGAAATATGTTATGAAAGTTATACGAGCGTGTCGTTGATAATGTTTTCCCGCTATATGCATGTTTAGGTCTTTGTAATTGTGTCTTACTTTCTTTTTCAAATAGATATTTGTAATGGTGAAAATGTGCCCCGCATTGCTCATTCATATTAAGTTTTGTTTACATAATCATACAGAATGCATGTTTTTATACTATTAAGTTTCATCAACTTTATGAACATACAACACAAGGGAGTGTATTTGTTTGAAATGCAAAGTGTGTTTTATGAAATAAACTTAAAATAGAATTTCATTCCTTCGTGTTATGTTTTATTAATACATTTTCCTTTTTTAAAAAGAAATATGTTAAAGGGCAATGAAATACACAAAAGAAAACATGATACACTCGAATGTAGTAACAGGGCGAGTAAAGAAGTCAAGTCAGGTCCACTAAGATTCTTTACTTATAAAACAATCGATAAAGCTGAACAATCAATATTCAAGAATTACAATCAATAACAATGATCCGGCATTTTGGTCAGAAAGATTGTAAGAAAAAAAGTAACAAAATTTTTCAAACAAGTTTTGCCTAATGCAAAAAGGTGCTAGAAATATGACCTTTGTCAACATGAAGTCAGTGACTTAAGACTCCTTAAGTATACAAGAGGTATAAACAAGAAGTATCTTTACAAAAAAAGATACTCGGCCGAAGTAAAACTGGTAAGCTTGCATATGTTTGTGCAAAGTCAGATAAAAATGTTTAACAAAGACATAATAATTTATTGCAGGGTTATTAATCTTGATAAATGCAACACTTTAATTAAGATGTATGTTTCTAAACAAACCTGTCGTGTTTCGATAAGTGAACTCAATTTCTATACCAACATCTACGCAGTCGCTAACTTGTAAATACTTGATTTAATAATATGCAAAAATACATAAACATAATTTCAATTGAACACGTCAATAATCATACTATATTAGACACTTATTTAACGTCATAAACTAAGGGTACCTGATAAATTCTGGTATTACTCTCGTTATTTTGGACAAAATTTAAAACTCAGAACTTATGTAAAATAAACTCGGTCAGTTCTTACGTAAAAAAATTGTTCGCTAGAAAATGTAATTAAATTTGAATGAAAGAAGTATTGTTAAACAGAACTAAAATATCTGATCAAATAAGCTAGAAAATTAAAGAAATATGCTGTACACAAATCCTTTACATTTTATTTCATAATGGCAAGAACTATCCTATACATTTTAGTTTAGAACTATCTTAAAAAGACAAGAGCAATATCTTTTACATTTTGGCCAATAAGAATACCAGATTTCATTTTGTAATTTTAAAATGACCTATAAAACTTATCTTATATTAAGTTCTTTCCTAAGTCAAACTGAAAGCAGACCGGCTTTCAGATATATTATCAATAAAAAATAAAATTAGTTCTGGAAATATAATTAAGAAAGGGTAATCAGCCGAAGGGTAAGCATTTGTCAAAATAATAACTGCCGTTAAACATAAAGCCCAGTAGTTCAAAATCGTCTGGATGAACAGGAAGCAGTCTGAACGCATTTTTAATATCCATTTTAAATAAGTAACAATTTTGACCTAGATCTTGAACCATGTGTATTGCCTCATCAAATTCCGTGTATTTAATTTTGGATCGATGAAGTCATTAACAGACGAACCTTCCGGATAGGATAAATGATGAATCAATCGAAAGTCCCCTATTGTTTTCTTGGGAACAATTCCGATCGGCGAAACTTTAAGGTTAATTAAAGGGAGGTAATTAAAAGGACCGGCAACTCTGCCTGCCTTTATTTCTTTTTCTATTTTTTGTTCTGTAAGGGAAAAAAATCACAAAAAAATCTCACAACTTGCATGTAAAGCTTTAATCAATAGTTTGTCATTAATACAGAATAACTTTCAACAAGAAGTATCTTTATAAAAGATACTTGGCCGAGATTAATCTGCATTTATCTGTAAAAATTATTTCTGATTTTTGTATTCGTGAAAAAAAATGACTTTTGCCGTGGCTGTTTAATGGTGTTATAATGACAGAACTGTTATTTCTTGTTGTGAAAAGTTATGCAGGGTTGTCTAACAAACTGTTCTTGTACTAAGGGCTGATGAGTATATTATGCTATTTTATGTATTTTTATGTATGGGCAATATCTACCCTCTAAGACGCCGACCCAGAACAACTTTGTACATTGAAATATTTTGATTACATCTGAAGCTTTTTTCATGGGTCAAATATAGTTTTTCGTGGATGCATGAATGTCGATGTTCATCCGTTTTTGACAGCCAAAGAACAAGAAGAGCCTAATACGTACAAACTTTATACAAAGGGGACATTTATTTGTATCAGTACGAGATGAAGAGTTGGTAGATATTGAGTGATAATCAGTGGTAGATATTGAGTGAGAATCAGTGGTAGATATTAAGTGAGAATCAGTAGAACGTTTTCAAGTGTGGCGTAGCCCAAAATACAAATGCATAAGACGAAACAAATTCTCTTTTCTTGTTTCACATATACAAACATTCAATCTGATGTCAAACTTTAACAAGGCGTTTTATACAGTATTATCAGGTTATAGGATTCTATAATTCGGCATAGCTTATATATAATTCCAAAGGTAAGAAATGTGTTATTCTGTGGTAAGGATACTTTAATATCTCAATTCAACAATTTATCGTTCATTCCCTTTTGCCGTTTCGCTTGAAAAGTATAAACTTTGCTCACTTGTAATTGCAATAATTCTAAAATAATTCTAAATTAAACTATACATCCATGTCCATGTGACTTTCAGGATCTGCATACTTCCTGTCAATACAAGTGCAGTATGGGAAATTGCAGCATTCTTGTAACTGAGGTAACCACATTGCGTTCTTTACAGAAAATTGATTTTCAACTGGTTCTATTGATTTTAAATGATTAGCTACTGATGTAATTATTTTATCAGTTATCTGTTTCGTTTCTTCATTAAGATCTGATCTTATCGGTTGATTCTCTTGTGGGTCCATTATCAGATTATACAGGACGGGTGGGTCTAATAGACGTGCATGGTCACACGAGCAACTAAAGCGACATCGTGTCTTGTTTTCGAGATAGTCTGGCTCTCTAAATGCTAATTTCCACGTTATTGATCCTACAATAAATGAATATAATAAACAAATCTTATGCATTGAACAATAGTTTATTCAAACTGAATGTTTGTGAATAACAGAAGAGCGTAAATTATCCAATCCACAAAATGGAGCACAACTGATACTGGCAGATAATGTATTTATTAGAGATGATAAAACTTTTAAGAATAATAAATATAACTTTTAAAAGAGTTTGTATTTGAAAAATATATACAATTTCATAATATTATGTAATATATATAATATATGATACATGTACCTGTTCGTGGACGGTATCTGACAGCATGGATCTCATCCGTACAATAGTGAAATAGGAATTCATGGGGTGATATTGATTCCTCACCCTAAAATTAATAATTATACCTATATAATACGTAAAATTATATGCGTTAATCATCAAAATAGCGTCTTGCTATGTTCAAGAAAAGAAACGAAAAAAAAAAACCAAAACAATTTTATAAAGTAAAAAAAAACAACAGCATGTAATTGTATACGAAACAGAAATTATGTTATTAATATAGCTATCTCAAACACCTATATGAAACCAAATAAAATGCAAATATGTAACTGTATACTTTGATAAGTTTTAAAATATTTTTCCCATCGATCTGTCTGTCTGCAGAAACTTGTGTCCCAGTTACCATGGCAATTAAATAATAAATATCCATATGTGATGTCATTTCATCAACAGTGGTCCCAGCTTTAATGTTCTTTGGCCATTTAATGATTCCAGGGACTCTAATACCACCGTCAAAAGTTCCGTGTGTTTTACCACCTGTAGAAAATAATATCTTATTTTTTAATTTATACGTGTAGTTGTAAACAATAGACCAATGATAAAAACCAATTGCTATATCAAATGTTTTTGAAGCATTGTATAAATAACTCCAGAATGTTTTGAACTGTATCTCACAAATTTGGTTTTTGATAAATTAGAAAATACGTTCAGTCGCCTCGAACAAGTTGTTACACATGTTAGCTTGAATTATAGTGAAACCATGGTAACAACAAAAAAAATTAACGGTTTTTAAAGTAGGACATGTGTGTTATGTTGATGTCAGCCCTTAAAAAGACACTATACAAATATTAATTTTTCAAGACTACTGCCGACGTTTAAACTAATAACAAGCATGTCATCTGAGAAAAAATACTTAAATAAACGTAATCAATAAACGTCTCTCCAACCATTATTTTCATCATCAGTTACCTTTATAAATACCATTACTTCCACCATCAACTTGTCCTTTCATTCCAAATTCCTCTAAATGAGCACCGTGGTCAGAGGTAAAATACACAACAGTGTTGTTGCTGAAACCATATTTATCTAGAGCCTCTAAAATCTTTCCTGTCCCCCAGTCCATTTCTTCAACACAATCTCCATAACGACCATGTCGTGAACGACCTTTGAACTTTTGAGAAGGGTCAAGAAAAGTGTGAACATGTAACCAAGCTACATGAAGCAAGAATGGCTCTTCGTCAACTGACCTATTGCGCAGAAATTCAACAGCCTCGTTTACAATTCGTCCTGTCAGACCGTTTAATCGGACTGGCTGTTCTACTACTTCTTTATCACGAAGTATGAAACTATTCACTATTTTGAAATGAGCCGTTATGAAGTATATGTATAGTAATGGAATGAAGGTAATGAAACATAAAAGCGCGCACATTTTCATTTTAATTAGTCCTTTCTTTTTTGCAATGATTAACGTTAAAAGAACAATGATGATCGCGACACGGAGAGCTGTAAAGAGATGAGGTGCTGCACTACCAAATGTACTGTCACCCTCCTCACCAAAATCTTTGTAGTTTCCAAGTGGTGGACCGTAAAATTGGTCATAACCTTGATTCAAGGGATGTTTTTTGTAATCACGTGACCAAAAGGAAGAATGTTCGCCCAGGTGCCATTTTCCTGAAGAAAAAATATACATGTTACAGTAGGATTTCAATTATTTTTTCGACACGACTTCTATCGGGAGTCCGTAGCCGGGTTGAAAGGGTTTCAGTCTTTGAACCACTTGGCCGTTAACAATGCAAGTTCGATTACACATGTATATACATTCTATATATATTTACATGTTGGCTTATCGAGTAGTATACATGCGCATGTAATTTATTCTTTTGATGAATGACTTATAAGTATGTCCTTGTAAGCACTGTATCGAGTAATTACTGTTCTATACCCGCCCTACTCTTTAAGTATAGTTTAGCTTTCAGACTAAGTTATTCTCATAGGAGTTCCGTACATTCACTTATATAAGACGTGGAAAGAACACGCTAAAAAGTCTGTTTTATGTTAATCATTCATACATTTAGCCACATGTCAGGTTTATTGTAGGTCCTTGGGGGAAATTATCGCATGATTATATAGGGGAAAAGCTAGTCTAATTCTAGCTTTTATGGCGTTTTTCTTACGAAACCCTCACATTTCTTACTATTATAGTAGAACTCGATTAATTATTATTCCTACATGTGTATTTTCTATATTGTATTAATTTGCATAATAGTGATGTATGTACTATTCTTTGCACATGTTTAAGTATTGTTGGTTAAAACAATAAACAGAGGCCATACCTTATAATATGGTATGGCCATTAAACACAATTTGATAGTTTGTTATTCCTCGCGTGGCGGTTCATAAAAATGTTTATCGAAAACTATGGAACAGAATTAATGCATTTATTCCATCTTGCTTTATGATATCGGGACTTACATTATGCTTGCTTCTATACTTCTTTATGACAATGAAAACCTGCGTTTTGCTGAATTCAATCATGCCTTATGATTACTGAATGCACTTTCATGTAATTGCAACCTTATGTGTTCCCTACTAAACCATCAAACTCACATATTTTAATATGCTATATGTTTAATTGCATTTTCTATTATGGACAACGTATTATGTTTGGTGTTTAAGATAACATTATTTGCTTGTTCTTGATATAATTATATGTAACATGGTAAGTTTCTGTCAGTACCTTTAATTTGCTATAAATCTGCCACTTATATTGTCGACATTATGTCACAATAAATTATTAATTTTGATCAATAATTGGCGAATTTGATGTGTCTTAGCATTCATATGCTTCAATATATTCACTGATTACAAATATAATGCAATACATGATCACTGCGCATCGAACGAAGATGACAACGATAGCGATATTATAGTCGCATGTGACAGTACGCACTAAGCAGTTGGCAGTAAGCATAATGGGAGTTGCAAAAATGTGTGTTCATATTATGACAGCAGGTGTCGCTTTTTCGGTACATCCGGTTATTTTCCGGATGATCCCGTACTTTGCCACGTGGAGTAAACAAAGTTACGTCCTTTTTATACAGGGGCGTATACAGAACAGTGTTAGTTGGAGACTGGCATGTAAAGGGAAAATTAACTGAAAATAAGAGAACACGATGCGACAGACGAAAAGTGCGTGTTTTTGAAGATTCCGCCAGCATGTGGAAAAAAATGTTATAGATTTCTCTAAAAACTCATCCTACAAGTGGCAACTCACCTCTTATACAATTGTTTACACTTCGTGATAGTCGTATAAGCAATAGTGAAATTGAATTTTAAGATATACTCTGCTCAAACTTACGGTGGCACAAAGGTGACATGCGTGTGTTTTTATTTATCTCGTGCGCACGAGATACTGTGTCGTGGCCAAGGGTTACTAAGTCGTGGCCATGAGATACTTAAGTCGTGGGAACGAGATACTATGTTGTGGCCACGAGTTACTAAGTCGTGGCCACGAGATAATTAAGTCGTGGGAACGAGATGACTAAGTCGTTGCCACGAGTTACTAAGTCGTGGCCACGAGATTAATAAGTCGTTGGAACAAGTCACTATGTCGTGGCCACGAGAAAATTTAGTCGTGGCCACGAGAAAGTTAAGTCGTGCGAACGAATTAATAACCAATCAACACATTTATTGGTTGTGATGAATTTTTATATGAATTTTCAACAAGGATGCCCCTACTTCTTCTGTCCGTAAAAGTGCCATTTATACAAGTTATTGATTGGTCAAAGATTAAGCGTCATTGTGACCCTGATTTCTGACCAAATTGCCTAAAAATTATAAGGTGTCATCTACTGATCTTTTTAGGTTATATAAACTACGGCTTATTCTTCTAAATCATTCATAAGACGAGGATTTTACATGAAGTGTCATGTTTATCTGACCCGTGACCTCAAACATACTTATAGGATATATACTGTCCATGGGCAATGTCCCTACCCAATAAAATAAACCAGGACTAAGTCCCTCACAAGTTATGGTATAAACATTGTTAACAGGCCGTTGTACGTACAAAATGACCAATTCTATCACAGAATTGTCCCAATAAAGGACTTTAACTTAGTCAAAATTAATGTCTGATTAATGGGCCTTATGTATCATGTATCAAGTTCAAAGTGAACACTTCAGTATTTTCAAAGATTAATGTTGCACGTTTACAAATCTTTAAACAGAAATTTTCTAAGTTTAGAAAATCATGGTGTAATCTGATTCAATTATCTCGTCTGCACGACATAGTTATCTCGTTCCCACGACTTAAACGACTTAGTAACTCGTGGCCACGACTTAGTACAGTACAAACTTGATTTTTTTTCTGTATGATAAAATAAAAATAATTGGGCTTCACACAAATGTTGTGCTTTAAATCCTTTTCATTGTAAGTGGGCAGTATGAATATACATGTATAGTGTTATTACAAAAAATATATGGAAGTTTCTTTTAAAGACAGACACAACTTTACTTGACCCGTAATAAGGAAAGCAGATTCCTATACATTATGTGTATGTGTTTTTATTTAAATAAAACATATTTAGTAAGAATTTTATAGATTTCGATAAATTTCTGTGATAAAAATATGTTACTGAAAGATGTGCATAGTATATCATTAAGCACAAATGTATGTGAATGTGGTGGTGTGTGCGGGATGTCTGATCTATAATCAGACACACATATGCCCAACATTTGAGCCGCGTCACGACAAAACCAACATAATGGGTTTGCGACCAGCTTGGATCCAGACCAGCCTGCGCGTCCGCACAGTTTGACCAGGATCCATGCTGTTCGCTTTCCAACGCTTTTACCAGTAGAGAAACCGATAGCGAACAGCATGGATCCTGATCAGACTGCGCTGGTCTAGATCCATGCTGGTCGCAAACCCATTATGTTGGTTTTGTCGTGACGCGGCTCATTTGTAATTGACTATGCACATGTTACAAAAATAAACAACTTCCTTCTTTCCTTATTATACATGTATATCTTAATATGTTACATACCTATTCGCCACTATTAGTGACTCTGAGACATTTATTAAGTTAAAAGGCCAATAATGTTTGCTTTTTAATGTCCAAGTCATTAGATAATGACCTTCGCAGTACCTATAGGCAGGTGCTTAACAACTGGATTACAGCATTATATGTTTTGGTAAGGGAGTACACTAAGAAGACTATTGCATGAAACTGACACGTATATATTCCATCCCAGCTCATGAACGTATATTTGGAGGTAAGTGCAGCCCTTAAGCCAGGACCTGAATCCGCCACTGTGTAACGTGTAACTGCCCCATTGAATAACTGTTTACGAGCATATTTTGTCTATTAGACTGTATACATATATAAAATTATATTGCATAATCCTTTAATACTTGTATTTATATTCTTTCAACTGCAATTTATGTATTTTAAGCGCTTAGTACGTATTTATATATGCATGTACGCAGTATCTATACGGAAAATTCCGATGATAGGCGAATCGTGGAAAAATTCCGTTGAATATCGATAACAGAGTTCTCGCCCCTTAACAGTTCACAAATCGCTAGACATAGTTTAAATTGTTTATCATAATGTAAGATGATCAAACATAATCCACAAAGCCTCAGACACCGAGCTTTATTAAGCATAAACACTGAATAATGGTTATAAGCGAAAGCTAATAGTAATCACGCCATGCGAGCTATAAATCAAATAAGTCACATTTTAACAAAATCTATCAGGGAACAAAAAATTGTCAATTTTAAATGACTTCTACATAAAAGTAATACAAAATAAAACTAAACCGTAAATGGTTTGTAGAGAGCATGAAGAAAGGTAGCTTATACATAAAGGTATATGACGTTAACATTTTAGTATTCCAAATGGCTTGTTCCAGTTTAATAGTTATCACTCAATGAAAGACTTGGTCACTGCAAAATGTTTGAATGAAATAATGAAAAATGAAATTCAGCATAATGCAAAGTTTAAATATCATAAAGCAAGATGTAATCAAGCATAATGCAAGTTCTAATGTCATGTAGCAAGATATAATTAAACATAAAGCAAGTTCCAATGTCATCAAGCAGGATGGAATCAAGCATAATGCAAGTTCCAATGTCATCAAGCAAGATGGAATTAAGCATAATGCAAGTTCAAATATCATCAAGCAAGATAGAATAAATGCATTAATTCTGTTCCATAGTAAACATTGTTGTCATCAAAATAGTCTACTTGTTTCGTGTGTTTTGACTAAGAGGATCCCGGATTATGCAAGATTCGTTACAAGTAAACAGGTGATTTTGCCTAATATATATCTCAGTTTGCTATTCAGTCACATATCATATATTGATACATTTTTTTCCTAAAAATAATTTATTAACATAGCTAGTTTTGTCCAGATTGAAAGTTCACAAATCCATAAAAGATAAATTGCGTGATAGGGACTATTTTACGAGCAATTTGACAGTTAACATGTAACTGTGTCAGTGCAAAGAAGCGCTGAATAAGTATTGTTTGTCATTAAAGTAACAACATGACAAATAACTGAACTAATTACCTCCTAAAATACATCGGAAGCAAAAACATGTTCAGATTATTGCAATTAGAAACGCACAGAAATTAATACCGAACACCAAAAATAAATAGATCTTGAGAAATAAAAATAAAGCATTTCTTGGCATTTAAAATTTTAAGATAAAATAAAGAACATATAAAGATAAGTTTCATTACCGAGCAATGCTGTTTTGTAACCAGCTTGTTTTGCTAATTCGGCAAATGTTACTTCTTCTTCAGGAAGTCCGGAGGTACTAGCCTGCCAAAATGTCACCCTAAATGAACCTGTTGTCGACATACCTAAAGAAACAAATAGCAGAAATTAAATTACTTTCGCAAAACCATTTGCCGGCGCCATTGGTGACATACATCTAAGATAACTGGTTATTTATTATCATTTGCTGTCCATTGACGATAACATCAGATAACAGGCGTGATTATACATTGTGTATTATAATATTTAATGTTTTCATGGTAATTGATCTATTTATAGATGTCCTGTAACTGCATGTACATAAAAAAAACCCTTTCCAATACACCTATCACATATCTGTTCTGTCATTGATAAAACATTACAAATGATATTTTAAAGTAAAGGTACGATACGAATAACGGGAAGAAATTAATAAAAAGAGTGGTCAGAATGTTAGCTACTCTCAGAGCGTTTCTGTCATTATCGACAGCTTTAGCCTACAACCGCAGCATTTCTCTCTTCCCCTAGGTGCGTACATGTCATAGAAAATGCACACTTATTTCATCGGCAGAAAATTTGCACCTGGGCTGATTCCTCACCGAGGACACGTTATAGCGTTGTTGTTGTGCATATAGGTTTTTTGTGACTGTCACCCCGCGGCCGCGAAGGAGTAAAGCTACGACTCAGCTGCCGATGTCCTGACTTAAGCCAATGTGACAGGCTCTGCAAAGTAGACATGGGCTACAAGGAAAGTGTGCTTGAAGCGCGAGCCGCGATCACAGAGAGTAACGGCTTGAAAGGTGGGTCCTGAGCTGGCATAACAGCCCTTTTCAGGGCTTAAGATTCTCATTGACCACTGTAAAATGGCCTTCTTTAGACTCAAAATTAATATTTTGGCTAATACTCCGTTGAAATTGCATGGAGGTAAACTTTGAGCTTCAAAATTAACCCTATAAGACTGGTGCAGGGTTCGGACTCAACAGCAAAAACTGCATTTTGTGCTTTAATGGGCGGATGGACCCTCAAAAACATAGATCTTTATATCATTCAGGCACGGCAGCATTTTCACTTCGACCAGCTGTTTGGACGACTGTAACTTTCTCACGCTGGTTTGATATTTTGCATGCGTGTTCATGTGTGATGATTGTAAGTGTGTAAAGCCTAAAATCCATTTAGTTATTTCAAGTTTGAGATATTTTGGAAAAAAACGACCATGTTAACGGAATTTCCCGAGGCTACTAAGTATCATTTTAATCCGCTCATAATATTTTATGAAATTGGAAGACTAGTCAATGGACAGAAAGTATACAGCAATGAATTTGACCTTAGTTGCGTAATATAAATGTACCAACCAAATTTAAAACTTTAAATTTAAGATTTCTGTCAATCTGTCATTCCTTTAGGTCGGCAATACGGTTGTACATCTTAATTAAAATTGTTTTTTTTGCCTGCATGGTAAGACATGATAGCATATTCTTTGCAATGAAGGGCACAATTCACATCGGTTTTACTTTGAAATAGTTTATATATGCAAAAGTTTAATACAGGTTACAATATACTATCAAAAAATATACTTATATCATTAAGACATTGAATATGTTTGTTGTTGTTATTGTACGTAGGCCCCTATACGTAATTTTAGGCAAGAACAAAGAAGAACATATAGGAAATGGCACACACATTCTTTTTACAAAGGACTTGTACTATCAAACGGCCAGAGATAGCCAAACATTAATTGTACATGAATATAAAGAAATATTAATACATGAAATGAAGTAGCATGACCTGATCTGGCCTGGTATCTCCCAGTCAGGAACGCTGCTCTGCTGGGGGTACACATACTAGCTGTAGCTATATGCTGCGTCAGACGGACACCCTCATTCGCCATATTATCAATATTAGGGGTTCGAATAGTTGTGTTTCCATAGCAACCGACATCACCAATGCCTAGGTCATCGGCAACAAATAGAACAATATTTGGACGAGAATTGGGCGATGTTTGGCGAGACGATACGAGAATCAAGCCGACGATAGTTGCCCTGAAAAAGATCTAACAGTCAATTCATAAATACATGTAACATTTTATATGATTCCTACAAAACGTACACGGTGTGTTTTATAATTTGTTTAATAGATACAGTAAATGAAGGTGTGGAGGTAACTATAATAATTATATAAACGTATGTAATGTTCAGATTCTCCAGACACTGAGGAAACCAAATGGGTGAGATATGTTGTATCTTCAAAACAAGAACAGGAATGTAATAAATCAGTACACGTTTTCTTTCTTTCTTTCATTCTTAATAAATGAGTATAAATAAATAAATAAATGAATTTTTAACTTAAAATCTTTCAATGGATATACGCTCATAGAATATAAAATTATTTAGGCACATCTAAGGTAAAGTCACTAGATTCTATATGTTTCATTTAATATTTCAAGAGATTTTGACAGAAACTAGTGAAGTAAGTTTGTACAATAAAAATACAAGATAGTTGCTATAATGATAAATGACATCTGACATATTTATTATGAAATAATTTACTTACTATATAATGCCACTCTCTCATCATAGCTGCATTAATCTTTACGTATCGTTCACAAAACTTTCATATATTAAAAACTCCGGAAAGATTATTAAACGTCACTGTTTACATGAAATATACAGATGACAATCATAAATTGTTTGCTGTCTATAACAAAATCAACATCACTTATAGATAAGAAAAGACCTAGCTTTTAACGTTAATCGGATGTAAATAAACGCAGAAGTTCATTATTGAGAACGTTCCCCCTTTAATTTAAGGTTAAAACTTGGAATACAAAGTTGGATTTTTCTCGACGATTTGTAAATCTATGGGTTTTCTGTTTTGTGTTTTTGTAAGGGAGGGGGGGGGGGGCTTGTACGTAGCACCAATACAGTATATGTCATATATGCTGTTACTGGTGGAGGAAGACCTCAGGACCCCTGTGCAGAAATTAGCTAGCTGGATAGCTTCATCACATGAAGTAACCCAAAGTTCCTGTCGGGATCCGAACTCATAGAGGTGAGGCGCAAGTGTTCTGAAGTCAACGACTTCAATCACTCGGTCACGGACGTCCCGCAAATTTATATAACAAAACATAGAAACTATTTTCTAAAATAGTTCATTTCTTTGTCAAAGTGATTATTGCATATGGTATTGCATCACTAGTTACGTCTCTTGATTGAAAAAAAATATTCAAAATCAAAGCGTCATCAGAATCAGTTAAGATATTCTTTAAATGTGTTTTTTGTCTATGGCTTTTCCACCATAGACCAACGAGACATAACGACGCACTTTAGGGTCCAACCCCATATATAGTGCGTTACACAGTTACATATGCAATTTTCAAAATCAGAGAAACGTCCGCACTTTGGGGTCATTAATATTATTTCATTAAAATGACATTAATGATTATTTGAGGTAATGTCAAGTAATTACATACGAATGGTAAATAAAGGAATGAAGTAGGTAAAATGTATTAAGTCGATGCATGTAAAATAGCAGACGATTTTGATTTCATTTTGTTTATCCCTTTGTCAGTCCGTCTGTCCGTCCGCTCCATAACTTTTAAACCTCTGATTTTTTTGGAAATAACTTGGCACAAGTGATCATTATAATGAGACGATGTGCAGAGCGCATTAATTGTGTTGCTACCCCAAAGGTCAAGGTCGCACTTAAAGGTAAAATGTAAAAAAGTCTTCATTTTATAATAAAAAGTCTACACTTCGTGCCCGTTCCATAACTTTTAAACCACTGGATTTTTTTCTTAAATAACATGCAAAGCGCAATAATTGAATGCTACCCACAAGGTCAAGGTCACACTTACAGGTCAAATGTTAGAAAGTCTACGTGTCTGTCCATAACATTTAAACCGCTGTAATGTTTTTCAGATAACTCGGCAGAAATGATCACCATTATGACACCATTGGCAGAGCACAATATTCAAGTCACAACCCTGAAAGTCAGAGTCACACTCAAAGGTCCAATGTAAAAATATCTTTTTTTCATGTCCGCTCTATAATTTATTGACAGTTCAAAGGTTTTAAAATTACTTAGCACAAATGATCCCCACCATGACACAATCTGCAGAGCTCACCATCCAGGTTGCTTCCCCCAAGGTCAAGGCTATATGTTCTTCATAACTTTTTTGACTTTGAGGAGGTTTTGAAATAACTTGGCACAAATAATCACCATCGTGAGAGTATGTTCTTATGATATTCATTGCTCAACGTCAAGGTCATGGTTGGCAGAAGATCAAGAAATACACATTCATGTTCACTGCGGAAGGGGATTTAGCTCTCTTTCAGACTGCCTTGTTATATAAAGAATAACATTTTGCTATTTATTACAGTTTTTTAGTTAATTTTACCCATGAAATATGGTGCTATATCAGTCAAATATATTTCATATTTTTTAAAAATAAATATGAAATATAAATACGAAAGTGGGCGGAGTCAAAACTCATATTTATTTTAAGGGACTTCTTTCGCCGTTTTGTTTTGAAAACTATTATGATAGAAAATGGTCTGACTAAGAAAATTAATCCGAACAACAATATTTTTAATTCAGTAATTAACGCTGTACAGACGTTTAAAGAGTTGTTTACATGACGTCACAATGTAATTTTATCATGTTTCGTGAAAATATATTCCATATTTCACGCAAACGAAAAAAAAATCCTGTTAGTATTTTTTTCACGTGATTTATTCATTAAAATCATAAAGGAACCATGTGGCTCTTTAGAGATCTAGCTATTTATGAGACTGAAACTGATACTTTAAAATCAAGTAGAATCTAATGGAAAAAAACAGCAACATTGAAGCCGGTATATTAAATTCAAGTAACTTGGTTGATTATTTTAACATTAAATGATCAACTAGCTTACTAAAACGTTTGCCTGTTTTACTTACATGTCGTAAATTTTTGTGAGTATCGTAACTTTACGTTTCCGTTTTTGTTTGACAAAACGTTTGTAAGTTGTTGTTTTTATTTCTTAAACTTACGTTTAAGAATTCTTCAATTAGAAGGCGTTTCGGGAATATTTATCAAAATGAACTGTCTTTCATCAGACAATGAAATCGATGACCGCAAAACATTCAAGAACTGGAACTTCGTATGGTTATCTACGGACAATTAGGACATGAGCAATTCGAATTTTTTACCATCAGCCATCCATCACATGCACATGGGTTTCTCTCAATAGTTGTAATGTGTTTAAAAAAAATCGAGAGAATCCCTTGTGGTCCATCATATAGCTGTTTGATGTTGAAAATGTATTAAGGATATAATTTGTTTGTTTTGCACGTCTCAGAACTGTTTTCTGCAAGAGAAAATTGGATTTTCTTTCTCACTTTGTAGTGAAATATATAACTTATTTACTTAACGCACACATTTGATGTTGATGCTTTTTTTTTTATTAGAAAAAAAAATATTTAAGTTTATATGATTATTGCAGTGTAACTATTAAGTATTTTAGTGAAGTAATATGATGTTTGAATATGTGCTATAAAAACATTCGCAACGGTTAATTCTATGTGTATTTACAAATCACATATTAATACGCATCACGGAAAGGTCAATGTTTATCTTAAATTAAAAACTGATAAATTAATCCTTAATAATGCGTGAAAAAATAATCTGGACATTACAATTTTTAACGAAAACTTGTAACATTTATAGGTCTCATCTCTACCTTATCATAAAACAACAACAGAGTTGTGCATTCCGAGAATTGATTATTGAGAGAAACAGCATGGAGAAGGCTGACATAAGCAAATTATATGCATGATACAAACATAAACATGTATACATAATATAATTATGTATTAACAAATACTTGTATAGTATAAGCGCTCCATTATATTTAACAATGGTTGAGTTTTATCAAACTCATACATTTTTTTTGACAAAAATTACCATTTCCACAATTACCATCATGAAAAACATATGCCAGACAATCACACTATGCAAACAAACCAGGTTAACCGCGAGCGGGCTGCGCAATCTGGAAGAATTACATATTGTATAAAAATACAACAAACCAGCAGGGACGTAGGAGGACCCATGCTTTGTCCGGTTATAAAGTCGCCTTCATCAACCCCTGGGTTTATATCACGTCCTCTCTGTGAAACCATTGCAAAATGCATAAAACTTTTACGAACATCAACAAATAATGCTTTAAGAACCATGTTCATGATGCTATGTAACACCTTGTAACACCGCACTTTGGGGTCAAACGCACTTTGGGGTTCAACCCCAAAGTGCGTTAAACTTCGCACCGCACTTTGGGGTCAAACGCACTTTTGGGTCAAAAACGAGAAATTGACCCCAAAGTGCGTTAATATGCTACATATCAACGCACTTTGGGTTCCAGAGATCTTAAGGGCTGAGTTCTGCATAATACAGAGTACTGACTTATTTTCGATCTGCGACATTGAAATATTTGAGGTGGGGTTCAAGATGGCGGTAATTACTTTGATGATGCTTAAGTGATTAAAAATTTCATTAATTTTACCACTTAAAATATCTAAAAATTGTGTTCATATAACAAAATTACGGTGGCATAAAAGTGACATTTGCATTATTTTTAGTTTTGCATTCATATCTTATTTTAGTTTTTCGTACATATTTAATCTTTGTTGTTTTTTTTTTCGTACATATTTTAGCCAATCAAAACGGCCTTCACACCTCATAACAGCCCATAGTTGAGTATAAAACTAGCACAGTTGTTTGGTCACATTTCGGCCCATTATTTGGAATCGGCCCAGTCATTTCAGCCGGGCAAGTCTGGTTTCGGCCGACCCTTTTCGGCACATTTTTTTATTATTATAAAACCAATATATTAGTGTATATTTGGAAAGGGCTGAAGATTGGTGATCAGTTATTATTATGAATATGCACCACTCAACCCCATCCCCTGAGAATAGCGGGGGGCATTGACTTTAACCAAGCCGACCACTGGTAAACGGGGGGATACTCGGATAACAACATTCCTTATACTCCGGAACAGCGCCAACATCAAAAAACGATTCTTTTTTAACCCGCACTCCCCCGGGGGCAAGAGAGCTGATTAGAAATGACTGGTGTATTACAATAATGCACAACAAAAGATCTAAAAAGGTCCTTATATTCCAATGATTTAGAAAAAATGCTTAAAGCCAAGCTTTGAAGGATTTTTATGAAAATTGGGTCAATTCTTTAGCACATCCAGATAATGTGCATAACTTATATACCAGGTGTGCCGGCTCAAGGTCGGGTCACACCTACAGGTCAAAAGAATTGTGAGTTGGGTTTCATGTCCGCTCCTTATCTCCGAAACCCCTTGAAGGATTTTCAGGCACTTTGTGTAAAATGTTAACCTAATCGAGACAAAATGCAGAATCTTCCTTTGGGTTACTGCGGACTATATATATACTAAAAGTGTTGTTATTTCTTTGATACCTCAAAAATGAAAATGTTGGTATTTGCAAATGGCATTTGCAAATGGGGTATAGTATAATTTACAGATGGCAAAGTGTTTAAAAATGGTGTTTTACAAATGGCCTCTACTTTGCAAATTGTGTCATGTAAAAATATGAACGAAAAGGTAAAAAAATAAAATATGTACAAAAAACTAAAATAAAATATGTATGCAAAATTAAAAAAAAAATATATGCAAAACTGAAAAAAATGTACG